TTGTGCATACCATTGATGGGAGTTGAGCTGCTACATGCAGAATGGCACGGGAAGTAGCCTTTAAAAGTTGCAATCGAAAGAGTATCTTTCGCAAATGTATCGGAAGATGTATCTTCTGTATCGGAACCGTCAGGCAACTGGACATATTTAACTTAGCTAATCTTAAATAGGAGTCAATGCATCTATAATCTTATTTACTTTTGTCAGTCAATACAGAATGGAAACGAATTATACTACCGAAGCATTTTTATTACACCTTGGTAGCACCTAGAAATCGAAAAGAAACGTTTATTCATAGGTTGAAATAGCGTGTGACAGAGTATGTGAAAATCAAAGATTCCATTCATCGAGGTCACAAGAGAACGTGGACTGGGTGCGACGTGAAGTTCCAATAATGCTAGGAATTGGTAACTTTTTTGCAATGTCTTTCTTCGACCAAAGTGCTTCATTTTCGACATCCAGAATAAAAGTAGTTCGGTCATTTACGCCAAAACCCGGCGGAGAAACACTTCTTCGAAAGCATCAACTCTTGCGACGTAGTGAACAATTCGAGATTTTTCACTAATCTTGACAATGACAAAATCGACTTCTTGAGGCTTGATAGAAAGTGCATCAACTTTTATTCACCCTCCAACTGGAAATACCAGGATTTAAAAGACAATATTCAATTTTTTTCTCAAGCCCTAATCAGCTGCAGAAGCGGGAAACAAGTTCAGCTATAAACATTGATTCAGAGTTGGAGATCAGTGCAATTTATCATGGCTGGACTAGTGTAGTGATATTGATGTAAAAGAAACAACTTTATCAAATATCCTGCATATTATCTATACATCGATCATTTGTGAGGATATAACTGGCAGCAGCAATTCCAGTTCTACAACAATTATTCTAATTATCTGTTTCAAGAATTCACAATGTTCACCACTGGTGTTGATATCGTCATGTTATTACCTTGAAAATTTTATAATTTTTTCACTCAAAAAGTACATAAATCAGTAACTTCAGCTCATTCGCCTGAGTGTACTGCCTATTTATGCCTCCACTAACAGTATCATCTTGCAAATGACTTAACAACACTGCTATATGGGCACTTCCTTCGAGCAATAATAAGAAATGTCTTTTATCATTATTTTAAATCACTAAATTGTGAAATATTTATTTCTTCTGGGAAAAGATGCAAACAGTGTTTACTTGTATTACAAGCTCGGGGACTGATAGCCAAGTGAATATACATACACCTGTTCATAAGTTTCAGTTCCTTTACACAAAATGATGTAAAGTAGGTAAACAAAATTAGTTGAGGAGTGCCCAAATTTATAATTGTACAATTATTATTAATAAACAAACATTAATGTGCGAAATTGAGACAAATCTGGTACGTTGTGTGTAATTTGGTTCAAAACCTGGCATAACTTATTCAAGGTAATATTTGAAAATAAACCTACCTTTTTTTATTTTTTCAGTCAAAGAAAATATTGTCTACAATTCAAAAAAAGATATGATGGTTGGCTTTGTTGACTTGGAAGAGTCGAGAAAAGCAGAGAAAAAGTTCCTGCACTGCAAGTTTATGCACATGGTTTGATTGGGAAGTTTTTAGAGCCCTGAAGTTATCCGCTTAGACCATCTCGCCAGCATTTTCTGGGAAAATGTTGGAGAACTCCACGAATGTGGGTTTAGGGCTCACTCATTACAGACCATAAAATGTTCCATGAGTTAAATAATTTGAAGTTAACTTTCCCATATACATGTATCAATGGTCCTGATCATTTCATTTACTGCTGCAAATTGACGGAATCCCACTTGTGCTTACAAAGCTACCCAAAAGTGCGTGTCAAATATGCAGCCCAGGTGCTATCTAAGACTGCTGCAAGATTGATGCAGCAGAGAGGTGGGCCAGCATGGTCTATGGATAAATGGTTTGATATTATGAATACTTGGCCAAATATTGGATATAAAAAAACGTGCTCCCGTAATATGTGTACCAGGTTGTGCGCTATCTTGGTACACATACTACGGGAGCACCTAAAAAAATGCTCCGCCCATTCCATAGCATTGATGAGCGACTGATTAAGCTCGAAAATAATTTTTATCTCACAACCGGTCGCCGGGACAACTCAAACAGTCTAGATATGCTGCATTTTTATTATGCAACTTACATTGCCTATTGTCATGAAAATATACTATATTCCATGCAATGAACATTTTGTTATGAAAAATAGATTGCTCTGTTTAATTACTGCTAAAGTAATAAAAATAAAACTGGAATCACATCTAAACGTACTACCTTGCAAAATAAAGTGAAAAGAGATCATGCTCTTCATCTACATTTATTTTTAAGCAGTTTTTGTAGGGATAAATTCTGGTTATGACGATTCTGGCTGTTTGATGGCACCTTATTTTCAGGTAGAACTTACATAATTTATCCAAGATGTTCAGCATGCTAGTATCGTTTCGGGCGATTCTATATGATTCTATATTAAAATTTTCAAAAACTGTGACTATAACACCCTCATGAGCCTAGTTTAATCTAAATTCAATTTCGAGCAGCTTGCATAGTTCAAAGACACTGGGCAGTGATACGGTTAAGCGTCCATATTCTGTTTTCCTGCAGATCATAGAGTCAGTTATCAAACAGTCCGGTTCGGGATTAAATAATGACTGAATTCTTTTGCAGTCTTCCGGGTCTTGGCATCGTTTTTGCATTTACTGTATTATTAACCCAGCAATGTATTGGATTATATGGACCTCATCGCCATTCGATATGATAGAACTTGAATCTAGTAAATTGGGAAAACATAGGGAACAGGGTTGTAAAATTAAGATATCACATTATTGATTACCATGAATGTCAATACTCGAAATCGATCAAGCGCCTGTTAAGCTGGTGTGCACAATGTATGAATCAGGTAGTGCTTTATTGCCTATATTCAAAACCAATATTGCTTAGAAAACAGTTGCGTTTTATAGCCTTATGTATGAATAAAAACCCATCAAGCAATTTTTGCCAGTAAGTCATATGGTCCGTAAAATTATGGTATCTAAACATACTCAAATCCAGACAAATATTAAGCACCGCACCTTTCCTTTTATCCATTTCTTTGGCTGTGAATCGATCGAATAATTCCCCGACAGACTGGAGGGTATAGTAAACATGGAATACTCTGTTCCAGTGTAGCGATTACTCTTAACTGCATCACAGCTGAAGGATAACATTTGATCCATAGGACTTTTCTTCAGCAACAATTGTAAGTATTTGACCACATTTAGTAAAATAGGGATATGGCAGCAATGATCTTCCACTACAATGTTCCTCACACTAATATCTCTGCCTAAAAATAAAAAATTATTTTGACAGATTTATCCCATGGTGTTTAAAAAAATCAGCTCTTCATGTTTATTTTGAGTTGTGGAAGTTGTATTAGTAATCATGTAATTTATGTAGAAGTCTATAATTATGTAAATGTTACCTTGTTTGTGAATATGTTGAGCCAAAGATGCCACGCTGGAAAATAACTTTGGGACACGTTGAGCACCTTGAAATAAAACAGAAGTTATTTTTCATAAATCACAGAATAAGTTGTTGATTAGCAAAAATTTTGTCATGAAAATGTCTTATCTATAGAATAAAATCCAGAAAATATATTGATGATAAGATCATTGAATGCATGATCTGTTGGTGGTCCTGCATTAAACCTCTCCTAACACTTTTTGCCCTCTGTATCTTTCTTTTCAATAGCTGTCTTACTTTTTCTCATTCAAGGTAAACTTTTCTCCCATTGCCTCGTCAAAATATGAATACTGTCAGTTTATGATCCTCTAACATGAATGAGTCTAGTACTGTAATACGGTACAGGCAGACAGGTAATGTCTGAACGTATCATCAAACTCGGGATCTGATCCAGGGATTTCGGCAGCTCTGTCTGTCATATATCAGCACATGGTTGCTCCCTGAATAGTCACTCGCAGAGGTAAACACACTAATAGTGTATATCTAACGTATAGAAATGGTAGACTTACCTTTATTAGCTATAATAGCCACTGAATATATAATAACTACAGCCCGTGAGTCCGATGCGACCAACAGATATGGTGAAACTGCAGCAAAGCGCTGGGAAGTCGAGTGGGCGTTAACGAATCAAGTTGCGCAATGGAGCGTATCGCGTCAGACACTCCTCATTGGCCAAGGCTTTAGTTGCGCATCATGGTATGTTAGTCGTTGGATTCACTTTCGCTCGAAGAAGTGTTACATCCGGATGGTGCTACCCTCACTCTAACTGTTTTGTTGTTTGCAAAGAGCATTTTTCCAGACCGACCGAAGTTCTTTGCTCTATTTTGTTCTATCCTAGCCACTGATTTCGCTGCTATTTCATCTCTAACTGGTGTGTCCGCATAGAGGTTGGCTATTATTTACGGAACCACAAGGGGCATGCTGCAGACTAACACAAATGTATTTCTGTAACGTTTCGTCTGGTTGCTATGCTAATGGTATTATTTTCTGTTTTGATAATTTTTCAGCAAGCAAAAATACGAAAAAGGCGATGAAAAATACAGAAAAAGCAGACACTGATATCTAAACTGCAGCTTGCGAAAAAACAACAGATGTACGACAAGGAATTGATAATAGAAGAGCAGCAGATACAGGTATCTAAACTGCAGCTTGCGAAAAGGACAAGTCAAAAACTGGTTTCAGAATATCACAAGTAATCTTTATTAACTCTTATAATTGTATTGTTGAGTGTTTGAGATGGAGCAAATTATTAAACTTAGATGTTTTTACTATAGTGATGTAATCAGTCTACGTTTTGCGCTCATTTGCCTGTACAAACTAATACCATCAATTTTTTTTTCATTTGATTAAGTTATCATCTATTACGCCGCTAAAACGTTATTGCTTTTATACTTCTCACATTTTTTTTAAAATCGTTGGATGGTATCATTCCATATTCCACGTAAAATATTGCTGTTTTTTTTTTCAGTTCACGTCTTGTTTACCTCTTTAGATTTCTTTGTTGCCGACGACGGTGCAATATTACAAGAGTACAATGCAATTGTAAAACTAATACGGGAGTATTTAACTTCTTCTGAAAGGGAACACATATCGATGTGGACAGGAACTACTATCAATCCACAGGTAACAAAAATAAACCTAAACTGGTTGGATCAGTGATTTCCCTACACCCCTTCTATAGGGGATGAACAACCCCCAAATATATTACCCCGGCTTTGTACAGCAGAAACGACCTGACAAAATTCAATGCGCCAAATAAAAATAAAAAAAACTGTGAAAGATTTTTCGATTCAAATTTGAATAAACAGGATACCTCGAGTGCTGTATATGAATTAAAGGGTACTCCTGAAGTATGCGCACCAAGAAGTCGCAATATGAGTTCAGGTTGTGCGCCATCTTGGTGCGCATACTTCAGGAGGTCCAATTGAAGTATATACATTTTCATTTTATTGTTGACCCTCGGGCCAGTTTGCTGCACTGATGGTTCATGCTGGGGTTCAAAAATCACTTTTTAGACACCACATATAGACCAATCAATTTCCATTACCTAAAGATAGAAACAGTCGTTGATCGAGCCTGCAACAGATCCAAGTTTCCGAAAATAACTTACCATCTAATTCTATACCCGGCATGGACTGGCAACCGGAGGAGAGCCCGTGGTTCCCCATAATAATAAGCCGTCCTATCGGATTTCCTCTCCACTGGGATAAATATGCAAACCCTACCCTATGCTAACGCTCTTACTTTTTTCATATTAATTCTTAGTGTTACGGGCCCAAAATATCACCGAAAATTTCTTTATTACTTATCGATTTCAATCGGTAAGTATGTTGATAGGTATTTGTTTGTCTGTCTGTCTGTTAGATGCACGCGATATCTCACGAAAGCGTGATTGAATCTGTTCCAGATTTTGCATGTGCTTTTATCATATGTCGTACCAGAAGCCTATTGATTTTGGATGAATTATGTCGTATAATTAGCGAGTTATTAATTAATTAGTGATGGGACACAAGGTGTCACTATGGAGTAAGAGCGCTGTTTTGGGGGATCCCCTAACTTTCGATCGATAAGTCTTTGGTATCTGACCGATATTCTCGTTTGTTTTATTTATAAATCATAGGCACGTATTTGTATCTCATTCCGTGCACATCTTGACAATTCTGACATTTGACAATTCTTTTAACATTTGGCTTTGGCTCCATTTCATCTCTCTTTTTTTTTATCACAGACAGGTGACATTTCACCACCGAATGCCTTCACCCATTGGGCACCAGGGGAACCAATCAAAAGAGTCGATGATTTAACGCATATTGAGTTTCAGTGTCTGCTGATCCTGATTTTACTATACAGGTGATGCTAAACATATGGCCATCAGCGGATTGTAACTCTGTATTATGCAGCATTTAACTTTCTCGCCTTCAACTGATTGCCCAATGTAATACATACTTTGAGAAGTACTCAGTTGCTTATGAAAACTTTTGATCTTTTATACAAAGCCCCGCTACTAATGCAACGATAAATGTGAGATTTGGGAAAAATACTTTGGCCAAGGTTTAAGTAACAAAATATTAATTATCCAGTTTGGTTTGGGAATGATTTGAACTTCCAGCGCAATTTGCATTCCTAACCATAATTAGATAATTACTAATTTTGGTGACCGTACATTAGAACCCACGTACATTTGAACCCATGTGTATATCCACGGGTTCAATCTATATGCGGGTGCTAAAACCCATGGGTTAGGGTTAGTGTGGGTTCAACTATCCGTGAAACAAAAAAAATTCCATAGGTGCAATAGCATACAGGTGCAATTGCCATGGATTCAAATGTACGTGGGTTCAAATGTAATGGAACCACTAATTTTATCAGCTTGAGCGTTTGCGAGGGCGTTTTGTTCTTAGTACAAGGGATCTGAAACTTTTTGTATCATGCGGTGTAACCAATGATGAGACTTAAAATTCTAAGAACGGGTTCTCTTTGCTCATTAACAATTAACAACGAGTTCCCTCGTTTCAGAGAATGTATGTATGTCACTAAGTCAGTTAAATTGACGTGGCGCGCTTCGCCTAGATCTAAAACATAACATTCGAAACATCAAATATTGTCGTCATCAGAGGTGCACTGCGAAATTATGCGAAAAGAAAATTGAGTCTTGAAAATTCAGGAAATATTTCGGTACTCCCGTAGTATGTGAACCAAGATGACGACACCGGAATTAAGTAGGTGTACCAGGTTAGGGTACACATACACGCCATCTTGATTTACATACTTCGGTAGTACTATTCTCAATTTAGAGCTTTGTTCGGGATGAACTGTAAGGCTTTTTTAAATCCTATTATGCTGTGTAATAGCATTTTTGCTCATTGTCAATGCAGCTTTTTGATAATATTATGGATTGATTGATAATATTATATTACTGCATACTGAAGATACCAGTTTCGTCAAAATATCAAGTTTCGTCATTTTTCATTCAAAAAAGATTGCTCTTGTGGTTGGTCTTGGTAAAAATTAGCGAATATTTTATGTTTTTACTTTTGTAATATTTGCTCTGAAATTCCTGAAAAGCTTCTGCTCTCTGTGGATTTTGGGCCGCCAGGTGACAACTGACTTTTATGTCCATATATCTGTGCATTTCAATAAATATAAGTTTACTTTTTGCGATATTTATCATCAAAGAAATCATACATCATACAAAGAAAAATAATTTATTTGCGATAAAATAGCTTTTTACTCATTATTAATATAATAAGCCACGCTTCGGTTATTCATAACTATTGTTTTGAGGGAAAGCGGCAAAACTACAAAAAGAATATTACGTCGAATTATGAATTTTAATAGATTCTAAATGTGCTTGTATCGTGAGTGTCCGTCAAGTAAAAGTGAAACAGATTTTAATGCTTGGCTATTTTTTTCTATGGCAGTACAATTGGATAAATAAATTATTCGACGATGTTGTTGAATTATATGGAATTCAGTGAATGTTTTGCAAGCTTATTGCGTGTATGAAAGCAAGAAATTCATTGCATACAACAAGCAGAAGTAGGGATTATATATAGTAACTGATTGAGTTGAAAATAATTTAGCGAAAGTTTGAGGGAGAGAAAGCAGGAAATGCGTGTCAAGTAAGAAAAGAACAACATAGCCTATGCGTAAATATTGTAATATGTAAATATGACCGTTACGCAGATGCATAATCATCACGGCCCTTATTGCGCGTTTTGGTGTAAACGAAGATTTTTCATTTATATTTTTGTTGGGGGCGCACATCTGTGTCTAGGCCAGTAAGGTCGTCAACATGTATTCCATATATCTTACACCCAACTGTTTGTTTATTATGCTAATCCTGTTACAATTTTTAGGCAAATAAACATACATACAATATATTTTTTAGTGATATTTTATTTTTTGTGAGATTATATATATTTATATACTATTGCCCCTTCTCATCTCTCCCCAAACACATGACTACCCATGTGGATTTGAAAACTTTATAATGTGATATGGTAGTAGGCCCTCATTTCCCATGAAATTTAGTATATTTGGCACAAAGTAGACCTATTGATCGTTTTTGGACACGTAGTGGACATAGCGATCGTTTCAATATTATGTTGTTGTTGTTCTTATTGTTGTTCTTAGTGTCCTTGTTCTTTGGCACGTTTTGAAAAAATCGCTTTTCTTTTCGAATACTGGACCAATTGCTTTGAAATTTCCAGTGGTTGAAGATAAAATTTTTCTCTAGAAGGCTATTATTTTTTTCTCTATGACGTCATCAAAATTATTCCCACTGGGTGGCGCTACGTGTCCATATATTTGAGCATAGCTCTCTTGTATTATTATGTTTTTGTTCTTGTTGGTATTTTTCTTCTTACTGTTTTAAAAAAGGGCCTTTTCTTCCGTTACTGGTCCAGTAGTTAAATGGAAAAGCGATTTTTTTCGTAGAAGAAATATACCAACAAGAAAATTAAATTAAGATGGGACGGACAAAAACAACATAATGACAAAACGATCCATAGGTCCACATCCTTTGAGAATTTCGTGGCGGTTCCGCGTTCAGGTGAAAGGTCAAGTGAAGTTGGGAAGACTACGGCACCGTTAACTTACTAGGACAGATTGCATACCCGAACCACTTCCCTTTGGAATTCGCTTCCGTATATTTGAGCACCATACTATCTTGCTTCCAGAAACTCAAGTTTTTCGCTATAACTTGTTGCTTCATGGGCTTGCACATAATGGGGAGCTTCCAATGGCTCTTTTGAAATTATTTAGAATAATGTTTAAGGAAATATTTTAGAAAAATAAAAAATGTCGAAAAACTTTCATAATTTCAGCTGAACCTATTATATGTTTATTGATCTTATTCTAATATTCAAAAGTTTGCCGTATATATAAAAAACTACGAAGAGCAAAAAGGCATGGACACAAAAACAAAGCCACAGACGATGATAAAGGTAGCATTGATAGTAAGATAGAAATATGATATTAGATAAAATAAGTGATAAAATTTATATTTATTTGAAATAGCTTCCACAATTTTCTATTCATTGGAATAGAAAATAAGTTTTAGTTTTTTTTTTCTTTGATTGATTTTAATATATATCATAAGCACTTCACATTGAAGGCATTTCGCGCATAATAAACATTATTCACAATTTATAGAAATATAAGATAGTATATTTAGTATCCGACATAAATACTAGTTGTAAAATAATGAACCTCACGAGGGCTCCTCGTGCAATATTGCAAGTGGTTATCATGGAAACGACAAATTCTTTGGAATTCTACTCACTTTATCTAATATTTAATATTTTCAGGACCAAAACTTGCGCTGATAAAACATAAAATTTTGATTTTGCTCGTTTTGTTTGCTGCCGTTGGGATTGGAATGTCTTTGACATTGTTTCTGTGTAAGTATGGATTGTTCGACACAAAATGGAACTCTGGATTGTTTTGTTATATTATGTTGTTGTTGTTGGTATTTATTTTTGTTTCTGTTTTTTTTCTTTTTCGTGGTGTTATCATTGTTGTGAAAAAATCGCTTTTATCTTTCACTACAGGACCGATTACTTTTAACTTTTTATTGGTAAATTAAAGGCTGTTGTGGTCGCTAAAGAAAGCTATTACTTTTATCTATTTTCTGTGGGCTCTATGGAATTCTTTTTTCACTATAAATTTTTGTATGATGCCGTCATCGAAATTAAAAGTTACGCTCCTTGTGGCGGTTTCGCAATCGCAGTGGTCGACTATTGAGGTCGGGACGTAGAAATATGGCATTGAGACCAAAATGATATTAACTTAATAATTGTCCAAAACGAAGAAATACGCCGACGACTTGAAATGCCCCAATAAGTTCATTTTATTCTTTCTCAATCTAATATTTTCAATATGTCTCGAGTTGTTGTGTTTATCTGAAAATTTCTTCGTTACAGCTAACAAAAAAAGTCAACATATTATCGAAGAAAAGCAATCTTTAATAAAAGAACAGCTGAAGGAAATTAACGATAAACAGAAACGCGTAGAAGAAATACAAACAGCTATCTCAAAGAGTCTCAAACTCACTAATGAGCTCAAAACAGTGTTTAGACAGGGCCGTGGTATGTTCTATTTTGCAATTTTATTTTATAATATTTTGATTTTACAATTGGAAGGTTTAATTTTATATAATTACCTGGTATATTTCATTCCTTCCTAATTTATTAAATTCTCTACAAAGAAAGGAAAATGTCCGCTCTTGGCTACAAATTGATTTTAAATTTTGAGTGTTAAAAGAGTTGTCGCTAGATAGCTATCACTTTTATTTATTTCAAAATTTTTTTGTAGGCTTATGCTCTATGGCAGGGGTGTGCAACCTGCGGCCCCGAAATTGATTTTTGAATTTAGTTTATTCTAGTACGCGTGCGTAATTTCAATCCGTTTAGCATTGCAAATTCTATACATGGTGCCTATGACGTTACAATGCGCTAACAGCAGGCTTGAAAACTGTTATGCCTGCAAGTACTAGAAATCCTATGTTAAAATAAGCTGCGGCCAGTTGTTTTGCCCAAATATTTCTATCCGGCCCGCCTGTATTAAAGGGTGCACACCCTCTTGCATACCAGGTGGCGTTTTTGCATTCACTGTGATTTGGTGGTCAGTCGAAATCTGCAAGACTACGATACTGTACCGGTTGAAGATCAGATACCCGTATGACTACGTTTTGGCTTTCGTGCCCATATATTTGAGCATTGTTCTCTTGTTTTCTTAAGCATCCTACGTTGCTGACGACGGTGTTGTATTTTGGTTTGAACCCCGTTTGTTAATGGATATGAACTACGAAGAAGCTGTTCACTTCTGTGAGACGCGCTGGTCAACTGTCGCAATATTAAGAGATGAAATAGAGTATGAGAGAATTATCAAGCTGATACAAGATGAGTACACACCTCATGGTCTTCTTCTTGTTGATGCTTGGATTGGACTCACCCTAAACACAACGGTGCGTAAAAAACTTTTTCAAGTAATCTAATTTTTCTATTTAATGTACGGTAATAGTCTTTCTGCACACTAACATAAATATATATCTGTAAGGTTTTGTTTCACCAAGCCATAGTTGAAAATGCTTGTTTGAGTAAGTCTAACCAAGACCAGAAGAAACGCTACAGAAATACATTTTTGAGTTAGCGTTCAGCAAGACTCACTTAAAAGGGTGTTCCTGTAGTATTCGTACCAAGATGGTACACAACCTGAACATAGTATGTGTACCAGGTTAGGGTTAGCAGGTTGTGCGCCATCTTGGTACGAATACTACTGGAGCGCCGTTAAAAGAGCCAGCCTATTATACTTATCTGAATATTATGCAAATATTGAAATGATTTTTCCTGCAAAACTTCACGTGAACTGTATCAGTTGTTGTTAAAAGTCATTTTTTCCACTCAGACAGTCAAAGTTACACCGACTGGATCGTTCACTCAATGGCATTCAGCTGGACCGACTGTGAGCAATATTGGTGACAAGGGACTATCTGCTGTTTATCTCCTTGTCTCCAGTGGGCAATTTGGGATGGGAATGTTAAATCAGCGGCCAGATGAAAATTGCTTCACAGTTATATGTCAAATTTAAATAGTTTGAAAAATTTGCTGTGTCACATTATCACTTTGATTTCCATCATACCGAAGTCGAGATATGAGAACATTAACAATCGATGACATATTGCCGAATAACAGGCGAAGCGACACATTTTACTTCGAGCATTCCGTTCTTTTCAGATAATTATTACCGACAATTTTGAATTAAAATATCTGTCATTTCCAATGTCACGACTCTTCGATTTTAGTTCCGAACTCCGAGATGATTTGCTACGTATGTAGATCTTTTTAATATAGATCAGATATGGGAAAAGTACGGCCCCTGGTTCAAAAACCTTGCCCAACTCTGATATAGACATAGTGAAATTAATGCATTTTGAACTTTTGTAAACAAATCCAACTTCTTTTATCCTTATTGTAAGTCTGAATACCACTTTCTGTGGCTCCATCTTAATGCAATGAAAACAAACAATTCTCCCACTTCACAGCCCTGTTCTTCCTGACGCCGTGATTTTACTCCCAAATTGTGTTGGTTTTGGGAAAAATTCAAACCTTTTGTGCATTCATTTGCGCAAAGTTTGATAATCATGTAATAAAGAACGCGGTATTGGTGTTGTTTAAATTGTCGTTCATATCTGTACACGGCGCCCTCGGTACTCCCGTAGTATGAGTACCAAGGTAGGGTTAGGCCGTAATTTCATTCCGATTTTCCCTATTTTAGTTCTATTACGAGTTCGGGTGCTCTTTGTGTTTGTCAAGTTAATATACCCCTTGTCCATTTGATTCCGTCCCTTTTCACAACTTGATGTAAAAAAGGAGAATAAAATTAGTCACCTCCATATTGGTACACATAATTCTGGAGCGCCGTTTCCTCTTCAATATTTAACAAAACACAAGCAGAACATAAAAATAATAATATTGTCCATAAAAAAATTTACACTTCAATTGGATATAATGAGACGTAATCGACATTTCTTTCACTTTGTCAAATGTAATTATATTGAATTACCCTCGCTCTATTTTTAATATCAAACGACAATAAAAAATTTATATTGGCGCTCTCGTAGTGTGAGCACCAAGATGGCGAACACCAGAACGTAGTATGTGTACCAGGTTAGGACATAATTTTATTTTAGTTTCGGTTACTTTAGTTCTATTACGAGTTCGGGGATTAGCCAAATGACTCCCGTAGTATTTGTACCTGAAATTATGAGCCAATTCTAACCTGGTACACATATAAACCAGATGGTGCCCTCGGAGTATGTGTACCAAGATGGCGCACCGCATGAACATAGTATGTGTACCAAGTTAGGGTTCCGGTGTCCGCCATCTTGGTTCACATACTACATCAGTACCTGAACTTTATTTTAGAATTGTAAATATAATAACTATGCCTTGTTTGCTGATTTATTTTAAATAATAAGTAGTAAGGTGTAATTACTTGTGCTAACTCCTGAACGGTGATTAAATAGTGATTATATTGATAACTTGTCGTTCATATTTGTACACTGCTCCCTTTTTAATAATTAACAAAACACAAACAGCACATATATAATATTGTCCATAAAAATTTACACATCAATTGGATATAATGAGACGTAATCTTTCTCTTTGTCCAGTGTAATTATATAGAATTACTTTCGCTATATTTTAATATCGAGCGACAATTTAAAATTTAATTTAGCATTGTAAATATAACATCTATGCTTCGATTTATTTTGAATAAAATTTGTTGGATTTGTCCGATAATTGGTGCTTACTTACATTGTACTGTTGTTTTATTTCACATAGTTTGTAAATCATTCAGAACTCTGCCCAGCCTTATAATATTCATGTCCAATAAAACAAACTCATTCTTACTCCTGAACGGCGTTAGTTCTATTTTGCTTATGGTTCGTACTAGCTAGTGACTCGTATCATTTACTAGACTTGGACTCGAACCATTACTTATTAAAGACGCAAAGTGACTCGAGTCGTCTAAATGGAATGAACTCTTTACTGGCCAGTAGTGGGACTTAACTCAGTAATTGACTGACTCGACCTCGTGACTTGACTTGGGATTTAGAGCTTCAACACTGCTTATTACAGGAAAGAGTTACGTTCAGGAATTGCGTAGACATATTCATACAATCTCATTCCGGATACTTCTGGTTGACTCCTGTCACGAGAATCCGACGCCGCATTTCTCCTATTTTTTGAAGAAGATGATGATAATTATCGATATTTTGGTGTTTATGTATGGATTGTGGTGCTAAACCACTGGGAAGTTTAATATGCCCGTGGTTGTTAATGTTGCGAAACTTTGCTTTTCTTGTCCATTGTAAGATATCCTTTGAGAAATACTATTGCGCTCATGACGGCTTGTTAATGATTTCACCGTTTTGAACGCCAACTGTACGTAAGGATCGTGCTGATATACAATTTGTTGTTATTTACAATATTGTTGTTGTTGAGAAAAAACGAATTTCGTTGAAACCAATCGATTTCAATGCCAAGTTGCTTGGAAATTGGAGTTCAATACTTCCAAGGCCCGATATTTCATCTACAATTTTATTTTGAATAATGAGAACCGTTTCTGACATTCGTGTCTAAATATTTGTTCCGACAATAAGTAGACATTGTCGGCTATGGTTACACGATTAGCATCGCCGTTTTCGTGGATTTTCAATCATTATATGGGAAACAAAGCACCAAATGGGCAATATATCCTGAAGGCATCAAGATTCAATGTTTGCTTAGCAGGGTTTTTCAGTGTATATCTTGCTATGTATTGTCAGCTTCAACCTATAATCTATTGAATGCTGAAGCAGGGCATGTTGAACCCGATTCCTTCAGTGATTTACTTCAATGATCATGAGTGACCGATAGCGATAGAGCAGTATATATACCAGCAGAGAAATTCCAGACGAAATCCGATGTAAAAGCTGTCAATATATTGTTAGAATTATTCCAATTACACTTCCATCAAAACATATCCATCAAGATGGTTCGATTCTAAAAAACCAAAGAGACTACTTAGCTGAGAGACTACTTAACGCCCTCGATTACATTACTAAACAAACGCCATGGAAACAGTTTTCAAGGTACCTGACTGGAGCAAATAGGCCACGATTGGCATTCACACATTGCATATACCGCCTTCCCCGAAAATAAGACTGGTTCTTATTTCAATTTCCTTCGAAGAATACCACTAGGGCTTATTTTTAGAGGATGTATTTCATTTTAATCTATAAAAACAAAATTACAAAGTAGAGGAATTACGAGATTTCCAAATATACAAAATATGGAAAATTAAAAATCTATATCCGTTCAATTATAAATAACACGTTTTAAAAAAAAAAGATTATTCCAAAATGACCATATCTTCATCAACCTTTGGAATGTCTTGCAGGTAACCAGATTCATGAATTCCAATGAAGATTTCATCTAACTGAATTTACTGGTGACTAGGTCTTATGTTAAGGTAATGGCTTATATTAAATTTTTAAAATACAGGTTAGGTCTTATTTTCAAGCTAGGTCTTATTCTCGGGGAAGCCCGGTATTTTAACTTCAAAAATTCAATACAAATATTAATTATAGTATTGAAATAAAATGCAATTTCTTATTGAAGTTCCGCAGATGGTAGTTGTGCGCAGAAGATAATTGGCTGCTTTCCCGTTAAAAACCTTTATAAGCGAGGGAAATTCTGGAAAGAAAAAAGAAAGGAAAAAATTGCGAAGGTGGACTCTTTTTTCACTTTAACAATTCAAATAAAAATTGACATTTGATAGCAAAAAACAGCATTTTATTCATTTATAATACAATGGAATTTAACTTATTCATCAATAAGTCAAACAATCGTTATATTTACAATGCTTAAGTGAATTTTAAATTGGTAATTCCTCATAATTACATTCGAAAAGTGAAAGTAATGTCGATAATGTCTCATTATATTCAATTGAAGCTATCCAATTTACTCTATTTTTGAAAATAACTTTTGTGTGTAAGAAGCAGTGTTGAAGCCCTACATCCCAAGTCGAGTCAATTACTGAGTTAAGTTCCACTAGCGGTCGATAAAGAGTCCGATTCATTCCATTTAGACCACTCGAGTAAATTTGAGACTTCAATTAATAATGGTTCAAGTCCAGTCAATGATGCGATTATTTTGCCACTGGTAGGAATTATAAGCAAAATAGAACTAACAGCACTGCGTTACACTGACCAATAAGTGCTCATTCGCCGTTCAGAAGTAAGCGTCATTCAGTTATCTGACAAATCCAACTAATGTTTTCTCTGGGAAAATGTTACACTAATCAATTGTTTGTTTCAGTGAGTATGAATATTTTAAGGCTGAGCAGAGTCCTGAATGATTTACCAACTATGTGAAATATTACAACAGTATAATGTAAGTAATCATCAACCAACTATAGGACAAACCAAACAAATTTTATTTAAAACAAATCGAAGCATAGCTATTATATTTAAAATGCTAACGTAAATGCAGAAGTAAAGTAAATGCTAAATATTGAAAAGGGAGCAGTGTACAAATATAAACGACTAATTAACTCACTACAGAAAATGATCATGGTGAATTGGATTAAAAAAATGGGGCTTCACTAAAAACATAATTGGGGAATTCACCTCGACCATTGGCGGAAAGAAAAAAAACAAGATGGCGACGGTTCGAAATGTTGCTCTGAACCGATTCGAAGTGCCCAGCCCTACTAATATATGAATACTCACACCCACTAGAAAAATATTTTGTTTATGGGGCTCATTCACCATTGGGGTTATACTCAAACTGGAGGTATTTATAAATGCATTCACCATTTAGTTAGCGGTGGATAACTGGAAAGGGTGCAAGAATAAATGCACGTGAGGCTTGAGTATCTCTCAAAACCAACACAATTTGGGAGTAAAAATACGGGATCAAGAAAGCAGCGCTAATTAGGTGATCCGAGTGAGTAAGTGTAGTAGTTGAGTGTGTGAAGTGTGTTATGTGAGGGATTGAAGTGAGTTTGATGGATAGAGTAAATTGAGTGATTTGGGTTTGTTATGTGAGTTAAATACTTTTTGTACTATACGAAAAGTAATCTAGGCTAAAAAGTAATATATATTATTATATTTATTAACACCCAACATACATATTTGCTTTTTTTTCTTGGTGCTGACTAACTGCATTGTGAAGAATATAAAAAAAAATTTAAAAGCATAAGAAATTACATACAAGAAATATTTTTAAGAAGCAATTTTTCTTGTTAGAATCTTTAGGATTATGGTAAAGCCTAATATTTAGTAGTAAAGTTAGGAAAGCATGATGAAAGCTACTTTTTGATATCAACTATAAAACGTATAATATTCCTTCAATATGAATCACATAAATTATCATTTTCAAATTTAATTTGTACATTTTAAACTCCTATTACAATTACCTATGTTTGATACAACTTTTTGTCGTGCAAACAATTCCTTTGCATCAGTGTCTTCCAAATACTTTTCTTTGGTGGATAAGACCATGAAATTCAGCCGTGGTAACTCATTTTATTCAAATTTATTGTATTGAATATTTCTAAAATTTTCCAAATATACGGATTTGAAAAGAAAACTTGGGTGTCGGATGTAAACAAATTTACCTCGCTTCAAGCAAGAAATGAAACCGACTTCTAATGTACTAAAAACATAGATTGTCAATCGTACTGATACAAATTGGATTGGGTACTCTCATCGGTCATGTAAGTCGTTTTACTTTTGTTAGTGAGGAAGATTCAAATCTATAGATTATTTGATGATCAAATTGATCACTAGATTTCTCAGCAGTTACTATGTTAGAGAGATAATATTAAAGCTTGACATGTAAGATTACAAATCTAAAGATTTGACATGAGCAAACTATGGACCGTGGGCCAAATCCATCCCGTCGGGTACTTCAATCTGGCCCGCCTAATACCGCCACAACCAAACTAAAACCAAATTTTGATGTTTAACCAAAAAATATCTTAAGGAATTTGTTGAGATTGCGAGAAAATTCAATTTTGTCACGAGGCTTATTGTTTTCCACCTTTGCTTTTGTAACACTGTAAATATTATTCACTAAATAACTTTTTACGTCACACTCACATGGCAAATGTTTTTCCCCCTGGTCCAAAAATATAATCCCTGGCAGTATAGATCGTAAAACGAAACGAACATACCTTACAGAATATGCAACGGCCCTATTAAGACTCGGAAATATATCAAATTGATTGTCCTTTTTAATCGTTGTTCAATGTGCAACGTAGAAATTATAAAATAAATATTATTTAAAAAAAATGACGATATTTCCTTTTAACAAGAACTGCGGGAAAGCTTTGTAGACATTTTTGGGTGCTCCCGTAGTGTATGTGCCAGGTTAGGATTAGGCCAGGATTTTATTCCGATTTGTCTTATTTTAGTTATATTACGAGTTCGGGGACTTTCTGTGTTGCCAAAGGAATATATATCCCCTGCCCATAGGTTTCAACTCCTTTATACAACTTGGTGTATAAGTAGGCGAACCGAATTAGTTAACTCCATATTGGTACACACACTTCTGGAGCGCCCAATTTCGAGTTTGGGTAAAGTAAAAGTGAAACAAGTCGACGCAGCCTTATTACAAATTATATATAATTATACCTAAAGTGAAATTCTTTTCGGAAAACACGTAGGCCTATATTGCTTATAAGTATGGTGCGGTGCGTTTGCGAAGAGTAAAAATGAGACAAATAGTCACGTATCTATTGAATGTTACTCCGAAACATGGCGTAGCGCAGCGTTAAATAGAGTAGTTTATGCATTGCTGTTCAGTTTTCTAATGCAGGAGTGTGCAACCTTCAATACAAGAGGGCCAGATACAAAAAAAATGAATGAAACCGCGGGCCGCACCTTTTTTCAACATAGGGATCTTAGTTGTTGCAGGCACAAAAATTTTGGGTATTGATCTCATAACCTGCGTTGTTCGCTTTGCACAAGCAAAGCTGTTAAGGAATTGTAAAGTCACAAGAAAGATAATCAATAAGGCTTTGCAAAGAGATTGGAATTACTCTCACGTATCAGATTGAACAAAATTAAAAACTTGGATCGCGGGCCTGACATCATTCGAAATTAGCACCTCTCCGCAGGTTGCACACTGCTGAGAAGTATTGAAACGATTTGTGTTTTACCCAATTCAAAAGTGAATGAATTCAGGCTAAATTAAGCTTAGTAATCTTATTCATAATACTCAATAGTTTACTTTATCAAAAAAAATTAAAGAAAAGAACGAGCATGGACAACAAAACTTCAGGTACTCCAGAAAACGGAACTACAGGTGAACAACTTTCAATGTTGAAAAACTTTGAAATTAATTTGAAAACGGTACTCCCGTTGTATATGTACCAGTTTAGGGTTAAGCCATAATTTTGTTCCGTTTTTTCTTATTTTAGTTCTATTACGAGTTCGGGAACTGTCTGTGTTAGCCAAATGAATATACCCCATTCCTATTCCCTTTATACAACTTGATGTAAAGCAGGCAAACAAAATTAGTTACCTCCATATTGGTGCACACACTTCTGGAGCTCCTTGAAAACAAAGCAATGTATTCGTGTTTAAAATAAAGATACATCCTACACTGAAAATACCAAACAAATATTTAAGCCAATATTTATGATTAGTTCCGATTATGTACGTTTCCCCAACCATTGCCCCAGAAAAGAAAAGAATAACATATATTTGCGTAATATAATGCAATGTCGGGCACTCAGTATGCTTCTAGCCAAAAAAGTCACACTTAAAAACATTTCACACGAAGAAAAACTATCAAATAATGTGACAGCCAAATATTGAAATGATTGAAACATAAAACAATACCATATATATTTGCATAATGAAATGAAGTTTTGGGCACCCATTATGCGTAAGAAAGGCACACATGAAACATCTCACATAAATAACATGTACATACCAAATCATGTACAAACACAATTAACTATACGGAGAATTTTGCTGCTGTTTCGTTTCCAATATAGGATTGCAAACGAGGCCTCAAAGAAGTTTCTGCAACACGTAGCGGCGTGCAGCCGATTTCTTTGCTTTGTTCTAATTAAGGCTAGTGATGAAAATGTTTTTTCGCAAAACGCAGTAACTGATTGAAAATACGGACAGCAGTTTGAATGCTCGATTACTTAGCGATGGGTATTCGTTATCAAGAGATGTCCAAAATTGTGACAGTGATTTTTTTTAAATCTTAACTGTAAAGTAGAATCACAAATATCAATCAAGCTTTTTCTATTTCATCGAATTATCATATTAATCGCTCTGCAGTTTATCGACGTCTCAACCGAAATGAATTTACATTACAATGACAAAGTCGTCTGTAACTTGGCACCAGGCTCAAAATCCTACTGTGCCTTCTCAAAATACTGGAAAAGATCCCTGCGACCCATGCTTGTTGCCCGTCTCGTGAACACCTGCAGGGTCGCAACAAGTTCATATTTTACTGGAATATTATACTGTTCTTGACTGTTTTCTGGTTTAAACAAAGAAATATGCACAACGTTTTATATGGATGGTCATATTAATCAGGAAAAGCACGCGGAACAGAAAAAGCACGCGTGCCTAGTTTTAGATTTTTGAATCTTGCTAGCTATGATTGAGCGCATTCGCGATAAATCAAAGCCGAAAAAGCGAAAAGTGTCAAGATGTCGCGAAAGACGTCGCACTATGACGGCGGAGAATAATGTAATAAACCAACGCAACCTCGTCTTCGGTAAAACTTTCACTTTTAATTTTTCCCTAAATTTTCAATATTGTTCATCCTTTATTTCTGCATTAGTAAAGTAAAATCATTTTTTGTTTCAGAGTTCAAACCTATCGTGAAAACATGGATAATGAGAATCCTGGTTGTTTTAATCATTGCTGCTGCGATTGGACTTCCTTTGATGTTTGTTCAGAGTAAGTTAAGCATTTGCAGTCAACTTAATCGAATCCAGGAAGGATCGATGGCCTAGCAGTGGTTCCTCAAGTTTCGCACCCCACCTTGAAAATAACTAGCTAACAATAAGCTACAACTAACCAATAGTAAGGCAAAAGTATGTTTTATTATAAAAAAAATACGTGAATGGAACGTAAATATCCAAAATAAGAAGATGTAAATATCCAAAATAAGGCGGGAAAGGTCAAACCAAACAAATATTTTAATCAGCTTCACGCTTCCTCAAAAATTGTTTTCGCCCCCCTTTCGATACGACCAATAAGGTCACCAGAGTCTGTTTTTATGGAATTTATGCTTTATATGAAATTTATGCTTTGCAGCAAACAGAAAAAATCAAAGTATCATCGATGAAAAAGAGTTCATATATAAAGAACAGATGGACAGAATTAACGGACTCCAGGAAAAGTTGGAAGAACTACAAACAACCTACGAAGCAAGTCAAAATTTAACAAGGAAACTAAAGCTTGCTGTCGATGGAAGTAATATATGAATTTCTTATATACACATTTTATCGCTACCTAAATGTGTGATTTGACATGCTTACACGGGTCAAATCGTCCCTGCTGAATAAATGTTTCATGTCTATATTTTTGGACTCGTAAATCGTTTTGTTAAAGGTGTTGTTCTTTATTATTTATTTTTTCCCTGTCGTTATGAAAAAATCGCTTTTCTCTTTGATTCCTGAACCGAATGCTTAAAATTTTTATTGGTTAAAGATAGTATTTTTCGCTAGAAGGCTATTAATTTTAAATATTTCTGTGAGCTCTGTGGGATTCGTTTTTTGTGTGCTATGACGTCATCAAAATTTGCGCATCTTGTGGCGGTGGGAAATTGATGATAAACTATTCAAATTTGCCCTCCGTGTCCACATATTTGAGCATAGCTCTTGCATTTGAGCATAACTCTCAAGTTTTAATCAAAATTGTTGTTTTGATTCTGCCGTTGCTAGTGCATGTATCCGAAAACGAATTACTGACTAACTAATCCCATACACGACATGGACTGGTAACCGGACGAGAGGCCGTGGTTCGCCATATGATTAAGCCGAGTTATCGGCTTTCCTCTCCCCCCAGTTAAATATGTAAGTCATGTCATGTTACTTATATAAATACCCAAATACCCTTTTCACGTTATAGAACCAATACTTGAAGTATTTTCATTTTTCCAGCTTTCTATCTTGCCGACATTGATATGGTTTTCTGGTATGGTATTTAATGAACTGAAACATAAATTTACAGATATTTTTTTTCTTTAGTCAAGTGTTGTAACATCGAATGATTCATTCACACGATGGTATCCGAAATATCCAAGATCGAGTCAATCGACAAATAAGACAACAAATGTTTATATCGTAGTGAATAGAATTGCTGATAATAAGAATCACGGTATGCGCAATGCCGAACGCTCTCTCGACGCCCACACTACCATATGCCAGATATGAAAATGTCAAGACTTTGATTTATTCTTGTGGAAATACTAAATATGTACATTATGAAAATACTAAACGATTTAATACGAGGACAGTTACGTGACGATGGTGGGTAATGGTATTAGATAAGAAATCTAGTTGCGGTCGTCTTTGGTTAGACACATTTACACAGTGCTTGCATTATTTTTATTCAGAGCCTTCTAAGCCCCATTATTGTTTATAATAGCAACTCCATCTTCCGCTATTTCAGAATTTAACGAGGTAAAACGACAAATATTAAATATTATCTTGAGAAGTAATTGTATATAATGAGATATTGTCGACAATTCTTTCACTTTGCACTGCAATTTATCGTTTTGTTTCATTTATGTTTTAATAAAAGTTGTTTATGGCCGTAATGTTATTTCTCGATAAATATAATCTAAGGTATGCACGAGAGAGTAGGTCTGAATGGTGAGGCCCATATTGATATAAGTACGTTCACATGGCCCGAATGCGGAGAATCACGCGGCTGTCACATGTATATGAATTCTCACCTCAAAAGCATATTACAAACTTTAACTTAAGTCCCGAATGCATTTTACAAGTTGCCACCGACACCTAAGGATATAGTACTTTGGAAGGATAGATTATTTGAAGTTTTGTATTACCTATTCAACTTTCTACCTGGCGAGGTTTGGGATCTTTTGTACAAAGTCACCGTCAAAAAATTAGTAAATCAGAAAATCAGTAACTATCCAGTTTGGGTTCCAGATTACGCTAGAAGTTTTTAAATGATCCTTACCTCAACTGGATAAATTACTGATTTTTTTTAAAAAACGTGGCGCTCTTGTTCAAATTCTGACATTTTAGCATTAGTGTCGGGTGCTTTGTACAAGAGATTCAAGGTTTTATATAGAGAGCTTTGCGTTACCCACACAACCTATAACGCCTTGGGTAAGTTTTGCATTATAGACAAACCACACTCTTAGCGTACCATGCTCTAATTGGGAACTTACAGTTGGTTTGTGTATCAAATGTAACTCGTAACTAACGTGTAACTCGTAAAGGCGGAAAAGCAGACATAATAAAATAGAAATTATTTTTAAATTAGTTACTTAACATGCAACAAACCAGCAAATGTTTTAGATTTTCAAAATAAAAGATTACCAGTTTTGTTTCGTGGCAGAATTTTTGTTGCCAAATATTGCTGCATTATCATATTTGTTTCATATCATCATTCACCAAACAACAATGACAGTATCTGTAGACGTTTCCCCGACCCTTGACTCCTGAAGATCTCCGTATACAGTACTTTATCATCGCTGATTTGGAGAGTGTTTCGGAGAGTTTTTTTTATTTATTTTTATTCAAAACAATGAACAACGTGATGCTCAAAAGTACTGATAGCCAAATCTAGGCTAGTCTGGCGCAGCGTTTGCGGTACAATTTTTGGTTATTGCAACTCAACTAAAGGTTCTCGGAAGACACTATGACAATTAACTTATTTGATTTTCAACTACCGGTATTTTTTGGAAACACAACCAAAACCTGACAAAGAACACGCAAAACCTTAAAAACGAGGCATTGTTTACAACCACGCCTGAATATTTGTTTGGGAGGAAGAAGTGTCTGAGCGACGAAGTAAATGCCAATTATTACGTCATTGTTAATTTATTGGTGATTTGTAATTGTTACGGAAATAAACAAAGAAATCGATGCCCGGGGAAACATCCATTTAATCAAAAACAAAAGGTCAAAGGTCACTTAAAATCCTGTTTTCTTCAAGTCTACATATCAGGTGTGTAATATCACAGCAGGCCTGTTGTTGTTGTGCCGCAGCGTACGGTGGTTTGTTTTGTAGTAGATATTTGACCAAAGTCACCACAAATTAACTTCTTGCAACTTGGCTGCTGTTTCTATTTTAGGTAAATTTATGCTTCAGTCAGTACACATGGTTTTTCTATTTTACTTCATCTCTATTTTATATTCCCTTGAGTTTTGTTTTGTATTCTCCATTGAATCTTAATTTTGCTTTTTTCATATTTCTTCGTTTTTGGGGCTTTTTTATTTACATTCGTAATTTTCACTTCTTCATATTTCGGCCTTTTTTCTTTACCCCTTTGGCTTCTTTTCTTCTTTTTTTTTCATTTTCGCAATTTTTGGGGCCTTTTTTTTCTGGCCTTCACTTTCTCTTTCCTTTCTCTTCTTTCGTTCGTTCGGCCTTCAACTAACTTCTTAATTTCCACTCTCGCTCTTTATTATCTCCAGCCCCGATGGGCATCCGGTTTCCTTTCTTCTTTATTCATTCGATGCTTTTTTTTTCTTCTCTATGGGCTTTTTCTTTACCCCCCCTTGGCTGCTTTCGATGCTCTAATCTCCTTTCTCTTCTTATCCCTGCTTGGCTCCTCCATTCACGCCAATCTCCTTTCTCTCTCGCTCTTTATTATCTCCAGCCCCGATGGGCATCCGGTTTCCTTTATTCTTTATTCATTTTTTCTTCTCTATGGGCTTTTTCTTTAACCCCCTTGGCTGCTTTCGATGCTCTGATCTCCTTTCTCTATCCCTGCTCCTCTTCCTTTCTCTTCTTTCGTTCGGCCTTCAACTAACTTTTTAATTTCCACTCTCGCTCTTTATTATCCAGCCCCGATGGGCATCCCGTTTCCTTTCTTCTTTATTCATTCGATGCTATTATCCCCCCTTTATTCATTTCGATGCTGGCTGGGGGCTTTTTTCTTTTCTTCATTCATTCGATGCTGGGGCCTTTTTACTTACTTACCCCCTTGGCTGCTTTCTGATGTCACTCGCGCTAATCTCCTTTCTCTTCTTATCCCTGCTTCTTTTCTTCTTTATTCATTCGATGCTGGGGCCTTTTTACTTACTTATGTCACTCGCGCTAATCTCCTTTCTCTTCTTTTTTTTTTCTTCTTTATTCATTCGATGCTGGATGGGCCTTTTTTCTTTTCTTCTTTATTCATTCGATACCCCCTTGGCTGCTTTCTGATGTCACTCGCGCTAATCTCCTTTCTCTTCTTATCCCTGCTTCTTTTCTTCTTTATTCATTCGATGCTGGGGTGTCACTCGCGCTAATCTCCTTTCTCTTCTTATCCCTGCTTCTTTTTCTTCTTTATTCATTCGATGCTGGGGCCTTTTTACTTACTTGGCTGCTTTCTGATGTCACTCGCGCTAATCTCCTTTCTCTTCTTATCCCTGCTTGGCTCCTCCATTCACGCCAATCTCCTTTTCCTCTCTCTTTTTTATCGCCTGCCCCCTTTCTTTTAAGTGTTTGAAACACCTCCCCTCCTCACGCTCGTTCTATCTGAACTTTTTTTTCTACTCTGCTTGGCTCTTCTGCCTGCCCCCCTTTTTGTGGTGTTTCTCCTAATTTTCACACTCGCACGTTATCTTAACCTCGCGGATTTCACCCTCACTCGGCTCCCTGTCACTTGTTTCCTTGCTTCATTTTTACCCCGCCCTGACCGCCTGGGCCTTGCCGCTGGTCTATTTTCGCTCACTCTCATTCTGGGTTCTACCACCTTCCATTCTCTGCTCTCTTTGGTTGCTGCTCTCACCTGCCCCTTTCCCCCTCGACCGTCTGCCCAAGCTGCTGGTCAACACCTACGACTCAATCTACCATGTGGGTTCGAACCACGGTCCTAATGTTTGACCATGTCTCTACGCTTCCCCTGAGCTACAGCCACTGGTGAGAATCGGTTGATTAGAATGTTACTTTATTAACGACGTCACGCTTGGCAGCCTATGACGAGGTTAATTACTCTCGAAAAATTACATTGAACATGCTTCATTGATTCAAAGCAGGTGTATCCATACTGTAATTGGAAGCGTTCATCTGGGACTATGAGGTGCGTTGCTTTAACAATTTAATGTGTTAATTACTCTTTTTAATTTTTTGTTTCATTTTAGTTTAGTTTTTAATGAAAATGCTAAGATAATTCAAATTAGTGAATGTGCAAATCAAATTTCTGATTGTCAAAGGAGAAATACTAATTTGATTTTTTCTGTCTCTTGTGCTAACTGGCCGTCGTATTTCTTGTTTACTTTTCTGAATTTATAAAACATCTCAGATCAAAATTGGAGCGACGTTATACCCTGTTATAGATTTAAAATGATATCATACACACTAAAAAAATGAAAAACACCTTAAATTTTGTCTGAAGAGCAGTGGGGTGCCTAGAGGGGGGCGGAAGGGGCAGCCGCACCGGGCAGCACGTTGTAGGGGGCAGCAAAACCATGCTGTAGAGTAGGCGTTGTAATACATGTTTTTTTTTCCGATTCGTATTAAATCAAAAGCTGACATTATGAGTGACCGACTGTGATGATGGAGAGTCAACGATGGATGTTTTCCCGACCATTGACTCTAAAAAACTCTTCTTATCTTATTTTACAATTGCAACATTTTGGGAGCTCATTTTAGGGTGGTTTCGCGATTAAGCGCCTCATACTAGTTTATATGCCTTGGCTCGGCGGTGTGGCGCATCGTGCTAAGCGTTAGGAATACGCTCGCCACCACATCTCTGATTACCCTTCGTGGGATCGCAGGTTCGAATCCCATGCGGGGATGATCATGTGGGAGAGGATTGCTGGACTCCTCGCCGCCGTAGGGTGGTTCACGTAACCGCTGGTCGGTTACGGCTTTCTCTACCATCAAGTCCATGCTTCCGAAAACAAATAACTGGCTAACTAATCCCATACCTGACTTGGACTGGTAACCGGACGAGAGGCCGTGCTTCGCCATATGATTAAGCCGTCTTATCGGCTTTTCTCTCCCCTGGGATAAACATGTAAATCATATCCTATTCTATCCTATGTTTCAAACAATCATTTTGATTCAAAATATTCAACCCTGTTATTTGAAAGTACCGGTAAATTATTTTAGCCTTGTCTACCACAGCTATTTTTGTACTAATTTATGATCAATGCAGTTAAAATATATGAGAACACAGTATAATCATTGAGTTTCATTATCTTTGCACCATTTACATTTGCACCCAGGACAATTGCATTTGCATACTTTTGTAGCGACGGACCTCCTAATGTTATACTTAGTAATGAAAACAAACTCACCGCAAATCCGAACGTACAAAGGGTGCAAATTTTTAGGGTGTAAATATCCGCGCGTGTAAATTTACGTGCGTGCAAATGTTCGTGTGTGTAAACTGCAAATGTAGGCTACATGGGTGCAAATGTCCATGGGTGCAAATGTCCCATATTGTTTATTACTCACAATCGGCTACTCAATTGCTAGTTGCGACGATCTTTCCCAGAGCTAAAATAGATGGAAAATATTCGAGGTTTTCAAGGTCAAATTAGCATCTGTCAAGTTTACCTTTGATTACCATCGAAAAGAAATTCCTGAAGAGCGAGGTGAAGAAGGCTCTCGTTCAGACATTTTTTCCCAGAAAATTGCGTGCCAAAATCGGCTAAATTTTTTTACAAATTTTTCGCGTGCCGACAAAAATTAAAAACAATGCTTTGCTACTTCAAAGCAAAAATACACAATAATAACCCCTTTGAACATGCACAAACAGATTCGGTAAAATATCAGTCCGACAAATATATGTGATGACCTATTCTATATATATGAGTGAGACTTCTACTGCTGCATTACCGCTGATAGAGATTGGACATTGGGTTTATGTTTTTTAACTTTCAAAGAAATACACGACATACTGGTTCCATGTTTTAGGCTACTTCTGTTACGAGACTAAATAAAGTTCATATCTGAGAACAGAGATCCACAAGTTTATGTAGAATAAAACACGGACAGTAATTTATTTTAAAGTTTTTCCCTACGGTAGGATTATTTTATTTTTTGATATTTTCAAGATAATTTACTATATATTATAATACATTGATTTTATGGTAAACAAATTCTTAGAATATTTTCAATTAAGTGTTGCATTTCGACATAAAACACTGTTGTCGGGAAATATGGATATCGTTAGACATAGGTAGATTCCGGTTTTATTTTGAAGTTTTCCCTACGGTAGAATTTTTTTATTTTTTGGATATTTGTAAGATAATTTACTATATATTATAATACATTAATTTTATGCTGAACAAGTTATTAGAATATTTTCAATTGAATGTTGTATTTCGACACAAAACACCGTTGTCGGGAAATATGGATATCGTTAGACATAGGTAGATTCCGGTTTTATTTTAAAGACTTTCCCTACGGTAGAATTTTCTTATTTTTTGATATTTGTAAGATAATTCACTATATATTATAATATATTAATTTTATGCTGAACAAGTTATTAGAATATTTTCAATTGAATGTTGTATTTCGACACAAAACACCGTTGTCGGGAAATATGGATATTGTTAGAAATAGGTAGATTCTGGTTTCATTTCAAAGTCTTTCCCTACGGTAGAATTTTTTCATTTTTTGATAATTTTTAGAAGAAGAACTATGTAATATGATTTTTTAATTTAACATCATTACCGCGAAATATTGATATCGGTCGAGTGTGCTAATTTTGACTTTAAATTTAAAGTCCCTCTCTGCGGTAGAATTTTTTAAAATTTATATAATCATATACTGTATAATATGATAATTTAATTCCGTGATAAACAACTCGTTGAATTCTTTTTGATAAACTGTTGAATTTCGACATCAGAAGCCATCGAGATACAATGTGTGTATCTGCTGGTGTAATGCTTTCTGCTGGTGTAATGCTTTTATAATGTTTATTTTTTTATTTTACAAGATGTATTTGTGCAAATCAGGTATGGTTTATTCATAACAACATTTTTATTCATAAAAAGAACAAGCACTTAGCTTAGTTTTTAATTTTCTTGTTTTTTATATCCGACGGTAAATTTCAGCTTGTTTACCGTCATATCTGGCAACTCTGGTTAGAGATATTATTGTTCGTTCAGTTGATTTTGATTCATTTTCCCGGCAATTGTAGCCATTTTGTGCTATCAGATGGCCGACTCTGAGAGGTTCTGGTGCTGATTTAAATGTGGATATGTGTAATTTAGTACCGTAATCTGTGAGCGTTTAGGATGCCTTAACTTGCCGTATAACACTGTCAGAACGCCAGCCCACACTCGTGTGACGCTAGCCCACACTCGTTTTTGTCAGGCCATAAGGGTTAACTGGGCCGTGCTTGGTATTAGCGTTGTATATCTGTATATGTCAGATAGATAGATAGATAGTTTATTTCGAAAACTCCATAACAAACCTAAATTTAAAATGGAGAATTCTGGAGGGCAAGCAAAACCTACAGATACCGGTACCGGTATGGTCTCTTTATTGTCAGAGCCAAGTTTTTATGTAATAACGTTTATAAAGCCAGTAAAATACTTAGTTAACCCGTTGACGTCAGGCTGAGTGTGGGCTGGGGTACGGTACCGGTACCTGTAGGTAACTTTGGTGGTAAATTGAAGAATATTCAGATTGCTACCGGTACCGGTATATAATATATTGATCTAGCCTATTTATACTGGGCTAACTTTATTTATTTGTCAAAGTCAAATATTGTCAAGAAGCATTAGTTACCGTATATTTGCGTGGTCAGGTAATAGAAAATATTTAATTTTATAATTTCTTTGAAACATTTCATTATTTCGCTCTTTTTGCTTCTAAAAATTGAGCTTCGGCGTTCGGTAGTTTGTTTTGTACAGACAATTTATATTTGCTCGTAGTTTTTACTCCTTATTTTGAATTGCATGTAGGTTATGCTATTATTCAGTAACAGTTCAGTTTAACAATAATTCTTCATCGGATCTGCTGGTCAACCCACCACTATGTCCATGCGTCGTGGATGGCTGGGGGCACCGAAACCTCCGAAGAATCCGCACTCTTTGGAACACCTTAAGTATGATTTTTAAAAACCTTGTAGTTTCATTGTTTGCGTATGTTTTACCGAAAAAAAAAAAAAAAAAATGTTCTTATGCTCTAACTGCAGAACTGTCTGATGTAAGTTATCTAACATAGCTACCGTCCTACTGTAGCATATTTCTAACCCTTAGCATAATGCACCACAACGTACAAACGTATGTCTGAATGTGTCTTTTTTGGCCTATTGCAGCCATCATCACTATTTAAACAAAATTAGAAAGGCTTAAAACTGTGTCCTTGACTCATGTTAATCAAATAATGAATTGTAAATTGATGTTATGAAAAACATCGTTCAAGATCTCTCAGTAAAAAAGTAATTGAAAGCACAAAGTTTTGCTCAAGTGACGGCTAACGTAATTTACGATAGATTGTATTATTTAGACAAACATGTCTATATTGCTCACCATTATGCGTCGAATAAACCTACATACATACAAGTTTACTCATATGCCGTCATGCCAGACACTCATTACCAAATGTGTTTGTTTTATATATCTAAATATTGGGACATTCTTGGTATTTAGATCTGTACTACCGTGTTTCCCCGAAAATAAGACCTACCCCTAATTTCAAAAATGATTTTAATAAAACTCCGCTCCTTCAAATAAGACTTAAAATTGTTTTATTCTCGGGGAAACACGGTATATTATATAAGTGAATCAGCCAATTTGTGTCTTGAATATAAAATCAAAAGATGGAAGTTTTTTTTCACTTTCAGATATCTTCATCATATTTTGACGAAGAATTCCACTGTTACTGAAGGCAACAAGGCACTTATTGTCGAAGCATTACGTTCAATGTCCGAAATATTAATTTGGGGAGATCAAAATGATAGTTCTGTTTTTGAGTAAGTTTTTTGTTTCAGAAATTTGTAATAAGGGAATCAATTGCAGCAAATGCAACTCAGTTATCTTTTTGCATTTGTGCTGAATGTGTACTCATTATGTTCGTGTATTTAATAGTGACCACAATTTCCACGAGAAGTCGGGACTTGGGAGTTCAATAGGTCAGGGAACATGTCCTCACACTTCAGTAGCACCAATGAAAGATCTTATTTATTTTGCTCAAATACCCAGTATTATAACACAAAGTCATTTAATAATGAATATTGTTCATGTTTGTCATTTCAGGTTCTATCTGGAGAAAAACATGTTTCTTTTCTTCTTGAATATTTTGAAACAAAACGCTGGGAATTATGTCTGCATTCAACTCCTTCAAACATTGAATATTCTGTTTGAGAATCTACAAAACGATACTTCATTATGTGAGTATTCTTATTTACAAGGATATTGTGTATTGAACTACAGGACCTTTCTCCTTGTAACTTATTGCATTGGTACTTAAACGAGATTATAAATATGGGCTATTCCAAGTGACACTACAGGGCAATTCCAGAAATTTTGCATGTTGTTAAATTCAATATATTTTCACATTTTCATCTACATGTTTTGTTTCATTGTCCAATCAGTTGCTTTATTGAATATGTAAAAAATTGCACAAAAGTTACACCCGACCTTACTTAGTAGATAAAAAAAACTTTTGCTCGGAATGGCCCATATAAATAACATAATCTCTTTCCATGAAATAGCATGTATATTTGTTAGATCTTGCTAGATAGTCTAACTCAATGGTTCTCGAACGGTGGGGCGCGCCCCGCAAGGTTGGCCGCAGATAATTTTTTGAGGGTTCGTGAAGCGAATTAAAAATACAAGTATTTGTTAGATTTGATCTTACCGGCTTTTTTTCAGATATTTACATTCCATCCATGTATTTCTAACATATTTTTCAAATAATTCATACTTTCGCCTCACTATATGTTATTTGTAGCTTATTGTTAGTTATTTTTGAAGTGGAGCGTGAGACTTGACAAATTCTAAAACGGGGGTGCTGCTTGAAAAGTTTAAGAACCACTGGTTCTTCTGACAAAACAAGATATCGTGGTATCTACAGTGATAAAGCCAGCCAATAGAAATTTTGTGTGTTTGTTCAATTATTTTCCTCAAACTAGGCTATTTAGTGAAATATCAAGATAACATCCCTATTTGCCATTTTTGAAAGTTGAAAAGCTATTAATTCGAAGTGAATTGTAATTTTCTTCGTCCCGACAACAACGGCATTATAAATAAAATAGTATGTAGTTTCACGTTGTTGTCCGAAAATGGGCTAGATCATAGGTTCTCAAAGTGCTCCGTACAGAGCCCCAGGGCACCGCGAGAGAAACTCAGGGGTTCCGCGAGCTATGATTACTTTTCAAATCCTCGAAATATGACAAAGATTTCATTTCATTTACAATGACTGCATTAATTGTAGGTAAATTGATTGATTCGTTATTTCTTTAAAACTAATGTCTTATTTTTCGTTCTTATTAAACATGGCGCATAAAATAATTAATGGAAATTCGTTACAAGAAAACTAGTTATTTTTATAGAAAAATAGGAAGTCACAAGTGTTTGAGTCCTCGGACGGGGTGATGGATTATGAAAGTTTGAAAACCATTGAGTTGAATACGCTGTGATAAAGTTTATGATTCGGTTGGTGTATAATGCTTGTACATATAACTTTTGTGGATGCTTATTTGTTCACGATGTTTCATATTATTTCCTGTCTTCTGATTACACAACGCTACCTTTATTTCCGGTACTTTTTCTTGTTAGTGGTTCTCAACAACTTTTATGATGTTTAATAAGTCCTCGTATCAATGCATTTAAATTGCCTCATTTGCATGTTACAATATTTAAAGTGATGGTGCTTGTAATACTTCTTAGTCCCATGTTCAAACCTGTTAGCAGCTTTCATGAATTTCCATCCATTATGTTTGTCTTGTTTGTTTCCATTTTTTTGTACGACAAAGTAAAAATGATTATCTCGCCTAATATTATTCTCAAGACAAAGGGACAGAGATTCAATTTTTGCAATCAGTCATATTATTATCATTTATGTTGAAATTTTGGGAAAATACAACAAAGAAATATGTTATTCTAAATCTGATATCTAACCATATTTTAACGCAATATTCACCAAAGTATTTCAATAAAAAGTTACAGGTATTATCAATATTATATTCTCACACATTTGCTCATTTCAGCTTTTTCAATCTTCTGGGTTATATAAGCTAAGACCGTACTGGTGCAATAATTTCCATATATTCGGACACTGCTCCTAAAAAACACCGAATCAGAAGAACAAGTCAGTAACTCTTGTCAGTCATATTATTATCAACATCTTATCATTTTTTCAGACTATCTGCTCTCCAACAACCATGTGAATGAAGTTATCTGTCATAAGTTCGATTTCTCTGATGAAGAAGTTCTCGCTTATTACATCTCATTCCTGAAAACTTTGTCTCTAAAGCTCAACCAGCATACAATACATTTCTTCTACAATGAAGTAAGTTTTTATTTTTAGGATTTTAGAAGCTCATTTTGCTCTTTTTCTCATTTGCTCTTTTCAAAAAAAGTTGTTGCATATAAGTAGGAAAGAATATGTTTCTTTGTGGGAGTATATACGTGATAGTTGGACATTTTATGGTAAAGGTATGTTTTGTTACCTACATGGGAAAAAACTTCCAAGTATGTCATTAATTGGTTCCCCCAATTTTGGTTTGCGATTTGTTAGCAGAGACTTAGAGAACCCAAGTATTTGTGGTCACAAAATATCCCAACCTTCAACAAAAGCTTATTTAATGAAGCATAAAAAGTTAATCTGAAACTTTTCAACAACCACAGTATAATGTACTTGCCCAAATCCCTCTTTTATCACTGTTTTATTCCCAGCATACAGATGACTTCGCTCTCTATACAGAAGCAATCAAATTTTTCAACCATTCTGAATCAATGGTGAGGATTGCTGTCAGGACATTGACATTGAATGTTTATAAAGGTATGTAGTGCATACAGTCCTCTTACTCTTATTTTGCTCGGTGTTTATTAAGTTTTGATTATATTGATATTGTGTTTTTTCATGACATTGAATGTATAAAATAGTATGTAGGGTATACAAGACTTTCAATTCCTGTTACAATTACAATTTTGGTATGAAGTCAGTTCGCAATATATCATAACCAGGTTTGTTTATTTTACTTATTCGAAGAATAGATAAATTTTGAATGGCTTTGGTTCCAGAACAGCTTGTTTACTGAGAATTTTACAAATTTTAGAACTTTCGTTATTAATTTTATTGACATTTGGTAAAAATAAAAAGCACTTCAGATAGAGTGCTAATATCATTTATCAATGGATGTTCTCCATGTTTCTTCTATGTATTCCTGAACTCATCTTTTTCTTGTATTTAGAATTTGCTTGGTTGTCTTATAAGCTTCTGTAGGCCTGGGGATTTTTGATCGGTGCTCCAGATGTATGCGCACCAAGATGTCGCACAGACTGAATCGTAACCGGTACACACATACTGTGTTCAGGTTGTGCGCCATTTTGGTGCGCATACTTCTTGAGGTCGTTGTGATCAATATTTTTATATCATGAAATTTATTGATTACATATTAAGCTTCCTGTCATGCGTCTCTAAATGTAAAATGTACAACTTATCATCTCACAGAATTTGATAAAATCCTGTATATTGACTTAAAGCGCTTGGGGAACCGAGAAAAAAACAGAAATTGGGTCAATTTGAACACAGGACACAGGACAATTTGATGTCCAAAACTGAATATTTCACTATCCAAATACATTCTGAGCATATTATGTTTTGATGTACATGGGAAACCGTAAAAAAACAGAAACGAGAATATCGGTCAGAGACCGAAGACTTATCGATCGAAAGTTAGGGGATCCCCTAAAACAGCGCTCTTACTCCATAGTAACACCTTGTGTTTCATCACTAATTAATTAATAACTCGCTAGTTATACGGCATATTTGCCCAAAATAAATAGGCTTCTGGTCCGAGATAAGATGAATGCACATGCAAAATCTGGAGCAGATTCAAACTCGCCTTCGTGAGATATCGCGTGCATCTAACAGACAAACAGACAGACAGACAAATACCTATCAACATACTTACCGATTAAAATCGATAAGTAATTATAAGCACTCTATCTGAAGTGCTTATCATTTTTACTAAATGTCAATAAAATTAAAAACGAAAAGTTCTAAAAATTTGTGAAATTCTCGATATCGCGAAATCGATAAGTAACTATGTCATTTTGAACGAACACATTCTAGAGAGAACCTAAGATTTGTGCCAAATGTCTTAGGTTACTGAAACTTTGAGTACAATCATAAAAAACGAATTGCAAGTATTGAATAAATTTTCTTCATAGAAGTAATTGAGAAATCTTTGGGTTTTTATTTTGGCTCACCCTGTGTATTGAACCATCTCTTGTCTGGTTTTTGGGCAATATTCTCAAATCCCAAACTTGACTCCAGTGAATGTGACTTTCAAATGTATCTGAATATTTGATGATTTAGGGCAGTGGTTATCAAACGGTGGGGCGAGCCCCGCAGTGGTGGCATGGAGAATTTTTTGAGGGGGCGTGGAATTGAATGAAAATAAATTGTTAGACTTGATCTTGCTCGACTTATTTGGATATTTACCGTACATTTCTTTATTTTGGATATTTTCGTTCCATCCATGTATTTTCAACGTGTTTTTGAATAAAACATACTTTCGCCTTACTATCTGTTATTTGTAGCCTATTGTTAGCTAGTTGTTTTTGAGCTGGGCGCGAGTCCTGACAAATTCTAAAACGGGGGCGCGGCTTGAAAACTTTGGGAACCACTAATTTAGAGCATCCTCTGCCAGTAGGTTAAACATGAAATATTGCAAATAGCTCTCAAAATTAAATTTGACCTGTTTTTGCAAACACATGTCCGGTCACATTAGACCTTCAGTGCCTGCTATGCTTTACTTTCTATACAGTTAATGTTGAATTTTTTGTTGTTACTAGTTTGCATACTGTGGGTCAAGATAACAAGTCATAGCTTGCAATCACAATGTTTTATGAATCATCATCTTATGAAAACATGTTTTAATCGGGACCTAGCATGTCATGAAAAGTTGTCATACCGGTAGTTGTTATTTAAATTTGACCCTTGTTGAAAAATGTTTTTATTTTGTAAAAGTTACTGTTTATCCGTTACTGCCTTGTATTTTCAAATTGAAATTACTTGATTATACATTAGCTTATACATAACTCAGTTAATAATTGCTGTGAAAATGTCTACTGTTGCTTTTAACATCTTTCCATCAGTTAACAGGTATGTGCCACAATTAATGATAAAAAGCCAATAAACAACATATGCATTAGAGTCAAAAATAACCCGTTTTGAGAAACCCTGATTTAAATAATTGTTATGAGGAAAAAGAATTGCTAGACTCCTCGCCGATGTAGGGTGGTTCACATAGCCGCTGGTCGTTCACGACTTCCCCTACCATCAAGTCCATTCCTCCGAAAACAAAATAACTGGATGACTAATCCCATACCTGACATGTACTGGTAATTTGACGAGAGCCCGTGGTTCGCCGTGTGATCAAGCCGTTTCAACGGCTTTCTTCTTCTCGGGATAAATATGTCAATCCTATCCTAAGTACCGGTAGTAATAATATTTAAAAAAATGTGCCCCAAGTTTATTACCGAATACAGTTTTCGATTAAGCATTCTTTCTATAATATTATTTGCTTCAAAATCATTATCCCAAATTTAGAAAACTTAATTAAAACAATTTTTCTTTTTCCTTTAGTGCAAGATGAAGCAATGCTTCGTTACATCCGAGACAGAACAGCTGTTCCCTACTTCTCCAATCTTGTTTGGTTTATTGGAAATCATGTCAGAGAACTCAACACTTGCATAAGGAGCAATGATAAGTAAGACATTTTGCTTTGTTATAATATAATAGAATTGTTGATGTAACTTTAGTTGTCAAAAAAAATGTCATCGACTCTTGGCACCGACTTGTAGCACTTATTACTTGTCGATTTTAATTGGTAAGTATGTTGATAGGTATTTGCCTTACTGTCTGTTAGATGTGTGCGATATCTCACGAAAGCGAGATTGAATCTGCTCCAGATTTTGCATGTGCATTCATCATATGTCGTACCAGAAGCCTAATGATTTTGGATGAATTATGCCGTATAATTAGCGAGTTATTAATTAATTAGTGATGGGACACAAGGTGTCACTATGGAGTAAGAGCGCTGTTTTGGGGGATCCCCTAACTTTCGATCGATAAGTCTTCGGTGGCTGACCGATATTCTCGTTTATTCTTCATTTCTAACCTGATATGGCAGCCCGATAGCATTATAATATAGGTTCTTCAAATGACCAGAAGGTACCGAATCAGAAGCATAGCAAGGAAGGGTGCAGGGGCGAGGAATTATTGTGGGGGAAGGGAGGGGGGTATCAGTTAGCCTTAGCCCGTATCAGCTAGCGTTTCAAGTTAACGAAAACTCGCTATGTATGGTACAGAAGTATGCTTTTTTCACATTTTAAAAAGGGTTTCCAACCCTCCAAACCTGCCTGGCTATCCCCCTGTTCCATATCACCACATTCTTGTTACTATGTTGGTTGTCCCAACTTTTGGCATCGGGGACCAGAGACCTTTGATTTGACTTCATGTTAGAAGTGTGATGCCAAATTTTGTTTTTGTCAATTGTCAGTTCAAATTTCAATACAAAGTCCACATGCTAAATTGGTTGCTAATTGGTCCACATGCTAACTATGTTGGTTGTCCCTACTTTTGGCATCCGACTTCATGTTGAAGTGTGAAGCCAAATTGAGTTTTTGTCAATTGCCAGTCAAATCTTTATTACAATACAAAGTCCACATGCTAAATTGTCAAATTGTTAAGTGAGTCTGTATGCCTGCATAAATAAAAGCCTTAGATATTGCCGCACACACATATTTAAACAACAGAATACATAAACATTTCACAATATCTTTAATGTATTCAACTGGGAGCTTACTCACACTAGATTGATCATCCATGCCCAACAGTGTTCATCATTAGCGCACTTTTTTAGAAAAACTGCGGATGCACCTTACCTTCGCACTCATAATTTTCTTAGAGTAAACACTGATGCCCAATGTTCTTATCACTGTTGATGTATTGATTTTCCCCTCTACTGTAAATTGGTGTTTTCTCTCTCTAATGAATAGGCTTTAACTATAATAGCTAAGCAATATTATGTTATGCAATATTCATTTGTATAATGGGCAGAAATCAATAATATGCACCTGTTTCCATACAATTCTATATATACCTTGTGTTTTACTTTGGGTGTTTCCTATATATCTCTGTCTATAATGCCATATATGGATGTTTATTTTGGATGGAATATTCAAATTTGTTTCAAATTAGCAATATTCAATATAATTAATTCTCGGGTTTACGAATAAATTGTAATAATATAACACTGCGCTGTTCATACCTGACAGTCAGGCAAAATTAGACTTCGTATAATTAACATCGAAAAATTGAGAAAAAGGAGAATTGAAATAAAACGTTTTTTTTTTACAATGAATTAAAGTCATATTAAGGCTATAAATTTATTTCAATTTTTTTTTAACATCCTATCTAATATTCCTCCTTCAAAAAAAAATTTCAAGATAATATTTCGTATATTTAGAAATTTGATTTGTTTTATTTGTAATGACATAATGAAATCACACTTTTACTTATTATTATTCCAGCCATCAAAATCTGAATCGTCTCAGTGACCTTGTTGCAGAACATCTGGATCATTTGCATTACCTGAATGATATATTAGCAATAGAGAATGAACAACTTAACAACATACTCGGAAAACAACTGCTTCATCATTTATTTGTTCCTTTGTATATTTATTCTCTTTCTTCTATTGGTGATGATGACTCTGATGAAAAGGTAAGACACCGGGGTTTTATAGAACACTGGTTATGAGGAATTCATGGCTTCACAACTGTTTTCTGATAGGAACTGCCATTGTCATTTACACTATAATTCCTTTCAGCTCTTTACATTTTAGTGGTAGTATTTGAGTCTTTCGCTTTAACCGCCTCGGCCAATGGACATAGACCAATCCTTAGTTTAGTAAACAGCACAGTAATTACAACAGCGCTTGCAACAGTTCAATTTTATCCATTGTCATTTCACATATTTTCTATGATTGTATACCTAAGTAAACTTGCAAACTCAGCGTCACATGATCTTACTGTGTACCACTATGCAGTACTGATCGCACAGTGGTGAATTGGACAAATCGAGCCATACCTAACAATGGCTGTTGTGTTTTGAAAACGAAGTGTATCGTTTTGCTAAGTTGTTGTTGGGGAAATATCGCTTGTTTCTGTTACTGATGAACTTTCAGTACTTGAAGATAGGAGAAATTAGAATGCTATTTTATTATTTTCATAGGATTATAAATCTACTGGACTCGACTATTTCATCTCAAATTTCGGTGGTTTTTAGATTTCACAAACACGACTTCATATAACATTCGGTACAATTCTTTCAATATATGGGATTTTGCTGACTTTGCGGCCTCCATATAAGTCATTTATATCACTCGTATTTTGGCATTGTTCTCTTGTTCACTATACTAGTAGTAATTCAATGTCAGATTCGATCCTATTTCCTCATTCTGATGGTTGTTATAGTCTAACAATTAGCAAATATTTTATAGCAGTTGTTCTCAAACGGGGAGGTGCAGGGTGGACGTAGACAATTTTTTGAAGGAGCGTGAAAGCTAATTAAAAATATAATTTGATCTCGCCCGCCTTATTTCTTTATTTTGAACATTCATGTTCTATCCACATACTTTCAATGTGTTTTTTGAATAATGCGTACTTTTGTCTTACTATCTGTTATCTGTAGCTTATTGTTAGCTAGTTATTTTTGAGGTGGGGCACGAGACAAATTCTAAAAAGGGGGTGCGGCCAAAAATCATGTAAGTAATAAATACTATTGTTAATATTTTCAGGAGCAACCAAGAGTCAATTCAGTGTTGGCGTTATTCCTCCTTTCACAGGTAATTATCGATAGTTATTTTTAACTAACACGTTATACAAAGTAGCACCTACGGTAAGTTCTATATGCTTTTAGGTAAACTTGCGACTTTGCACAAGTCTTGGGTTTTGGAAGACTATTTGAATTGAAATAACAGACCTATTATTGAATACCCACTGATAATTGAATTATGCTTCATTTACTATTATAACTGGAACTTCTGTTTTGGTTGTAGAGTTTATTAGTTTAGATTGGTTTTTGAAAGTAACAAACTGTCATGTCTTTAGGATTTCGATAAACTTAAATATTTCTTTATCATGTTTTGACTGCATAATCATTGACTGAAATGATTATCAAATATCAACATAGGGTCATTTTGAACCGCATTCTCCATTTCTAGAAAGAAACGTTGAACTCAACTCCATCCGACTGTATTCAAACATATAGCGTGTCCTGTCCATAAAGTGGTATAACTTTTTAAAATTGCAAAGGGAATTTACCATATTATATTGTTTTGGCCCTCACAGATGTATTAAATGAAGTAAAAATACTTAAACAATTACTGATTAAAAAACAACAAACCTGGTTATGATATATTAAGACCTGACTTCATAACAAAATTGAAATTGTAAAGGAACTCTGTGGACACCCTGTATATTTCACGACTAGCATAAGAAGCATTAGAGTATTTGTATTCGGGTATCAAAAGCCTTTTAAACCTATTCAAACCACTTATCACATTTATGAGAGTTTTAGTTATGTCGTGTTGGCAGTTACATTCCCAGAGTTTGTTCAAACAAGCAACTTTACACAGACATAGTGATGCTCACATTCTATAAATAAGCTGACTTGCTCAGTATACCGTAATATCTACATGTGCTCACACAATCAATAATAAATCATATATCAATATTAAACTACGGGTAGTTGAAAAATGCTTGTCTGAAGAAGTCTGATCCTGGTAAGTTTAATTTGGACTCTGGTCGGACGAAACGTTACAGAAATACATTTGTGTTAGCAGTGTGCAGCAAGACTCTTAAATCAAATAGTTTAGGAATTAAGTGAAGCATTTTTGGTTATGTTGATATTTTATGATATTTTAATAAATAAAGTAGAATATAATGTTATATTTCGTAAATTATCAAACTTGACACATTTACTTACTATAATACAAGTTGAAATGCATTGGAAAACACATTTTATTTTATTAACATTTACTGTAATTACAACTAGGGAAAGTTCTGGAGGTTGGTTTTGTGCCCATAAATAATCATGGCACGACTAAATGTTTCATATAGACAGTTGCCCCTTTTTCTAAGCTTCAATTTGCAATTATTCATCCAAATTCTGAAAATTGACATTTCTCATACACATATTATTATCTAAACATGGTTTGGGCAAGACTGTTATAAAATGCCATTAATAAAATCAAATGCTTTTCATTACCGATTGTGGATTGAAATATGAAGGATCAATTTGTAATTTAATGATGTGAGAGTTAAAATAAATAAATCCAAAGGACTTCAAAGTGTGATTTTGATTTGTGTCATATTTACAGAAAAACATAGCAGCATTCCATACATGTAACTCCATGCTTTTAACATTTCTACATTTCATACTTTGTAACTAAAGACTCCAATATCTTTTTATGTTTAATTTCTCTTATCCAGGTTTTCCTGATCATCCAATATGAACCTGTTGTCCATAAACTTGCCGAAGTCATCTTCAACCAGAATTCAACATTGAATCTCATGAACGACCAGGTTTGTAAGTTTTCAAACTCATCCCATGCAGAAAAATTCCATGACCACCTTCTACAGATTGTATTTGTAAAACTTGTATATTAATAGAGTGAAAGATTTTATAGAAAATTTGTTTTCAGTTAACATATTTGTAAGCAGTAAATAATAAGAATTTGGATAGTTGATTTGTAGTTGCCAACGAAATAAATCAGTTTTAGAAACATTTTTCTGCTAATACGTGTATATAAAATTGTGTATGCCTGTACGGTATACAGATATTGACCGGACCAATTTATTTACCATTTGTATAAATCAGTGTACTTTATGGGTAATTAGCACAAAAAAAGCTTGATTTTGCTACAAGTATGCACATTAAATTATGCATATGCATGGTTTATTCGTATGGTATAGCTCACAGATATAGACTTTACTGACCAGACCAACATACAACCGATTTACCATTGTATAACTTTTTATGAGTAATGAACACACAGAAATACTTGTTTTCATACTTGTATGACATCCAAAATTGTCTTAATCATGTTCAAGTTATGATGAAAACAACTGTAATACAGAGAAGCAATATGAGTTTCCGTAAGATTTCACAACCATTATAGCCTGATTTAATTTTTTTTTGGTTGTTTCTTTTTAAATATGGACTAGAACCTTTTGTAAAGCAAGTCGAGCAAAAATTCAGAATTTTTTAAATTTTCATTCTAGGATGAAGTTTATGAAGCATTCGTGCAACAGCCAGAAAGCCTTGATACTTGGCTTGATAGTAAAAGAGTGAAGAAGGCAACAAAAAAGAAAACCAAAAGACCAAACTTCAGGAATGTTGGTATGGAAGATTTTATTTTGTGATAAGCAGATAGATGTTTTTTATACAACGCTTTATCACGCCTTCCGCTCCGAACATGACCCTCTACAAGCAGCCACTAATATTTAACAATATGTAAGAAGCTATTCGTTATTTGGCAGGACCGGATAGTATTGCTCAGACAATTCATGCACCCGGGTGAGGTGTGAGCATGTGATTTGAAACCAAGATGCGAAGTCTGTGGTGCTGACACATCTAAGTCTATCGCTTTATTAACCGCTAGGCCAGGAATGTGCAACCTGTGGCACGCGGGCAATATGGGCCGACAAGGAAAAATTGTGCGGCCCGTGAAACAAGTTTTTAATTTAGTTCATTCTGGAACATACGAGTAATTCCAATCCCTTTGCGTTGCAAAGCCTAAACCTGAGTCCAAATTTATTATCTATTCCTATGAAGTTTCTAACAGCTAGCTTGTGCGAAGCAAACAGCATAGGATAGGATAGGATTTACATATTTATCCCAGGGGAGAGGAAAGCCGATAAGACGGCTTATCCATATGGCGAACCACGGCCTCTCGTCCGGTTACCATTCCAAGTCGGGTATGGGATTAGTTTTTTACTGTATTGTTTGTTTTCGGAAGCATGGACTTGCATATGTCACCATAAGATCAATAACCAAAGTTTGTGTGTCTGCGACTACTAGAATGACTATGTTAGGTGCCTGCGTCCGCTGTTTCACCCAGTTATTCATATCTGGCCCTCTTGTATTAAAGGTTGCACACCCCTGCATTAGGCCATAGTGTCGCTACTATGCAGATAAACCAAATACATTCTGTAATAATTTATCAATGATTCCAATTTTGCGTCGTTAGACTTAGTCAGTGCCAACTTGACTCCCAAAAATTGACGGCGGTTTGTAATTAGATTTGAATTTGATGGTTTAAACGCCCGAAAGTTGGGGGATCAAGACATTAATTCCAGCAAACACATAAAATTTATAAAGTCTTGAAAAAATTCAAATTTGCAAGGGTCTTTGATATATATTGTTTTAGCCCTCATAAATTTAAAATGAAGTAAATATACTTAAAAATTACTGATTAAAAAAAGGGTTAAGATACATTGAGAACTGACTTGATAACAAAATTTAAATTGCAAAGGGACTTTATGGACATCCTGTATATTAAAAACTGACATTCAATTCTCAGGTTCTGACGATGAACCCACATCACCAGTTGAACCTCCAGAGCCAGTGATCGAACAAAACTACACGGTAGAAGAAGTAGAGAGGAGTTTGAATACTCAACAAGAAGTTCTGGCATCTGTCAGTCCAACTTACTCTGATGATGATATTTCTTCAAGCAATTCAAATGAATCCCCAGGTGAGGTGTATCCCTAACAGGGGAATGGTTGAGGGTCGGAAACCCTCTTTTTGAATGTAAAAAAAGGCATTTTTCTATATCATACATAGCAAGTTTTTGAAGCTTACATTGCTTCTTGGACCCTCAAGATACATGAAAAACATACGTTTTCTGGCCTTTGACTGGACCCACTAGATGTTACAATCTAACTTGTCAATTAAATACCTCCTCCGTTTAAAAATTTTTGGCTATGCCCCTGATTTATATGCACATTTCACTTCTGTTTTTAGTGCTATGATTCTGGTCTTGTTCTGAGTAAAAAGTGTGAACAATGTTATTTTCGCAAAGATATATTTAAATATAGATTTTACCGCTACAAAGATTGCTTCAAAAACTTCTATCAGTATTCTCACTATGTTTAGTTGAAGTTCAACTAATGTTTATACTTTAATTATCAGGCCGTGTTCTCTCGTTGCCGCAACCTCAAAATATAACTGATGACCAAAAAGCTGCAGCAACAAGACTGTCATCCTCATCATCTGGTATCAGTACAAACAGGTATGTACAAGATTTCTTCATTCTTTACTTCAAAATTCAAAGCCAAAAGAGAAAATATTGTGGCAAGCATTCTGCATCAGTGTCCATACTTGACCCAGTAGTACATAAAGTAGGTTGACTACTGGCCAGACACTATGATAGTAATGTTGTGGGCAGGTAAACTTGATTTCACTTTGGATTTCTCTCATGTCATGTACTAGAACTAGACACGCTAAACACGTCTAGCGATGGCTCACTAGAGGCAGCTAAAGCGACCTTTCCAACTATATCTAAGTGATGTTTCTGGCGTGTTTGAACTAGGAGAAATTACAGATTTTATAGAGGGGTTTCAAGATTTCCGGAGGCCTCTTGGTTACAAAGAGGTAACGGTGCTCCCGAAGTATGCGAACCAAGATGGCGGACATCGGAACGTAACATGGGTAACAGGTTAGGGTTAGGCGATAATTTTTTTCCAATGTTCCTTATTTTAGTCCTATTATCAGTTCGAAGACTAGCCAAGAGCCTCCCGTAGTATTTATACCTAAAATTGTGGCCTAGCCCTAACCTAGTACACATATTACATTCCGATGTCCGCCATCTTGGTTCGCATACTTCGGGAGCCCCGAGTTAACACTATCACAAGTGTTATGAGCAAGTAAACTTAATCTTAAATCACTTTTCAGGCCTTTTCTCGACACCATCTACAGTGCTCTGAATTGTCAAGGCGATGATTACAAAGCTTTACTTGCATTGTGTCTTCTTTATGCAATGTTACATAACAAAGGTATGATATATTTTAGTAATTTTCATATTTCCAGAACTATCATTTTATATTTTTAGCACTTTGCTCTTTTCAATACTTCTTGTTATATTTATTTATAATTTGTTATAAGCATCAAATCCTAAGAAGGCCAAATATTATCATTCATTCATTTAATCTAAAAATCAATTTATTTTAGTTCATGACAATAAATTATTTTATGTGTATGATGAGACCTTAGTATGCAAGAGCTATTATGGAATCTTGTACTTGGTGCTCACTTTATACAGGGTATCCAAATAATTTTGCCCGGTTTTATAGTAATACTAATTAATAATTCTATTGTCTTTGTTTATTAATAGTTATTATTGTGCTTGTAATTCTCATTTATCAATATGATAATATCATATGATAAAATTTATATATATTTACCATTGTTATTATCATTACTATAAAATCTGGTGAAATTTTTGGACACCCTCTATAACAGTGGTCGGCAACCATCCGGGCCGCGGCCCGGCGATGGTCTGCGGAAAGGTTACTGCCGGTCCGCAGAGAGGTGACACAAAAACGGACAAGGCCGTGATAAAACCCCTACAAACTAACCACAAACCCTACGACTAAAAACAGCACCCTACCGCAGACACAACACTTTTGAGCAGCATGTCTGACTTCACAAATAATTGACATGTCAGTATGTCGCAATAACGCTGGGTCAATTGTTTCCCTGTACGCCTGTATAAGAATGTCTCTCATCAGTCCGAATAAGATCTCTCCAACAAAATGATTCTCGCTAAAAGCGTGACTTTTCCACTACTGGCTCATAGCTAACCGTTCATGCCTAGTCAGTGCTAGTTCTATACTTCAGAAACAGGTTAATCATAAAGTTGGCTCATAGGGTAAAAAAATTAATTTTGGCAAAACAAACATCAATCAATACCCAGACTAAGGTCAGAAGGTTCACAGGCATTGTTACCTTTTCCGAAATCTTCCAAATGTGAGGCCTGGTCCTCAATATTGATACCTACAAATACGAAATATCGAAGTAGGCTGGATGTAAGAAACACGTAACATGTGTCAATGTCGACCATATCTCCAATATGGGAACAGTTAATAGCCAGCAAACAAATATTAATCGCATTAAATAGCATCACCATCGTTTTTAGTATATTGTCATCATTAATTTCCTAATGTGTATGATTTAAAGCATAGACTTAGTTGGTTTGTATGAAGGTGGTCCGCCAAAATTATGGTAAGGCTTTTCCGTCCGTCACTTGAAAAAGGTTGCCGTCCACTGCTCTATAAGGATGGCCTTATGCTAAGTTAAAGTATTCCTTGTCTATTCTATTATTCAGTTTGTGGTATTTTGTTTTCTACTTGCTCTCATGGGGAATTAGCTGCTGGTAAGAATATGTGCTTGAGTTTTATTATTTTGCGATACAAGGCATGTTTTATGCTTTTGTCCAAAGTCGATTTGTCTAATTTTGCAGCTATGCCAATTTGCCAAGCAATTATTTTTATAGAAATTTGAGTTTGTGCATGTGTGCGTTTGTGTATATGTGTGTCCGTGCATTGGTCTGTGTGTGTGTGTATGTCTGTTCATATGTGTTTGTGCGTGTGTTTATTTGTGAGTCGTGTGTTTATGTGCATATGTGTGTGTGTGCCTGGATGATCACTTGCTATTGTTTTCATAGAAACTTGAGTTTATGTGTTTGTACACATGTGTGTGTATGTGTGCGTGTCCATGCATTGGTCTGTGTGTGTGTATGTATGTCTGTTTCTGTGTTTGTGCGTCTGCTTGTGTATGTATGCGTACGTTCATGTGTGTGTGTGTGTGTGCAGAAATGATCGTTCTAAGCTTACAAATAACATGTTACAACATGTTAGAGATCTTTGCTCTCTGACGAAATTTCATAATGTTATATGTGCCTATAGTCTTCTTTTTTTGTCATTTCATATAAAACAAATCTGCAGGCAAGCAAGCCAATGAACGTATCAACCATTCCTAAATGTGCGGATTCTTTTGAAATGATTTTGAGGCTCTGTTTGATTGTCTAGTATGTTTGGCTTATGCATTCAATTGTTGTTTTCTACTTCGCCCAGGCACTCACTCTGCTTTGAACACATATACACTGCTTGGCATGTAGCTAACACATATACACCTGATCTTGTGATGTTGTTGTGTTAAAACCTCTGCTGTTTGCTGTTTGTGCCTCTATCTGTGCTCACTATAGATATTACTGGCTCAATGTTCTAATTTACAATGATCCTACTTTGAATTTCTACTGCCTATATTGTCATACTTTTATCAGCCAATATTACTGGCATATACTCTATCGTAAAGGCATTTCCAGTATGCCCACTGCCCAGTATTGTATGTTAGCATTTCCAATCAATGCACCATGGAAAATACCCCATGATTTGCTTGAATAAAAATTCAAAAAAATGCCTTAATTTTTTTTGTACTTTCGGTGGTTGATTTTGATCTAGTCTTCATGACAAAATTTATTATCCAAGTCATGGCTTTTCCATGTATTCCACTGGACTGGACTGTGTTAAGTTACTGTGTAAACTTAACATTTTCGTTCCAAATTAGCTTCAAATTTTTTTTTTTATTTACCTTTTTCTGTATTCCACTTATATAAGTATTGTACATGTTACTATGAAATGTTCAATGTATTCCACTAACATGAGTATTGTATATGTTACTATGTAACATTCATAAAACAAATAAATCGAAGATTAAATGCATAAATTTGTGACCCATGCCATTTATTGTATGTCACACACCCTAGTACCCTTTGCCTTATAAATAAATACCTCAGAAATCACTCTTTACATTACTATGATTGCTTTTGACCCTGTGTTTGTGGCCAAATACCATTCATAACTCATGGCATTTTCATGGGTGCCACTTATTCAAGTACTTGTTACTTCACTTTATGCAGAATTCTGTATAGAGCAAAAAAGCCCCTGCAATCAATTAATAAATACTTCAGAAATATTTTTTCTTGGCAGTTTATTACTTATCGATCTTCAGATCGGTAAGTCTGTTGATAGGTATTTGTCTGTTTGTCTGTCTGTTAGATGCACGCGATATCTCACGAAGGCGTGGTTTAATCTGCTCCAAATTTTGCATGTGCAATTATCATATCTCGGACCAGAAGCCTATTGATTTTGGATGAATTATGTCGTATAATTAGTGAGTTATTAATTAATTAGTGATGGGACATGCGGTGTCACTATAAAATCATGAATCGAAACCGTAGTTTCGATCGATAAGTCTTCGGTCTCCGACGGATATTCTCGTTTTTCTCTTTGCTCACTCCTTTTTCTCCTGGGAAAATCTTGTAACAAAAATTTCAACTTATTTTAGGTATCAGTTCGGATCTGACAGAAGTTGTCCAATTGGGGCAGTCAAAGGATGATGAAAACAATGACACGTACAGTCATTGGTTGGTTGAACGATTACTGAGGATTCTTAGTACAAGTGTTAAGAAAGGTGATTTTCACGTTTACTCTTTGATAAAAGTTGTATTTGATTCAATACTCATGCTGCATAGTAATGCAAATGTTTTCTGTCAAGAAATTCTTGCATATTACGCATATTCGCATGCAGCATACAGATCCACTTGCGCAAAGGCATGAAGTGAGGAAAGATCTTTTGTCTCGCGTAACCCAAACTGATAAATGATAAATTTTTTTCATTGTTTCGCCCCCATTTTAATTTATTATAATTAGGGCATAAATAGAAGCTTGAGATGGTGTAGGGTCTTGTCAACCTGAACACTGAAGTCTGAACCCTACACCATTTTAAATGATATGCATATTCAGTGAATGAGTAAATCAGTATACGAATTTTGCTTTTATCCTTAAGAGTAATTGGTACTCCTGAAGTATGCGCACCAAGATGTCGCACAACCTGAACCCTAACCTTGTACACAACCTGAGTTCAGGTTGTGTGCTATCTTGGTACGCATACTTAGAAGGTCCGAATAATTTCCTAATAAGGGTTAAAACCAATCATGGTATGCTTAATTACATACTGCTCTTCATTCCAATGTTCTTCTCTTGTTTTATTTCAGATTCCAAAGTTCGTTTGGCCACCATCGGGTTGAGTTGCTTGTTATTGAAGGAAATCGGGCTGAAGAATGATAAATGTATTTTATTGGAAAGTCATCTTACTTGCATTGAGGTGATGCTCTTTATGTTTTATATTTCGTGTTTTTCTTTTATTAGTGTCTGCCCAAATGTTAGAATTTTTTCTGATTCGCTGACTTCACGATAATAGACAAATCTACCTTTAATCTATATTGGACTTGTCTTTTCTTCACTGTGGGATGGTAAAGTACTGGAATTTTGAATATCTGTGGCATACTGTGAATACTGGGTACTCCGGTTGAAGTATGAGTGAATATACCCCCTGCCCATAGGTTTCAGTCCCTGAAATGCTGTGAATACTGTATTTAACCTTCATAATTTATTTAAACTTCTTGATCACTGTGTATATATATGCATGGAGGTTGAATTTATTATTGTTTTTTCAACCTTGTTAAGATTTGACCAGCTCAAAATAAAATAAAAATCGCAATTCTATCTGTTTATATTATGTTCTGTCATATTGATTTGTAACAATAACAACGGCATGTGACCTTACAATGTCAATTTTGTGTTTAGGATTCAAGAAATGAAAGTATGAACAATCTACATCCATTTTATAAGGTAACATTCTTGATCAATAATTATGATCTGTTCAGGGCAAAGTAATGAATTTTGCAAAAGGGAGAATTCTGAAATTTCTAATTGACAAGTTAGACGTGACTGTAGGTTTTCAAAACTTTTGAGGGTTTAAAAAGCATATCTAGGTATGAAAATTACTATATATGATACAGAAGCATGTTTTTTTTTACATACATATAATAGAAAAGTGACCTTGATTAAAAAATTATCTATATGCATATATTTGAGACATTCATCATTCTCTCATTACAGGAGGAAGAAATGTTCTTGGATATTTTGGAAGATGAATACAGGACGTTTCAGGTATTTACTTTTTTATATGATGTTCATTTCATTACTTTTGCTCCTAACAACGTCCTATATCACTATACTATTCTTGGAGGGTTGGAATCTTTTATAGTTCAGCATTGCCCACTCTATTTATTACTTATCGATCTCGCTTGGTATGTATGTTGATAGGTTTTGTCTTTTTGTTTGTCTCTTAGACACTTTCATATGTTACGCGATATCTCACGAAAGCGAGGTTGATTCTGCTCCAAATTTTGCATGTGCATTCATCATATCTCGGGCCAGAAGCCTATTGATTTTGGATGAATAATGTCGTATAATTAGCGAATTAATAATTAATTAGTGATGGAACACGCGGTGGCGTTATTGAGTCATTGCGAAGGAATCGAAACTGCAGATCGATAAGTCAGCGGTCTCCGATCGTTATCTAGTTATTACAGGTTGATACTGACTTAGTTAGGAACATCGCTCTATCTATACCACTAGATATTAGACTTATTTCAATTAAAAATATATTCTACAAGATGTGTATACGAATGCACTGTTCTTTTTTGTTATTATTCAATTTTTGAACGAAAAAGTTTGATTTTTTTCAGAGTAAGCCTCTTAATGTGGAGTACTTGATGATGGATTCGTCCTTACTACTGCCACCTACTGGTACACCGTTAACAGGAATTGAATTTAAAAGTCGACTTCCATGTGGACCTGCTGAGCAAGCTAAAAGGGTAAGAATAAGATTTTGACAATTAATAAAAACCTCGTTCTTGAAACTGGATACAGAAGTTATTTGTCATTGCAAGGTATTGTTATCTGGTTTCAGCTCCATCCCATCAATGTGTAATCAATCCATTTCTGGTATAGGAATAGCAGCTGGTTATTTGTGTAATATACACAGACTTCCTAAATTGAAATTTTTGATTCACAGGCAATTGGAACTTTCATTGGCCTTCGAGATCTCTCACTTTGTCTTTGCAAAGAAGTCGAAACTCAGCTCCCACTCACAAGAGAGCAAGATTGTATTCAGACGAACGATAAACTGGATCTGAGTAAGTTAAACACAACGTAAAAGATAAAAAATAGCTAATTACTTATCATTCATCATATCTCGGACCGGAAGCCTATTGATTTTGGATGAGTTTGGATGTCATACAATTAGCGAGTTATTAATTAATTAGTGATAGGACATGTGGTGTCGCCATTGAGTCAGAGCCAAGGAATCGAAAATTGCAGTTCCTGTTTTGGGGGATCCCCACATGCGGAAGGTCGATAAGTCAGCGGTCTCCGATCGCTACTAGTTTGTGTATTAAAACTTCTGTGCTGATATCTGTGATTCAATAATTTGATGGTGACTATGAATCAGCTGAATCAACATGTAACCACTGGTGTGCCATGGCAAACAGTTCTCAAACCTCGGAGACCACAATTACTGGATGTCTCTCGTAACTCTTGTTATTGATTATCTGAAGAGTTGAAATGAAACAACATCTAAGCCACCTTGACTGACAGGCAATTCAAGTGTAACATAAAAAGTCACATTTTTAACAATATTTACAGTGTTACAAGGCAAAAGTGGAAAACAATAGGCCTCGTGCCAAATCTAAATTTAATTGCAATCTCAACAAATTCCTTGAGCTATTTTAAGCTAAAACGATAAAATTTGGTTGTGGCAGCATCAGGTTGGCAAGTTTGAATTACCCAACAGGCCGGATTTTGCCCGTCAGACCTAGGCCCACTCTCTAACCTGTGGTTTGCCAATATCTTTGCTTGTATTGTGCCACCATGACCATCCGTAAACCTCGTTATTTCTATTTAGACAACAGCGACCTGATAGCCTGTACGGTATCGAATCGAGATGGGAAGCAACGTAGATTCTTAGTTGTCGATCTATATCAGCTTGTATTGGTGGAGCCAGAGAGTAAGAGACTTGGATGGGGAGTCGTCAGATTCGCTGGTTTCTTACAAGTAAGTTACTATGGTTTTTTGAGTAGCTTTGAAAATGATGATCAATGTTACTTGGATAAGATAGTGTATTTACATTGAAGCTGAGAAGAAGGCTTAATCATATGATGAAGAGCAGCCCCTCGTCCAGTTACCAGACCATGTTTGGGTGTGGAAATACTGGAATATAACCAGTTTTTCTTCTAGATGCCTTGGCTTGACGGTGGAGGAAGCTGTAACCAACCAACGGTTGCCGTGAACCACCGTAAGCGCCGAGGAGTCCAGCAATTACCTTGTGCATAATTATATTCATATGATTAATCCCATTCATTTGATTAGCTGTCTTATCGGCATACATTTTCATTTTCTTACTGTGAGAAAGTATGTGAAATTTTCATGTTCAAGCAATCGTGTCAGCTTTTCTCTCCACCTGATAAATATAATATTTTCTAGGATGTTGAAGTAGCAAGTGATAATGAAGACAGTCGAGTACTACGAGTCACAATACATAAACCATCTGGTGCCAGGAGAGTTCCATTGCTGAGTGCTGATTTCATATTTGATGACCATATAAGGTAGATCTAGCTTGGAAACTTTTAAAATCATTTTTTGAAAATGTCTTATCTGTTTGCATAAGTGTTATATATTGTTTTATTTAGTTTTCCATAAGGCTTGCGAGATGTGCATATAACTCATCTTTTCCATATTGACATGAAATATTATCTACCAATAAGTCATAATTTGTATACCTGTCTCAAAAATAAATAAGTCTCGAGTTGGAAAAGTACGGGAACTTTTAGGGTAGCCCATAGGGCAACGTTTTCGGACAATGGGCCAAAAATTTTGCCCATCTAGACTGGCGGACCAGGTAAGTGTGACGTAAAATGTTTATATTTATGTACAATATTCACAGTGTTACAAAAGCAAAAGTGGAAAACAATAAGCCTCGCGCAAAAACAAAATTTAGTTGCAATCTCAACAAATGCCTTGAGCTATTTTTTTTAGCTGAAATATAAATTTTTGGCTTTAGTTTAGTTGTGGCAGCATCAGGTGGGCCAGATTGAATTACCCAAGGGGCTGGATATATTAACGGTCTATATCAAACTGAATATCTTTCTTTCCTTCTGATTTTTGTATTTATGTATAATCATCTTCATTACTTGCCTTGTTTAGCTCATAAAAATTAATTTCATTCAGGTGCATGGCAGCTAAGCAAAGGTTAACAAAAGGTCGAATGCGAGCTCGAAACCTTAAAATGCAAAGAATAGCTGTGTTGCTGGGATTGCCAGAGAATACAATTGAAGATCCATTTGCTAACAGTTATATGCTGAATACAAGTAAGTACATGGATATATTTCATCAAATGTGATAAAAAGAATTTCATTGGGGGAAATTAAAAATAATAGATTTAATGCCCAAGACTTGTAGGTGCGTCCCGAATTCACTCCTTTATTTGTCTTCAACACCTCGCCGCTGATGAATGTACTTACTTATATTAGGATAATTAAAGATAATAATAAATAAAGATTCAATGCTTATTGGTAACACTTTTATGGTTGTCTGGAAAACTAAAACTCAGTTCAAAGGTAATCTAGCACAAATATAATTGGATTTCTATGTGACCAACTTCTTACTCCTATTCTATGCTCATGCACTGGAGTAAGTAATTATCTGACCAATGGAGTCAGGACTTTGGGGGGAACTAGTCCATAGTTGTCATTTCCAACACTTACGAACGTGAATCAAAAATTGGAATTCTTGAATCTGCATTTCGGACTTTTAATTGAGATAATTGAAGTCAAATTATCCATCAGAGACTCTAAGCAGCAGAAAACTGAAAGCGCATGTTTGTTCAGTTATTAAAATTTAGTTTTTTCAGATTTGTGGGCTGGAGGAAGAATCAAATTTTCCCCAATCGGTGTCAGGTTTCCAACTCCACATCTCTATATCTATGCAAATTTTTTTTTGAAACTTAGTGACATAAATATAAGCTTAGAGTGGATAATTTCCAATCGTGGTCAAAACATTAATGCAAGATTTAAATGTGAGAATATTATTTCTTATCTATAATATTTACACCATTGTCTGTATTTAGGTTTCCATGCCCCCAGAAGTCAATTCCGAGCTTATGCTGATCCTCATGCACTCGAATCAAGCCCTCATCAACGCGGCAACAGCAGCCATACGCCTCAACCTATACTGAAACGACCTGGTGGATCAATGGCAATAACTCCTGGGCGAATTGGAAACCTCGGCCTTCCAGTTTCACCAAGAGCTGGCTCAGGTAATTTTTGTTACTTTTTTAATTTAGATTCGCAAGATTTTTGTACTTTGGTTCGCTGGTTTATTTTTGAAGAGGGGGGGGGGGGATTATAACAGAAAACATCTTGTCACTTAACCACTGATCAGTTAGGGCTGTGATACTTTAGCACTAAACAAATAAAAAAAAATTTGCGACACAAAATTTATTATGTATATGTTACTGCGATGGGTGAATAATACGAATAGCTTATTTTCTAAAATCCCGGAAAGATCCACGGCATGCCTGAGAAACGTTGAGTTAAAGATTGAGCTGACTACGCAGCAGTGATTACCCTGCGAGAGCTCGCTTTTTCCCGTGTATTATGCGTGGACTTTCAGCAGGCACAGAGTGATTTACGTTGCTACTAGTCATTTACGCCTTTCTCTGCTATTTAACGATGTGGTGCATGGGATATTACATGTGAGAGAAAACTTTGCCGTTATTAGGGGTTTGTGTAACCCCTGGTCAGTTGCAGCTTTTTCGCTTCTACCTATGTCTGAGAATCTGGAAAATTTATATATTTCCCTTGTGGACACACTGACATTAGCCGAAGTAGAGCAAGACAATAATATTTATCACTGATAGCTTCGAAATAGAAATGTGCGTAGCGAAAGACCTGCAAAATTGAGTGTACACTCTTTTTTCCTTTTATTCTTTTCCTTTTTGTTCTGACTATTCTGTGCGAAATGAGTATGTATGCACAAAAGATTCAACACCTACAGTAATCTGTATCTAAATATTCAAATTTCTAGTGATCAGATGCCATCGTCGTCAGACTGATAAAAACATGAAAGCCAAAGTTATTGAGATTCCAATTGTTAAAAGCTTCGGTTCTGGCTTTACTTCGAAAAGTAGGATTGTGTGGATGTACCGTGCTATTCATAATGTTATGTTGCTTATGATGTCTAGTGGATGGTGTTATGTGAATACTATGTGCTTGTGTGTGTGTTTACCGCAGCTCTATAAGGGGTTTGAATGTATTCTGCAAATGTGACTTTATCCTATCTTGCGAAATTCTATACGCAAGTTTGCTCTAAGTCTTCAAGCGGCGCCGCCACTCACTCACTCCCATGGTCCTATACAACCACTGATATGTAATGATTTCTTGGAGAATCAAAAACTTCTCGATTTCAAATTGGCTTCCAAATATATTTTGTCTTGGGTGAGGTGTTTGCTCTGTTGGGTGTGTACAAAAATCATGAACCTTTGATGCCTCAACGAGACCAACCGATCCACAAGTTTAACAATTTTCATGTCATGGTTGTGTTGTTTGGTTGTAGTTGTATATAACCTAAGTATTGAGTATTAATTTTGGTATATTCCATATGAGTATTCTTTGTTGATTGTATGCCAGTTTGTCAATATACTTAGGCATATCCTTGTTGCATAAAGTGTTTTCACATCTGTTAAATGTTTACGAGGCTCGGTCCTAAATAGTATTGCACTGTATATCTCTATCATATTCCTATCATTTGGCTCCACTATATTTGTCTTTTCAATGCTTGCCTTAATTTCACTCTCACAAATTCTTTTATAAAAAAAACTGTATACAAACTGACATAGTCAGATCTCTTGATTATCAAGTCGATGGTTATTGGAAAATTCATGACATTATCTGGTAGACCATTCGCATTCTTTTTATTAAAATTCATGCATTTTTGTTAAATTATTCTCCATTATTCAGCTCGCAACCAAAGTCCTGCGCTTGGAAGACACAGAGAAAAAGTATCGAGTTCACTCACTACATGTGAATCAGAACCCGAGCTTATTTCAGCGAAAGAATTGACACTCGTACTCCAAGATCACAGTAATGACAATGCTGCAATTCAACACAGCGAACCTCCATCTTTTGCGTCAAATGTCATCTCTCGAGGTGCGCCAAAGAGTCACAGAAGAACGAACAGTGCTCATATTAGCTCCAGTGAACTTCCTTATGAAGAAGTCGGAGTACATGTCGGGAATTTAGACCTTGAATCAAAATCTGGCGAGTCTACTTCTCCATCTTTTGGGGCTGATGCCTCCCCACTTGAAGAAGGGGTAGACGCTTCATCGCTGAATGAATTTAGCATCGAGGAAGATGCCAATGCTTCTAACCTTGCTTCAAATTCTGAAGTTGGCGAAAAAGAACAAATATCTAATGTAGTACCCAATGACTCCATACCACCCACTAGTGACCCAGAAAGTATTCCTTCTCAAATTGAAAACTCTAATTATGACATCACACATCTTGAAACTGACGACTTGAAAGTTGCGAGATTACGTTCTGAATCTTCGACGTCTAACAAAGATATTGCTCTTACTCTGCAGCCCCCATCCTCGGCCCCAGTTTCTTTGATGAATCAAGAGGAACCAAAGTTCTCAGTGTCGCTTTCTCCTGTAAAATCAGTTTCTTCAGATTTCAAATCTGACAACCAATGAGTTCACTTGGGAACAGAAAGTGAATTCAAATCGAATATTGGAAATAATTCAAAAGTCTGCGATCATGAAGTATGCGTACCAAGATGGCGGACACCTGAACTTAGTATATGTACCAGGTTAGGGTTGGGCCATATTTCAGGTACAAACACTATGAGAGTCACTTGGCTTGTCCCCGAACTTGTAGTGGAACTAAAATAAGGAACCATACTCAACCATATTATTCATTCTTCTTATTTAAACTCACTATTTGGACAAGACCGAGGTTGTTCCCATCTTCCCAAAAAAATCTTGTATGCTTTGCTCTTCCATATTCCCCAACTCGCGAATTTCTGTCCTATTTTCTGCGGATTCAGCATTTGCAGACAAAATTTTTATTTAAACAAAATCAATTATATGCACTTGGAGGACAAATTAGCTTCTCCTCACAGATCATTCAAATTTTGATTTTGACAATATTCGCTTCTGATCTAATTGCTGTATGTATTTGTATCCAAAAGTCTCAAATATAAACAATAGTTTATTTTGATTTGGATGAAATCATAACCCATATTTGATTTAATGCTTTGCAAAAGGATCATCATTGTATTGGAAATTGATTTTATCGGTGAATGTCGTAGATTGATCTGCTGATTTGAATTGATGTTACAATTTCATCAAATTCAATAATTTTATTTGGTGCTCCAGAAGTATGTGCACCACGATGGCGGACACCAGAACGTCGTATGTGTACCAGGTTAGGGTTAGGCCGTTTTATTATTTCAGTTTTCCTTATTTTAGTTCGGTGACTAGACAAGTGACTCCCGTAGTATTGTTACCTAAAATTATGGCCTAACCGTAACCTGGTACACACACAACGTTCCGGTGTCCACCATTTTATTTTTTGCCAAATGATTATGATGTCAGGATGGCTTGATAATGAGTGATCATTTTGTGCTTTGTTTTGCCAAGCTTTCTACTGTGGTATAGACTTTTGACAGGTAGTTGAAACATCTGGCAGTTTCAAGTAATTTCAAGGTGAACTAGTGATTAATTGAATCTTATAGGCAATATAGATTGCGAGTCTTTAAAAAACATCTTAAATCTTTCTTTCGTATTACAAAATATCTTTTATAATCCAATACTCATGAATAATTCGATTTTATATTAAATAGCAATCCAAAACCTTTGTTCTAAGCTTATCTATTCGATTTCGAAGAAATTCTTCTTTAATTCAAAGCCATCAAAATAAAAGCTATTAGTAACAAATGCTTAAGAGGAAACATACTGATTTTATGTTGTATTTCACTCTCTTTTCCTTGTGCTTATATAGCTGTAGCAATTGTGTATTTTTCTTGATTTATTAAATGCAAATAGATAGATTTTATTATGATTTAATGTTGTAGAGAAACTTTCGATTCTATGAATTAAAGAATTATTGATTTACTGGTTCTCGATTTTTGTTTTGAGGCTTCTCAATTTGATAGATGAAAATTGTGTTTAATAATGCAGTCAAAGAGTTTTGCAAGGTTCGGACACCAGATCGGGAACTCCGACCTTCGTGATCGGGCAGGGGAAGTGACCCACATTCCTAAATCGACTGCAGGAACTTCAGGGCTTCCTACTTTTTTGAGTACCTTTTTTTAGTTTACCACCTCAAGCCAAAAGGACTCCCAAAGTTGGATAATTTTTAGCTTTGTCATGAGAAAGAAAGGGTGCAGGGAGTTTTTTAAACAGCACTACATTTAACCCTGTAAGAATGTGTATATAACTCTCCTGTATGCATTGGTTTCTTCCACAGTACATCCAAATGCGTAAAACCCTAATTTTGCAATGGACATGATTTAGCAGTTCTAATCTGTGCAGCTGTTCGGCTTATGATTTTTTGATTAAAATCTCCCATTGAGAAGTATATCTGCCCACTAGGTTCAAACTCCTATCTGGCACTCTGCCTAATGTGTGTGATATCTTCACAACCATTGTACTTCTAATGGCTGGCACATTGAAAACGTAAATAATATTTGTAAATTTCATTTTTATCACAGTTGATCCCACTTATGTAAAATGAAATCACAGCTTAATGTGAATCAGTTTCGACTTCTGCTCATGGAACTAGTCTTCAATACTCTTGGAGCTAATAATTTGACCCATCGCCACAAACGACTAAGTGGTGACAGCACCTTAACAAAGCTTGAAAAGTGAACTTTTAGATTGGGGCAAACAATTTGAAACTAAAGCACAAATAGTCGTGTTGATATTCGTCTAGATAGCTTAACATTGAATGTCGCATCACTGAGCAACTCCCCATTTCGGCTATGACTCGTATATGTATAACCATACAAGGTTGAGAAAATTAAATAATATGAACCGTGTCTCGAGTTGTCTCAATTTTGGGACTTCCACCAGTGAGATCAATTTCATATGAAAAAAACGAACTGCAGGAGTGACTAGATATGGTATTACATTCAGGGTATCATGTATATCATATCAGTGGCCGAAAGAGTACAAAACTTGTATATTGGAAAACGTAAACCATTGGTTCAGAACCTTTTATGGCTTGTGGCCTCTTCTGGAGGCTCTTAGCATTCATGTTTATAGTGTTATTTTTATTGGTAGATTCCAAATCCTATTATGTTCAAACATTTCATGCTCAACGAAGTGAGAACACCCTGGGGAAAAACCTTGTCAAGCTATGAAATTGGGGAATTTAAGCGCCTAGTATTGTGGCAGATACCCCAGTTGGAAACCTCTGACTTTGCCTTTCAAACAGGGTAACTCACTCCAATGAAACTATGTGTAATTTTAGCTATCTGACATAAGGTCTGGTCGCGAATAGGGCTGGGCATTTCGAATCGAATAGTAAATTATTCGAATCGGTTCAGAGCTAAATTTCGAATCGCCGCCATCTTGTTTTTATCTTTCCGCTAATGGTCGGGGTGAATTCCCCAATTTTTTTCTCATTGGAGTCATATTTTTTCAACGAAATTCTACCATATGACTATTTTCTGTATGAGTCATTGATAAAACGTGTTTGTTATTCTGTGTGAACGCTCAGTAATCTATCTGGGTGATTTATTCTATGTCTTCAGTAATTCATTTGTTGAGAGGACCAATTACTATAATAAAGTCGCTTACAATTATATATTTTCAAGTATTCGAGATTCGATTCGAAAAAAATTATTCGATTCGAATCTGAAATCACAAGGTATTCGAAAATGCCCAGCCCTAGTCGCGAACAGTGAGCAAGTGAAAAATCAAAGCAAACCAGAAGTCTTACCCAATAGTGGTAAGTCGTTACAAATGAACCCCGGAAGTAAATTACAGAACAAATCAAAGCTGAAGTACGCATTTTAATAACTTGACTAAAGATAACAAAAATGTGCGAAATGAAAGTAGTACGTCGTTATCAATAAAATATGTATAAGCAAGCATGAGCCAAAATAATATTATGCTTTTAAAGCACAATTCATGCTTGACCCAAGGTTCAAAGAGTCAACAGTCTTTTAAAGCAGTTTTAAATTACGGCCTGGACTGGCGAGATCCGACACCAGATCGGGAACTTCGAGCACTTGACTGTCGTGACCTTTGTGATCCAGCAGGGGAAGTGACACGCATTCCGAAATCATCTGCCGGAACTTCAGGACTTCCTACCGAAGAAAGAACGCTTCGTGGTGAAGATCTCGCGCTTGATCGCACAGAGCTGCTCCTTGACCCCTGAGAGCTTGGTTTAGCAGTAGGAACAGGAAGTCCAACTTGATGATAATACATCTCAACCATAGTGTACATTTCTGGGAATTGTTGGACAGCGTTCGAAACTTGCTTGCTTATATTTCTATTACGTTCACGCAGACTTCGTAAATCGATATCCTTTTCTTCTTGAATGGGACCTTTCACACTTTGTTGTGTTCTCACTTCTCGTGTTGTCTTATAAATTTGGTTCATAACTCGATCAGCTTTCGCAGCTTGCTCTTCAAGATCTTTCTGGAGTTGTGCGAGTCTGCTTTTACGCTCTTGAACCATTTCCATATAAGCTGTTTCATCTCGGCTTGCCGTGTCCATTGCACTGCTCATTGTTTGGAGATCCTCTTGCAATTCCTAATCTGTCGACGTTTGTATTTATACTTGTCCATCAGGGCACGAAGTTTTTCATCCAATTGTGCTTTTGTTTCATACTCTTCGCTAGTTTCAGTGACTTTGTTGAATGACTTGCGATAAGTTTCATTTCGGCTGTTCAGAAGTCGCAGAGTGTTTTCCAAAGCTCGAATTTCCTTTTCTGCTTTTCTAATCTTTGCGTCAACCTCGTCGCCTTTACGTTGAAGTTCTTCTTTATCCTGTGCTGCTTTTATGACATAATACGCTTGAGATTTGACCTCTTCGCCTTCTGGTGGCGCCATTGAGACCATAAGGATTTCATAACGTTTGCGTAATTTGTCAATTTTAGCCAGACGTTGGTGAAGTTCCGCATTTATAGTCTTACGCTCTTCCTCAGCTGCTTTTGTTTGACTAAAAATCATGTCTTTATGAATCGTAATCTCCTTTTGGCGCTCTTTCATTGCTGTTGCGAGTTGTAAGTTTCGTTTTTCAAGAGAGAAAACGTTGTCAGCCTTTTCATTCAACATATCTGTCAGTCTCTTGATCTCAAGCTTCAAAATGCTGTCTTCAACCATGGAACTTTGTTTTGTCTCGATTGTTTCTTTCAGTTCTTTTTGTGAGATTTCATTATGCAACTCTAGTTCTTCAATTTTGCTTGTTAAGCCGGATTTTTCCGTTCCTGTTTTGTCCATGTCACGTTTCTGTCTCCTTATATCATCTTGTAGGCGTTTTAATTGTGTTGTAAGAACAATATGTATGTTGTTTTTGTCTTCAAGGCTTGCTGTAAGAGATGCAATACGAGCTTCCAACTCTTTCTTTTCCTCCGTGTTGATTTCACCTCGCATTCTTGCAATTCTACGTTCCAGTTGTTGAATAGTGAAATCCTGATTATAAATAATCTCCTGCTGTTTAACAGATTGTTGGTCGAGTTTATTGAGTCGCGAAGAAAGATTCTTACTAGCAGCTCTACTTCCTTGAATTGAAGCTGCGACGTTTTTCTCACTCGTCATGACGGAATGTAACTCTTCCTTTTTCTTGAAATGAAGGTCTCTTATTCTTCTTAATTCTTGGTCAAACTCTTTTAACGATTCTTCTTCTTTATTGAGCATTTCTTCAGCCAAAGCAGCTTGCTCTTCAGCACTTAAAACGCCCTGGTTTGCAGCTGATAATTTGTCTTGCAACTGTTCTCGAGTTAGAGTTGCTTGCTGGAGTTTTAAATTTTTCGATACAATTTCTTTTTTCAATCCTGTGACACTGCTTTTGATGCTTTCCAAATCTGTCGCTGTTCTCTCTACCGTGTACTTCAAAGTATCCAGCTCATCTTCAAGTTGCATTCGATTATTTTCATGTTCCTGGTACTGGATTCGAAGCTTGGCGGCAAGACGTTCTTGGGAAGCAATTTTCTTTTCCATCTCTTGATTATTTTCTGATTCGTTCTCTAAAAACAGTTGCTTTTCTGCAATTATTTGTTCTCGTAATCGGATGTCTTCCTTAGTCCTTGCGAGCTCAACAGCGGCTTGGTCCATTTCTCTGTCACGACGCTGCATTTGCTCGATAGTGATCTCCCATTGTCTAATCAAGTCTAATCTCGTCGAATGGGATTTTCTGAATTCTTCTGCCGTCTTATCAAGTTCAATTTGAGCTGACAATGTCTCAGTTGTCTCCTGGTCAAGAAATTTACGTTTCTGCTGTGCTTCTTCCGTTAAATGCTTAATTAGAAGCCCAAGCTCTTTGACCTTCGACTCATCTTGACGAGTGTATTTGTTTAATGTAATAGCGTCCTCATCACGTCTCGCCGATTCTTCGAGCCAAGCTTCTAATGCCTCTTGATCCCAATTCATTTGAGATTTTAAATTTTCGAGTTGTTGGGTGTCCAGAAATATTTTATTTTCAAATGAATTATGTTGATCTCGTAAAAGAGTTAAATCTTTTTCCAACCTCTGTACTTCTTGATTTAAGCGGCCATCTTCACGTTGGGCTATAGAAATCATATGTTCTTCAGTCTCAAAATCTTTCAAATAGGCATCAATCAGAGCCATGTTATGTGTCAGCTCACGTCTGACATTTTGTAAATGTTGGGACATCGCATGGACCCTATCATCATTGCCGCTGAGGTCGTTTGTCAAAAGAGAAATCTCTTTTCTTGTTTCTGCCAGTTCATTTTCAAGTGTTTTGTTTTCTACATTTGCCACTGGCATGGCAATGCCTTCATCCCAATCAATGTCGGAAATCACAGAATCCGCCATGATTGATTGATTTTATTTTGAAAAACTGTAAAAAAAATATTTCAAATTAAAGGTGTGTGACCTGTATTGAGGGCTTTGTTGTATCAAGATTTATGATAAGACTATAAGATACATTAGTTTGAAAACTAAATAGGCCTATGACAACACAAGCACAAGATTACTACATTACAAATTTGCCAGTAAACAAAATGTATCACAGAAACATAATGCACAGATAGAAAAAAATATCAAACAAATTGTTATTTTTTTTTTCAGGCCTACCTAATCTCAGTACTACACAGTTAAATTATTTTCAGTTTATGCACATCGAGCATGTCTGGAAATTGCTACGTGACACGAAAATCTTTCGTATTATGCTAGTAAGTTTCACATTTCATGAATTTATACATCTAGGTAACTTAGATGTTGGCTTAATTATGACTTCATGCTGACATGATGGGCTATTTTTTGAACATTTTAAGTCTCTAATATAGACAGTGATACCATAGCTAAATCAACTTCAGCCCAATAGACAAATACAGAGATACAGTAGATGAAAATAATTTACTTTGAATTACGGTACCGGTACCGGTACTGAAATTGGGAATACTGAAATGAAGATGATTTTTCACTAAGCTTGCTCGAAAATACATCAAACTAAACAACCTGTTTAGCACAAACACCGGTAGCATTAGGCGAGAAACTGTCATATACAGATATGGCGAGGACAAATATGAACGGAAAAAACATGAAAACTCTATAACAGTACGGTACTGTACAGGTAACTCGCAAAGTCGCCAACTTTACTCAAGTATTCAACGTTGTCATAGCAAATGGGTTCAATCGCCATGGTTCATTGCGTGTCCAAGTCAGTGTCAATTTTGTATCCACGAGTGGGAGCTGCTGAACAGAATGCTGAAGAAATTAAATGCATGCCAGATTTTATTATTTCACGCACAGTATAATAAAATAAAAGAAGATATTAATTAGGCAGTCATTTTGAACTCTAACATTTTCTTTTATCAATAATTTTATTTTCATTATAATCAATTTTAGAATGTTTGATTTATTCACATTTATTTTAGGTCTGAGGTTTAACGATAGCTAGACACGTTGTAATTTTAATTTGATGGCTTGTAAAATCTGGCATCTTAGTTTCGTTCTAGATTTTCTGGATTCTGATTGCAAATTGTCTCAGTGTTAGTTTCATGTCAGCTGCGCATTTGTGTGCAGAATGAGCAGTTTGCTGCACATTGCTTTCAATCAGGACCAAGGGTGTTTTGCTTGTGGGACAACAAATGGATTTAGGGTTTACAATGCGGATCCTTTGAAGGAAAAAAGAAACGCCAAGACTTTAAAAATGGCGGAATTGCATGTGTTGAGATGTTATTTCGTTGCAATTATTTGGCAGTTGTTGGTGGTGGAGCTACCCCCAGCGTAATCCAAAAATAAAGTCATGATATGGGATGATTTGAAAAAGAAAGTTGTCATTGAACTTCTGTTTTCTTCTGATGTTCGTTGTGTAAGGTTACGACGCGACAGAATTGTTGTTGCGCTTGATCGCCTTATTAAAGTTTTCACTTTCACACAGAACCCACAGTCTTTACATGTATTTGAAACAGCAGAAAATCCATACGGACTTTGCCAACTTTGCCCCAGTAGTACAAACTCAATTCTTGCATTTCCTGCACGTTCCTTGGGTCAAGTCCCAGTTAGTCGATCTGTCAAATACAGAGCAACCAAAAATGGTCACAGCACATGAGGCATCTTTATCGTGCATTGCTCTTAATTTACAAGGCACCAGATTAGCAACAGCATCTCAAAAAGGGACACTCATTCGAATTTTTGACACTCAAACGTGTGATAAATTAGTGGAATTACGGCGAGGGTCTGGAAATGCTAGAATATACTGCATTAATTTTAACGTTGATTCAAGCTTTTTATGTGTATCCAGCGATCACAAGTACTATCCATGTCTTTTCTTGTGGTGACAAGCTGCTGCTCAGTCCCAATCTACCAACAAGCAATCGAAGTCTCGCACACGCAAAATTTTCTGCCAAAATATTTCAGCAGTCAGTGGAGTTTTTGTCGTTTCAGTATTCCTACATCTTCACAATCAATTTGTGCGTTTGGTCCAGAATCAGACTCTGTAATCGCAGTTTGTGGAGACGGAACTTACTACAAATTTTCTTTCAACCTGAAGGGCGAATGCAATCGTGAAGCTTTCGCTCATTTTTTGGACATTACAAATGCTGATACTACTGACTAATTGATTTAACAAATAATAGTTTGGTGATTACTGTAAAGGGAAAAAAAATTGACTATAAGAGGTGTGCTTTCATCTATAATTAGCCCTGTTTTTAAGTGAATCCGACCCTAGTCGAGTAAATGGACTATCATAGCTTTTATCTAACAACTGGAATAAATACATTTCAACCATCAAAGCACTTTTAAAGTTCTTGCTGCCTCTTCGACTAGACCAGTGATTTTCAAACTGCAGCCATCTCCCGAAAAATTTAAATAAAGCTAAAAAACATTGTTTATTTTTGCCTCTTCAGTAATAACCAACACTGTCATGTCACATATCTGGCCTATTTGTGTGCAATTTCAATTCGTGAATCAATAGAAATATTGATTCATTCATATTAATACATTTAATAAAGTGCACTAAAGTTCTGATATTGTACAGAAGTTTAAATCTGATCTGTTTAAGACACATTCAATCAATCTTTTTGTCAAATTTTGAGTACAAAATTTCATGTATGATTTTATTATTTGAGTATTCTTTATGTATATTTTCAATGTATTTTTTATTAATGATCAAGTGCAAGTTTTAAAATAACAGTATATAAATAAGATATGTTCATGGTATACTTCATCATTAAACATTAGCAACCATCAAAGCGCAAAACTTATTATAAAGCTTATCGTGTCTTGACAGTGGCATATAATGTTAAACTTCTATCTGTGTGTTAGACCCAAGTTTGAGTTACATAGCATATGTTAATACAAGAAAGGATATTGTAGCAATAAAATTAACATCTGCTAGGGTAGCAAAAGAAGTACCGGTATCTATGTCACTATGGTGCTCAAAATTTAAAAAAAAGTCAATTTAACGCAGATTTTAAGATTTGGCATCTATTGTGGTTATGTGAGATTTATATTTCATGTTTTGCTTATTATTTGCAATTCCCTTTGTAAAAGATACTGTAACAGTGGCAAAATAAATATTTTAATGAATAATGACATTATGTGAGTATTGTTGCGTACTAACACGAATGCATCTTTGTTATAATTTTGGCCCAATCTTCGTCAGACAAAGCATAACATGAATATAAGAGTCTCATGCAATATCATACATCTTAAAATAATGCTATTCTCATTTGGAAGCTATATATTGATTTGAACAATGTTTTCCCCAAATAAGATTGATATATATTATGCGAAAAATTTATTCAATTTCATTAATGTTGCATAATGTTTTACGTTTCAATCATTTCTTATTATAAGATGTTCTAAGCTAGTTAAATGATTCTTGTATTTTTGGATCTTTTCCTGGAAACGGTCTGTGTTTTCTTCTCCTATAGCACGCATTCTTTCTGCCACCGAATGGAACAAAAAATTTTGATCCACGTTTATATTACTTTTTCCAAATCTGAAATTGTGGTCTGTGACATTGCTCTACCGGGATTTATTCCAGACTAGCCAATATTGGAAGCAGTCACCTGAAACTGTGATATTAAAGGAAAGGGGAAGTAAACATACTATTTTACACTACCAACCTTTGATGTTCAAAACGTGTAAAATCAGATTTAAAATCAATTATAACTGAAGCTTTATCAGAATTTTTGCTTTTTCATCAAAGTCATTAAAATATTTAATGTGATTTGATACATCACAATTTACAACCATCTCAGTAAACTGTATGGATTCTTGCAATGTTGCGCTTTTGTATGTAGGTTCTCCAAGAGTATAATATAGAAAACTGTCTTTTTAATCACAAAATATGTGATTTCTATATGATAGCTTTTAAAATAGTCATATATTCACACTAAAACTTTATAGTCTTTCATCACTTTTTGCAGTTGATGCTTTTTTTCATTTGACGTAACTCTGTTGCCACATTCTTTATGCCATATATATGTGTATTCTATATTATGTTATTATGTATTTCCAATGATTACTTGACTGATTTTATCCTAAATATTATTCCATGATCATTTTGTATTTTTAAAATGTTGTTTTTGATTCATAAGCTCCTAGGCTTTATAGCGTTACTGTTAAATTTGTAACAAGGAGAATATAAAGGGGCTACGGCTACTATGGCATGCTGTGGGCAAAATGGTGCCAAACGAAAAGAAGACATACATGACAATGTGAAAGAGTATTATGGTAATTTAATTCTTCTTGATTTCTTATTCTATGTCTCTGGAAAAGGGTTAAAGTGACATCATTTCAATTTATTCATTTATTTGATATATTTTATCAACAGTATTCCCTTTTTCGAAGGTAAAACATTGAAATCAAATGAGGATCTCAAGACTACGGCTTGCGTCACTCCAAGCATTAAAATGAAGAAACATGTAACAGATGCTATGAAACTTATACATGATGATGTCATAATGAAATATTATGGTTGCGGTCTAGTTGTTCCTGAATGCTTGCATGGAATGAAAATATTAGGTAACAGCTTTTTTGTCACTTGCCGATAAAAAAATAGGCGGCAATTTACTTACTATTGTTTGAATATTTTCTGCGAAGTTTGCTCGAAGCACAGTTATCTAGAAGTTGAAGAGACTCATCTCTGTGTCTCTCATGAAAAAAAACTAGGTGACTGCTTTTACTGGCTCATATTTCTCCACAGCAAACCACTGATCACAAAATCAGTGGTATATGTCATTTGCTTCATTCATCATGACCTTTTTAATCAAATGGTAACTTGAATCAAGGTTGCACACATTTACTCAGAAGTAAAAAAACTCATCTCTGAGCGATTATGGCGGTCACTGAAATTCTAAGACTTACTGAAAGTATCACTAGAATTTAAATGACTTTGAATGCTAGTTTTGTATTGAATAAGGATTTTATGTTTATACCAGAGAGAATTGGCGAACCACTCCCTCGCGAATTCGAAACTGCGAACACACACAGGGTAACCAGAGGTGTGATGGCTCGTGGCAAAGTATCATATGCTCAGGGAAACCTTACAGAAGCTTCAAGCTACATAATACAATTCTAGCTCATTCCCTTTATGTATGGGGATGTATGATGTCAGGCAACATACCAAAGAATTTTCCAAATTAATGTTTGTTATGCGGCGCCGATAATCACTTTTAATGAACCTTTACCATACCTCAGTGACCCCATGACCTGTTCGCGACCCTACTTATTTATCACTCCGACCCGATTTGGGGTCGCGACCCCAGGTTTTGGAACCCCTGATCTAGGTTCATTTAAAATATCCATTATTAAAGAAATTGTTAAAGCATTCTAGATTATACAATTCTAGCTCATTCCCTTCATTTCGATACTCTATCATTATAAATGTCCTCAACAAGAAATTTAAGACGAATCTAGCTATAACTTCACTTAATGCATTTCACATAACATTTGGTGATTTATTACTTATCGATCTTAAGATCGGTAAGTATATTGATAGGTATTTGGCTGTATGTATGTCTGTCTGTCTGTGTGTGTGTCTGTTAGATGCACGCGATATCTCACGAAAGCGAGATTGAATCTGCTCCAGATTTTGCATGTGCATTCATCTTATCTCGGACCAGAAGCCTATTGATTTTGGGCGAATTATGCCGTATAATTAGCGAGTTATCAATCAATTATTGATATAGTGATCTAGATTTTTGTAAAGCGAGAGAATTTTGAAACCCGCCGAGTGTGTGTGTGCGATGCGCAGTGCGCAAGTTACAAGAGCGGATGAATCGAAACTGCAGTTTCTGTTTTGGGGGATCCCCTAACTATCGATCGATAAGTCTTCGGTTTCCAACCGATATTCTCGTTTTTATCTGTTAACCATTCCTAGATCTCGGTAGTGGAAGTGGAAGAGATTGTTATGCTCTTGCTAAACTTGTTGGTGAAGATGGATTCGTTACTGGTATCGACATGACAGATGAACAGGTACCTTGTCGTTCTAATATTTTGACATATTTTGTTAGAACAAGTCTCTGGACGAGTACCCAGCATGGTACTTTTTAAAACAAGTAATATCAGGCACAGTGGTTCCTAACCTTTTTGTATTAAATGCCTCCTCTGACAATTTTGGAATTTGTTATTACTCCCTCACTATATATATAGTGGAACCAAAAACTGCGGGACTCCTGTAGTCTGTGTACCAGGTTAATGTTAGGTCATAATTTTCTATATTTTAGTTCTATTACCCCTGCCTATAGGCTTTCGTCCTTTTACACAACTTGATGTAAAGTAGGCGAACAAAATTAGTTACCACCATATCGGTACACACACGTCTGGAGCGTCAATACTACTTTGTTCAATCTTCGATGTATCTTTAGCTAGTGTTATTGACAAGTTACACTCTCGCTTTTATACAACAGTATTGACTATTGATAAAAACTAAAGAATGTTAGTGACACTACAGCAAATACAAAGCAAAATTACTGTCGAAAAACGGCAAAATTGTTCTCTGGGATGAGTCTTCTCTGACTCGGACAGTTTGATTTAAATCATAATTTTGCTGTGCAATAGATTCATTTAAAATATCCATTCTTAAAGAAATTGTCAAAGAATTCTAGATTATCGAACTATTTATTGTTGACATAACAGTTTGTTGTTGTATGATTGACATTTTTTAAAAAATTGGCAAATTTTGGCAATAATGTACCTAAATCCTATTTTAGTCAATGTTTCTAAGGTAAATTTGGTATTTACCATTATATTTTCTTGCTGAACTCTTATTGCATATGAAGTTGTATTTTAAAAAAAAAAATAGTGGGAAACTTGTTTTAAACTGAAGCCTAAATACTGGCAAAAGTGTGGAATGTTTAATTAATAATAGTGGCAAACCTAATGGGTATTCGAACTTTTTTAAATAATATACATATTCAAATATAGACTCTCGGATTTAATTTGAAACTCGCAGAACCCCTAGACTGCATTGGCAGTACCTTGAGGTGCCACGGGACACTGGGTAAAAACCATTGCTCTAACCACTAGGTGGGGTAACAATTCACTATTAATAACCTAAAAACTTTTTTCCACAGTTGGAAACTGCAAATAAATACATTGAACATCATCGTGATGTTTTTGGATTCCAAAAAGCGAATGTGAAATTTGTAAAAGGATATATTGAAAATTTGAAAGATGCTGGAATTGAAGATAATTCTATTGATATCATAATGTAGGTTTTATTATTATATGAGATAAGGGCAGCATTTATTGTTATATGATATATTTGCCTGCCTAATTTGTTACACTCTGGGTAAGGTTGTTACTTATCAATCTTCAGACCGGTAAGTATGTTGATAGGTATTTGTCTGTTAGATGCACGCGATATCTCACGAAGGCGTGGACTCCAAATTTTGCATGTGCATTCATCATATCTCGGACCAGAAGCCTATTGATTTTGAATAAATTATGTCGTATAATTAGCGAGTTGTTAATTAATTAGTGATGGGACACAAGGTGTCACTATGGAGTAAGAGCGCTGTTTTGGGGGATCCCCTAACTTTCGATCGATAAGTCTTTGGTCTCTGACCGATATTCCCGTTTCTTAGATTATTAAATTTAATGAAACATTCTAGAAATTCAAGATTTTTAGCCCAAAATTTTTTTCAACCCGTTTCGTTTTTTCCCAATCTTATGGAATATTTGTATTCCAGTCATATATTATTTGTATTGTAAAAAATTCTAAGAACTATGTAAGAAGAAAATATGTCATGTTTGTATATTACTCAAACTGCAGTAACTGAATTCAATAAATCATTCTGGAAGTATAAGATTTTGGTTCATGTTTTTGTTTTGTTTTTCAGTTCTAATTGTGTTATCAACTTATGCAAAGATAAGAAATCAGTTTTACAAGAAGCGTTCAGAGTTTTAAAAGATGGTGGAGAATTATATTTCAGTGATATTTATGCTGATCGGGAATTAACAGATGAAATAAAAAAACACAAAGTGCTCTGGGGTAAGTTTCTTGTCGTGCAACCTTTTGGGTACTCCTGAAGTATATGAACCAAGATGGCAGACACCGGAATGTAGTATGTGTACCAAGTTATGGTTAGTCCATAATTTTATTCCAATTATTCCTATTTTAGTTCTATTATGAGTTCGGGACTAACCAAGTGACTCCTGTAGGCTGTAGCATTTGTACCTGAAATTATAGCCTATCCCGAACCTGGTTCGCACACTACATTCCGGTGTCCGCCATCTTGGCTCACATACTTCAGGAGTACCACCTTTTGTATATAATATTCAGATACCTTTAAATCAGTAATGGCTAAATTACATTCTAAATAGATATACATTCCAAATTAATATATTCGAATTTTCCAGAATGGAGTTCAGTAAAAAAAATAAGCATACCATATTTCCCGGAGAACTGACTAACTAACAATATTGAAATTGTAAGCAGACTTTATGGACACCCTGTATTATGGATGTTGAGGTAATTGGTTTTCATTACTTTGCATTTTTTCAGGTGAATGTATAAGTGGGGCATTGCATTGGAAGCATCTATACTCTATTGCTAAAGAAATCGGATTTGAAGTGCCAAGAACGGTTTCAGCGACAATTGTAAATGTTACAAAGCCAGAATTAGAATCGGTCGTAGGTATAGTTAATTTCTTTATATAAACCATGTGGCACTTGTTTTTTCATATATGTTTGCATGTCTGAATAAATTTGTGTTAATAACAAGGACACTAACTTACTAAAACTTATTTATTTCTTAAATACTTTTACACAAGCGTATCCAAAGCATTGGGGCTTTGCTTGAATTTGCTTTAACCTGTCCTTAAAATAAATAATGGTATAGAGCAGCGGTTCCCAAACTATGGGTCGCGACCCACTGGTGGGTCGCAAAAGGAATCTTAGGGGGTCGTGAAAAGATGTAGAAAGCTCTGATTAAAAGCAAATTTCGAAATAAACTGCAACTTTCTAATTCTTTACGTCTAAAACTATTTGAAATTGAAATAAATGTCAAGTCTATTTTGGAAAGTAGCAAGAAACAAGCTCATCCTCTCACTAGCTTCACTGAAAATTTAGTTTGAGAAAATAAATTTGTTTCCTCCATCAATGTTTTATTAATTTATTGAAGTTGAATGGGTCGCCATAAGCTGTGGTGAAAAATAGTGGGTCACAATTCTAAAAAGTTTGGGAACCACTGGTATAGAGACAGGGTAGAGATATAGGATGTGAATTTTTATTTAGTAGACTATAGTATTAAATCAACATCGCATTTATGTTTCTCATTTTCATCGCATTTTGTGTCTTTATCTTTGTGAGGGAGCAAATTAGGACCCGCGGGCCGGATCCGGCCCACCGAAGTGTTTCATAAATAAACTGTTTTTTATTCATAGCTTTTTTAATTGAGTTTTGAGCCTCTGGCCCAGTAACCAAGTCTTTTAGCTGTGACTGGCCCACTCAGAAAAGTAATTGGCACCCCTGCTTTATCTCCTAGTTAGCAGGCTCACTTATTTCTTTATTTTAGCTATTTATTAATTTATTAAAAACATAACTTCAAATGCTGTCACTTTATTTTTCAGATGAAGACTTGTCTGACAGAAGTAATATATTAACTTGAATAAAATATAATTCCTAATCAATGCGTGAAAATCAAATTCTTTAATTCATACAATAGTGTCATATTATATTTATCAAACAAAAAATAATAGTTAGGAAAATTGTTAGTTTAATATTAATTTAGTAGCTATGCCATAAGAATAAAGTTTCCTCTGGTTTGCTTGTCTTATGCAAATCTACCTTCGGAGATATTAATCTCCTTTTAAAACTATCCAACAATAATCAAAAGTTTTTAAGCGATATTTTATTTCTGAACAAGGCTCTATGTAAACCACAGACTTACAATTTTATCATTTTGGCATTGCTCACCCAATTTATTCCACCCTGGCTAGAGTTTGAACCTCTAGGGCTGCCATGGGCAAACTACGGCCTGTGGGCCAAATCTGGCCCGTTTGGTAATTTAATCTGGCCCGCCTGATGCTGCCACAACTAAACTAAAACCAAATTTTGATGTTTCAGCTAAAAAAGGGCTCAAGGAATTTCTTAAGATTGCGATTAAATTGAGTCTTAGCACGAGGCTCATTGTTTTTTTATTTGCTATTGTAACACTTCATAATCAATAATAAAATTTAACTTTTTACGTCACACTTACATGGCCCGCCAGTCTAGGTGGGCAAAATTTTTGGCCCTTTGTCTGAAAACCTTGCCTACCTTTGCTCTAGGTTCTCTGCTCTGCATGTTTTATGTTTATTAATTAATACAGCAGTTGTAATTACAAGCATGCTTTCAAAAATTCATTATGATTGAGGTACCAGTATTTCTCTGGAAATCCGATCCATCCAAGATTTCCTTGTTATATGTGCACAAAAATGAATTATAAAACTTTATATAAGATTATTCTCCATTTCATCATGAATGTATTTCTTATCTTTTTATTTGCCATTAGTCATATTTTTGTTATTGGAAAATTTATGTCAGTCATCATCAGGGATGGCCATTTCCGAATACTAAACTATTCCGAATACATTCTAAAATAATGTTTTCGAATCTGGAATTCCGAATACATTCTAAAATCGAAAATAACACATTTTTGTTTAGTTTATTAAAACCCAGTAAATTAGGAAATAAGCTTCAATAAAAATATCAGAATAAAGCCACAAACCAACAATATATGTACACAAGATAATTGATAGTTTATAGCTATCAATAAAAAATAATAGCAACTTGTGACACAGTCAGTTTATTAAAATTATTCACTTTGTACAAATGACCATATGAAAAGATAGCCAAGGAGTTGTCTGACGCTTTCTATCATTGGTACCATGATATTATGATAATAGTCAAGTCTGTTGACAAAAATACTACTTGTATTCAGATAATTGTGTATATTTTCTGAGAGTAATAAAATTTATTGGCAATACAGGCAACTGAAACAAGTAACAATAATCGAAAATCCATTATGCCTTTAAAAATTCTAATATTTAAGCATAGAGTATTCTACTACCTACCAGTATATTTGTATATTAATTTATGTGAACCATATTGTTATTATGTGTAACATATTTTTGTGTTTGAAATTAGAAATAAATTAGTAGAGGATAAATGACCACCACTGCCAGCCGCGCAGCCAGGATTTTCGAAATCGGAAATTCCCATTGCCGCCTGTAACACCCAAAGTGACTTTGGTAACACCCACCGCGATTCCGCGATCGTTAAAAGAGCCGTCTTTTCGGCGTATAATGATCATCCTATTACGTAAAATATTCAATCCATGACAACTACGAGTTTCTAAAATATCTCTATATATTAATTTAATGTGTCCAACGTAACTCGCGGTTGCTTCTTCTTACGTCAAAAAAAAATATTACTACTCAGTCCACGGCGATCTGTGACCTAAAAGTACGAGATAAACTGCCTGATGTATTCAATTTTAATACGTATTTTTGCAATCTTGCCAACTCGTTATCGCCGTTAGAAAAATCTCAAATAATGATATAAAATCCTGTTGAGTGTAGTAGAGTATAATTCATTTCATACAATGAATATAAATATAAAGTTTAGCAGTAAATTGAAAATAGGTATTCATCGTCTCGATTATGCCACCTGTTAAGAGAGTCGACTTTTACAACAAATAATATAACAATATATTTTTCTGTTGTGCAAAGTGATGAATTCGTGACCGATACGGGCATATTTAAAATGTCTTGCTTCATTATTAATTTAATTGTCTTCAATTTAACCTGCGGTTGCGTCGACAAAATAAAATCCTCACCACTCTTATATACCATTGCAATCCGCGGTCATAAAAATAAAAACGTGTGGTAAACTGCCCGATTAAATAATGTTTTGATCCGTGTAATGTTTTGCGAATTCGGCAAATATTTAGATGTACTTGTTAACAGTGTCTCCGCTCAATCGAAATGCTGCCACTCTTGATTATTTTTAGGTAAAACCGTTCGAAAAATCCGTAAATCTTCTGTAACATCTCGGAGTGAAATTTATTTCATCAAAATAAAATTGATTAAATATACTTTGAAAATATTCGACGGCAATTTAAAGTAATGGATAATCAGGCAAATCCCGCCCTCAATTCGTGACGATATGTTTCTAAACGCCGACCAAACATGATGTGTGCCAGAGGCACACGAAATTCTGCGATTTTCACTGCCTAGAAAAGCGTTTTTCAAATTTTCGCGGGCCTCAATAAAACTTATATTGTTTACGGTTTTATTATTAGTATTTTAAATTGCCGCTTTTCAATCAAAAAGTTGCGTTGTCTTTAGAAACTCGCCGCCGATGAACGTATTTACCAGATTCACAATTCCGTGCGCGTACAAAATAAAATAATTGTCTTCGTTACGTGGAACAAATTTGTGGAAAATTTTCGTTCTAAAGAAAATAACACAAACGTAAAGGCGTTTACGGCCTCAAAATAACACGTTACGCTGATGAGTGATGAAAACAATCACGCGCAAGTTTCTATCGAGAATGTTTTCATTCAACGGAAACGTTTTGAGGGCGCCGTCGAAAATGTGTGACGTCACACAAATATCCGGTATTCTTATGAACGCTAATTCCGATATTCGAATGACGAGATATTCGAATACATTCGAATACTTTATTCGAATTGGCCATCCCTGGTCATCATCATAGTTAGCCATTGTTGGGGCATGAAATTTGTCAGTCAGATTTGTCTAGAGTTATTGATTATTGCAAATAGGTCTTTAATTGTTTTTGCATTTCCGACAAGAACTATCTAGCTTTAAATTCAAACTGGTTCAATACTGGTCATTAAAGAATCGAATATTCAAATTGATATGAAATCATACACTATAGTTTCACTTTCAGGAATAACTTAAAAGGAATTGTTTTGAGAAATTGTCATTATGAGTAATTGATGTTTTAAAGTATGATTTAAAAGCGTCCAATTAATTTTAATTTATTTGAAACAGGAATCAATCAAACTACTATTTATTTAAACCTAAATTTTGAAATTGTTGAATACATATTGAATATCATATTTTTTTTTGTCTTGCTGAACATTAATTAGCTTTCATGCCCCTTTCAGACAGTAATAAGGTCTTTTCATATTTTAAACAAGAGGGCAATGCACAAATATATGGGCACGAAGATCGTATGACTTCGTGATGTCAGCAAAATTCCAGTCAAATGTCGAACGAATTGTTCAGGATGTCATAAGAAAGTGTGCCCACGTATTATGATGAAACCTTGAAGCTATTATATTTGTTTCTATATCAGGTGATGCCAAATTTGTGTCTGTCACATATCGTTTGTTCAAGCTATCGACCAAAGTTGAAAGAGAACCGAAAGAAGTTTTGTACAATGGTGAAATAATTGGATATGAAGATGAAATTCAAGTTTGGAGTTCTTTAGTTCAATGCTTGGCCATTTATGATTATTTTCACAACTTTAATTTGAACGAGCTTTGCGGATATATACTACTTTGTTTCGAAAAGATCAAATCTCTCATGCTCAGCATCTAACTCAGTGGGCCTCAAACTTTTTATGTTGCGCCCCCTTTTTAGAATTTGTCAGAAGAATTTGGCCCCCCTCAAAAATAACTAGTCAACAATAAGCTACAAATATCAGAGTAAGGTAAAATGAACTAATATTTTTACTTCTAATTAGCTTCACGCCCCCTTAAAAATTTGTCTGAATGTTTATGTATAAAAAGGCGCTCACATACATGGGTATAAGCAGTCATAAACGTTTTTTTGCTCTTGATGCCGCGTTAAATCTGCCATCTTTTTTCCTGGTGCTTTTATTGCTGTTAGGCTAAACGTTAGCCGAATTCCGCATTTTTATGTGGCCCAGCTAGAGTCTAAAGTTGGTTATATGGTCCATCAACAAAAAAAATTGTACACCCCTGGTTCAGATTATATGTGATGTGGAATTCTACGAAACCAAACTATGTAAAATAAATTTTAGAGACGAGAGTGTCAACAAGTTAGAGGTAAGATCGGGCCCAAAAATTCCAGCCTGACACGGGCCCGTGGGTGTTAAATCCGACCCGAGCCCGCCTAATTATCTGGATTTGCAGGCCCGACCCGAGCCGGGGATGGTGAACGATAGGAAGAATATCTTTGGGGGTCAAAGGTCGGATAAAGGTCCATTACAGCTTCTTTTCTGTTTTATTCAAATTATTTCTTTTATAAACATATATTTATTTCAAAAAACGTCAGCGATAGAGAAGCCCGACCCGAACGTAATGATTGACATTTCATGCCCGACCCGAAATGTCAGGTCGGGCTCGGGCTTCAGATCTACAACAAGTCACTCTGACTTGAACTTTTTTAAGCTGGAAGTTGTGACTCCATTATGTTTTCACTTGCTACCCCTCATTAATAACTTACTCATCTCTCAATTTTCAATCTATTCACAGTTTGATCACAAATTGAAGTTTGTTAAAGACACTCCTCAAACAATAGATGGTGACACAGCGGCCATTTTACTTTCCTCAAGATTTGAAGATGAATTCGAGATGAAAAAAGCCAAGTGTTGTGCTAATCCTTCAAAGGTATGTCTTAATTTGTAGAGATGTAACTCTGTATTATCCATTTGCTCTTTTGTTTGTCTTGAAGTAACAAAACTCGAAGTAAGTAAGTAAAAGTTTACAACGTACAGAAATTAGAATAAAAGGACACCAAAAGAAGTGGTACATGTTCACTCACCTAAAAGTGTTGAATTAGGTCGTGCACACACAAGTTTAAGGTCTTGCATTGAGGCTTGTTTGATCTTTATTGAGCGACATTTGAAAGTGATAAAATATTGCAATGCATACGCCTCGGCTGGCTGTCGCAAAAAGGGTCATGCCAGAAAAAAATGCCACCAAATTTGGGCAATGTATGCCAGTTTGTTGAGGTAACATCCTCCTTTGGGAAGACTATTAATCAGTCAAATTTTTACTAGCTTAGGTTGGAAATGTTTCCATAAGAGCCTATTAGTTTAAGTTTTTTTGGGCACTCTTTTGTTTTGGATTGCTACATGAACCATGAATTTGACATGAACTGTCTGTCGATATCAATCCTAGTCCAAAATAGATTTATACAAATTCCAAATTCCTGTCTGTCGATATCAATCCTAGTCCAAAATAGATTTATACAAATTCCAAATTCCTTTGAGCAGTAAAGTTATAATGATCACTTTTTTATCCCCATCTCAATTTCTTTCATTATTTTTTCAAACTTTCAGAACGAAGAAATCGACCCGTTTGTTTTAGCGTCTTCTGACAAATCTACAAATAATCAAGGAAATGGCGGCGGGTGCTGCCCTGGATCACAAAATTGCTGCTAAATTGAAAATTTTAAATAATTTTACAGTGTATATATGAATAGTTTGGTGCTGGAGAATTCTGCTATGTTATTATTTTGCTAAAGAATTATACTACAAACATTTTTTCAATTTTGAATACCAGCAGTTGTGAATAGAAGCATACACATTTAACGTGCCAAACATGGCTAATTTTGTTGGCCTATTTTACATCAAGTTGTGTAAAGAGACAGAAGCCTATCGGCAGGGAGTATATTCATTTGGCTAACACAGACATTCCCCGAACTCGTAATAGAACTAAAATAGGGAAAATTGCAATAAAAATTATGGCCTAACCTTTACCTGGTACACACACTATGGGAGTACCCCAAACATTCTTTCAGAAATTTGACATAAATTATAGTTTCACTACAAAAATGGAGAATAATGTGTAAAGAACAGCAGATTAGATTTTTTGAAATTTAAACTATTTCATATTTACATTCTAAATTATGTCTAACAATGGAAATCATAGTCGTTGACTTTTGTTTTCAACCCTCGTTTTCATTTTTCTGATAATCTCGAGCATTGCATATAATTAACAATTTAGGACATTTAACTAACTAGTTAGATTTCCCCCTTGGCTGATATGGATTGGTTATTCAGACGTCCACCATGAGACTGAGGTCTTAGTTGTTTTATGATTTTTTTTATTATTAAATGATCCTGTAATCATAGTTGCAGTCTGCCGGGATAAATCTGGAAAATCCTATTTTTTATCCTCGAAGTTTCAATGTGCAATTGACAATTCATCCTGACCATGGCTGCAGAGCCAGCTGTTACAAACTTTAAACATGTGCTTGCCCAAGCATTTTTGCTGTGTATTTTACATTTAAACTTCCATGGTATATAGTTAAGATTTTATTTGAAAATCGCATTTGTATAAATCTGCTATTTTCCATACTAGGCTGCATCTGCTAATAAAATATATGCACATAAACACCGTCCTATGCTCTCTCAAGTCACATTTTCGTTTGTTGTTCTGTTTGTATACTGCTTATTTTGACGGGAATGAAACAAAATCTAACGGTAAGCTGACGATGTGGATAACGTAATATTCTTCATGTTTGCACGAGAGGAAATTTCAAAAATTCTTCCTCGACATTGTTTATTTTTAGATGCCTGTAACGAGTTTGAGCGTTTAAATGTTATAAAACTGCAAGAAGCCAAATTTGCGAAAATTCTATTAGCGAGGAGTTCGGCAGCTCCACGGGGCATGAATGACCATCCCCGAAGACATTGGTTCCCAAAATTTTTGATATCGTTACCCCTAAATCGAATTACCAAAATCCCAATTACCCCTTTCATAAAAATACAGTAGTTACTAGTTATATTGTTATCACTTTTTCTCCGACCAAGAATGGCGATAATACTAACGCCTATTGCATTTTCCGATCCGACTTCAAAATGCTAAACTTGTGCTAGCTCAGCATTTTAGTTTGCAATCATGTCCTTATGAACTTTGCGAGTGGATGACTAGGATCATTGACTAGATGAGAGCATTGAATGTCCAGCTTTCGTGCAGAGTAGTCAAAGATATGTGGATTACAAAATATGTTGTTTAAACAGTGAACATCTGGATTGCCCCCTAAAATTGCCAAATTACCCCTAGTTTGGGAACCACTCCCCTAAGACCTAAGTCAGGGATCGGCAACCTTTTGTTGCTCGCGGACCAAAATTAAAGGGTTGCAAGTCGTTGGCGGGCCGCGCATATTTTTAGAAAGTTGAAAACCGAACGGATAATACTTTTTATAATAAAAAGCAAGCAGTGATACATCTCTCGAATAGAATATAGATTTATTTCCTCATTACATCTTTAACAATTCCATTTGAATATTTTCAGCGTCATTGAAACCTTTGCAATTAACATCAACTTTTCTGCGTTTTTTTGCCATTTGTTCAATTATAATTAAGTTATAGGCATATTAAACGAGTAATTGTGAATTATATACTTGTTAGGTTATAATAAAATTTAGTCTAAAGAATATATTAGTCAAATAAACCTTTTCAGTGTAACGGTAAAGCACCGTACGTGAAACCCCGGTCCGACTCGTCCAAGTGGAGTGAAGCTAAGCGAACGATGGCCTATTGTATTGAAGGATCCGGATGCGCCCGATCAAAGACTTGACTCATATATCGTTGTAATAACTTGTCCAATTTTTCGCAAAATTACTCCAAAGTAATGGTATATTAGTTACTGAACACACAGTCAAGACGGACAGCAGGTAATAAAACAGACACGGCCTCCGCGACTGCAAAATCCGAGCCATTTAGTAAAACTGGGAATCTGACAGTGACATCGACTGTCACTAAGATACGTTGACGCATGCAAATGCTTAGAAAACTTAGAAGCTTTTTTTTTTATTTTTAGACGGAAATTTTGGCTCTGATTCAATTCCAGTTACAATAGAAGCATGCCGAATTCTGATCGAACTTTAAATTTTTTTTACAAAATATCAATTTTTATCCAATAATTTAAATCAGGGGTGTGCAACAGGCGGCCCGCGGGCCACAACCCGGCCCGCCAAGCCATTTAGTGTGGCCCTTGTCAATACTCTGATTTTTACCCATCAAGCATAAAATCCCAATCCGACAGTTTAATTAGACCTGGCGATTAAGACTTCGTGTATCTTTTTAGTAGCTTAGATAGAAACAGTAATTTGATTATGACAGTACTAGGCTTGCACGTAATTGACAAAAATCAATTCCGTAATTACGGCCAAATCGATTACGTAATGACCCCGTAATTTCGATATTTTTTTCACGCATTTAAACTATCATAACAACCAATTGAATCCACTTCTATTCCGAATGGGACATCGAAGTTTGGTTTTCATATTCCCGGCAGTACTACACGCCGGCGACAGGTGTTAAAGACAAATATCAAGAAGTGAATTCAAATTAATTTTATTCTGATTTTTATCTTTTGTGTTAGCTTTGATTTTCCTTTATCACATTTATCACCCAATTTTATGCGATCAATTTTATCATTACCGACACCGGTATACGGATATATATTTATGAAACGATAGTTGACTTTTTTTAAATCGTATTAGCGTATTAATAGGACTTTCGTATTAAATAAAAATTTCGGGTTTCTAATTTATTAATCAGACTTGTTATTTCACCGTTTTTATACAATATCCGACTTTACTACTTAGTTAGCATTTTATAATAATTATTGATGCCGACTTATTGACGATATTCCGATTACCATGCTTCATTTTACATTAAATCATTTCGCGGCCTAAATATTATAACATTATTTGCGATAATTCAGATCAAATACTAATTATTTGCGCATAATTTAAATACCGTACTTATATGACATGCCTTCTCCGGAAATACAAAGTTATATCGCATAACAATGCATTTTGTGACATTTATTTTGCACTCACGAAAATATTAATTTATTTTTCTAACTCAAGTCGACAATCCTATCGGCCAAGATTGACACAAGTTTGGTCGAATGCTGGCGGTATTCGAGACGATGATAAATCAAAATAAGTTGCCGCATTTGGTAAAGACATTTAATCATATTTGGCCGAAATATTGCGAGGCATTGTGAAAAACATATTGAGCAAGGCCAAGTCTGGAGAGATATTTAACGATAAAACCGGTAACAGAACATCAAGATTCTGTAATAGAAAATGGTTCTCGCGCAGTATAAACACGGGAAATCCCGTCGTTTCTCTGCCGGCTCAATCGCTTTACCGATGCCGAAGAGACTAAGTTGCGTTGGTTCATTACGCAATTTCTCTTCCGTCGTCATATTGCTATTTGATAAGCGCGACATTAATTATCACGGCATTATATACGGTTAATATGTACATTGGCCATGCTAGATAAGTTGATAATAGATTAGTAAATGGCAACGCGTTATGCCTTCCCCACCTGCGTGACAAGAGAGAGAAAAACGGCTGCGAATACCGGAACTCCAACTTCTTCTACTTATTAAACTTTATTTTTTTACAATCGACGGAATTGACTGCTCTGAAAAGAGCTCGTTTCAATTGCCAAAGCGCTCGACCAATAATTACGACTTTACGTAATTCGTAACTTCGCTTCCGTAACTCGAAATAATTCCGTAAATCCGTAAATTACGTGCAAGCCTAGACAGTACGTGACGTAAGCATTCTTTGGATTTGTGGTTTAGACTCGCTCAGGTATAAGCTCTGTCTAGCAGATTACGTTTATGGATAAAATGTGTTATCTTACTACGTTGAACGTTGAAAGCATACTAACTAGGAGCATATGCATATTGGGAATACATTTCTATTAGGCAGAAAACGTAGCTACAGAACAGAATATGAATCAGTCGCCACGTGGGGTGCGGTTGTTGCTGTATTTATTCATTGATATAACATGGGACTTACATATTTATCCAGGGGGAGAGAAAAGCCTAATAAATGGCGAACCACGGCCTCTCCAAGTAGCTCTGTGCTCCATATGAACCCCCAGGCTGCCTGGACTTTGTGAGCTATTCGTATACTTATTAAAAATACTGATTTTAACTATAAATTATTCTGGGATATCTTGCCATTGAAATTTAAAATTTGCCATTTTCATGTCTTGTGAAATTTGTTTTTTATTTTATTATTTAGAGTACATTTCGTATCAATTATGATTTTTGCATGTATATTATCTAATTTTAACGATCCTTCATATAGTCATATATATATATACTGTTGATTTGGATGCAATTATACTTTAGTAATCAATAGTGAGATATAGAATTTGAACAAGGGTCGCAGCCAGGATTTTTCCAACAGGGTGGGGGGCATACGGTGAAATTAAAACAATGCGCCAAAAGTTCAATTCACGACGGCGTGAGGCGTGTAATAAATTTAAAACAATGCGTCGTTCCCAGCGAAATTCTACAGTCACGTGTAGCTCGCCTCTGTTTTCTTGACGGTGTTTGGTGAATATATACAAAAACACGCTCGCGTGTAGCGCCGATCGAATCATGAAATGTGGAAATTTTACTTGGAATTTAATGATAACAAAGTTGATTTTTTATTGTCATTCATTGATTATTTACATGCGCCGTGATTAGTGGTGGGCAAACCGTATTTTTATATATAAAATTATTCGAATATTTTAACGAACATCAGCGAAGATGTTAAAGACAACTATTAAGGAATGTATTCACAACAAAAATTAATTTTATTCTGATTTTTATCTTCTGTGTTGGATTTGTATCACAGTTACGGTCCCAATTTTGAGCAAATAATATTATCATTACTGACCCCGGGATGCGATATTTGTGAAGCTGATAGTTGACATTTTTATGTTTTAATTTTATATCGTTTTCGTGTTACTTTCATATTAAATAATAATTAGAAAATTCCGCAAATTGGTAATCTCTAGAATACTCAGTGTTGTGTATTCACGTAACTCAGCTTGGTTTAAAACACTGATACTTAACACGTGAATAAATCAGCAATAATGGCATTTCTACGTGGTCAAAATATTATTTCTCCGCAATATCTCGGGAAATTTGCATAGAATACATTATTCACATGCCTTGCTTATCTGATTCAACGTTTCTAAATTTACAAAAACGATGTTGACGCGATTCACGCAAAACTAGAAATTGAAAAATATGATAGCGCAAAAATGACACAAAATAAAAAATTCTCACATTCATCGTTTCTGTCTGTTGGCGATAGCAGTCGGTAAATTTTACGTAACTCGTAAATTTATGTTAATAAATTTTATTTTGCTTTTCAATGCGCCTTGCTTTATATTAAAATAAAAGGAATCGGGAAGAGAATGTCCTGAAATTAGCTCATAACCCTTCTTTCATTTCGAACGGCCATAACGGCGGTTACATACACGTTACTGAATAACAATCAACAATCACGCATTCTTATTTGTCATTATCAGCGCCAACTAAAAAAATAACATATCGTAAAGATAAAAAAAGTATGGCGGTGTTAATTGCGCTGCGGTGATAATACGCAGAATAATATCGTTTGGACGAAACCATAATGCGCGACCGTAAACGATGGTGCTGCTTTTTTGTGGAAGAAGTTTCGCATGAAAATTTTTAAGACCAGTGGTGTGGGGGGTTAAGACCAGTGGTGTGGGGGGATTAAGACCAGTGGTGGGATTTAGCCCGTTCTCTAGAAACGTCTCACGGAATTTAATGAGATCAGCGAATCGGTCAGCATTACTAAAAAACATGTAACAGAACCGGCCGAAAACTATGACTTTTGTGATGGAACCAGCTGACAAAAAATTTGAATCCCACCACTCGTTACGAGTTACGACCCATGTAAAGGGGGACGTGGGGCTTTGTATTCATTGATATAGGATAGGGTTAACATATTTACTCATGTGGAGAGGAAAGCCGATTCCCTGCTATTCTTATAACTTTTGTCTTCGTTTTTATTGTCAAGATATCCCAGACTGCCAGAGTGATTTGAAATCGGAGTGCCCTGGGGCTTCGTACGGAGCGCCTTATAAACTATGATTGCGAGAAGCTGTGGTTCTATTTAGGACTTCTTATCCCTTTCCCATGGATAAATATGTACCTAAATCCCATGCTATAATCAGAAATAACTACACTTGACTTCATATTCTGTGCTATAGCTAATAGATTTGCATTCCCAACAAGTAGTTAGTATGCTTTCAACGTAGGCCTACCATACTTCGAAACCCAAAACCGAACACGAATCGAAAAATTAAAAGCCTCAATACGGCCAATTTCGCAACCGGCGCGGCCGAAGCAAGGGATTTTTGCAGCGAGCGATATGCTTTCTCCATATGCAACGAACCATTTAGCTGGACGACGTAAAAAAATGCAGGGCGCAATGGATTGATGAGCAAATATTTGAAATTTTCCACTCATTGTATATATCAGGGATGGCGAACCTTTTTCAATGAATGGGTCAAAAATTATACTTTTATCGCGGAACAGAAGAGAGTGGGTCACAGATATTTAATCAATCAGATTTTCATTCTGTTGTAACATGCGACTGCTGGATATACCAGTTCGCCTAGGCGTAAGTAGTGTTTTTTATCACACACGCGGCGGTGTGGCTCATCGTGCTAAGCGTTGGGAATACGCTCGCCACCACACCACTGATTACTCTGCGTGGGTTCGCAGGTTCGAATCCGATGCGGGAGATTTGCTGGACTCCTCGCCGCCGTAGGGTGGTTATCGCAACCGCTTGTCGGTTAGGGCTTCCTTCACCATCAAGTCCATGCTTTTGAAAACAAATAACTAACTAATCCCATACCCGACATGGAATGGTAACCGGACGAGAGGCCGTGATTCGCCATGTGGTTAAGCCATCTTATCGGTTTTCCTCTCCCCGGGATAAATATGTAAATCCTATCCTTACATATAGTTCGACTTTGTCCTCATTTTCTGTTAGACTTTTTATTGTACCACTGCTGTTCCCGTGTGTCCCTTCACCCTGGAATGCTATCTTTTTCATTTATAATTTATTATAATTCGTGAGTGTGCACTTTCAGTATGGTGGGAAAAAAATAATCATTACTGAAGAAAATTTGTCTCTATTTACCATGTAAAATTTCAAAATGCAATAGGCTAGGATTCAACACTGCAGTTAAAATCAACGAAATAGATTACAAAATTTTTGTAACAGGTTCAATTAGTCAAATAAGAAATTCGGATTGAACATAGCAGCAAACACATTAACAAAAGTGAAAATACCAACAAAATGGGCGCTCACGAAGTATTTGCACCAAGATGGCGCACAACATGAACCCTAACCTGGTACACTTACTATGTACAAGTTGTGCGCCATCTTGGTGCACATACTTCGGGAGCTCCACCAAATGAGCAAAATCTATAACTTTTAATAATATATATCTATAATTTAATTTCACAAATTATTTAAGAAATTATCAAGGATAAGATTACACAAAAGCAGAAGCTATTACAGAATTTTTAGCGTTGTGAACATGACAAACAATAGTCATTAAGATTCATACAAGATATAGTTAACCATTATTTTTTAAATATTTGGTACTCCCGAAGTATGTAAACCAAGATGGCGGACACCGGAATGTAGTATGTGTACCAGGTTAGGGTTAGGCCATAATGCCAGTTACAAATACTAACGGTGTCACTTGGCTAGTCCCCGAACTCCTACTAAAACTGAAATAAGGAAAATTGGAATAAAATTATGGCCGAACCTGGTCAACATACTACGTTCCAGTGTCCGGCATCTTGATTCACACACTTCGGGAGTACCAAAAAATTTTCAAGACAATAAAGACGAAGTCCAAAATACTACAAATGTCATTTCTGTCAATATTATCTAAGGTAAGACTTCAATCATGAGCGAATATTTACAAATTTTAAAATTATGGGCTTTTTCTTGATATGATTAGAATGTTCCCACATTGCTTAAAGTTTTTATTTGTCGTTCATGGATTTTAATATGCCTTATCAGGTTAGACTTATTCGCAAAACACCTTCCACATTGCTTACATTTGTATGGCTTTTCGCCTGTATGGGTTCGAATATGGTCTTTGAGGCCAATGCTTTACGAAAAACTCTTCCCACATTGAAAACAGCAGTATTGCTTATATCCAGTGTGGGTTCTGATATGCCTTCGCAAGTTAGAACTGTAAGAAAACTTTTTTTCACATAGTTCACAAGTAAATGGTTTTTCTCCAGTATGCGTTTTGATATGCTCTTTTAGAGTGGAATTCTCAAAAAAACATTTTCCACAGTGTTTGCATGTGTGATGTTTTTCACCAGTATGGGTTCTAATGTGACTTTCTAAGGAGTTAGTATAGAGAAAACTTTTCCCACAATATTTGCATGTGTAATGCTTTTCTCTAGTATGGGTATTAATATGTCTTTTTAAGTTGCCATATTGCGAAAAACACTTTCCACAATGTTTACAAGTGAATGGTTTTTCTCCAGTATGGGTTCGCATATGAGATTGTAACACCGTCTTATAGCTGAAGGACTTCTGGCATTTTGCACAAACAAAAAGTTTATTTCCTGCGTGAATTTTTTCATGCGCCCGCAAGTTACTTTTCTCATTAAAGCATTTTTCACATTGTTCACAAGAATATGGTTTTTCTCCCGTATAAATTTGAATGTGGCGAATGTATTTACTTACATTTGTAAAACTTTTCCCACAAACTTCACAAATAGGAAGTCCCTCTCCTGTGTGAATTCGCATGTGTATTTGCAAATTACCTTTCTGTGTAAAAGACTTGTCACACTGTTCACAGGCATACGGTTTCACTTTTTCCATGCTATGAGTTTGTATGGAACAATGTTGTTGTTATAAATGTTACTTCTTGTTAGTTGTCCACAGCATGTCTTTTTAGTCGTACTTTATAGAAGTTCCAAGATTTCCAACATCTGGCCTGCAAATATATATTTATATGAATATAACGCATACTTTGATAAATCTTTAGTTAAATCTTACCTTTCCCCAAACACCGATTTCTGCAAGCATAAACAATCGGCAACAAGTCAACAATGACGTAACAATTGCTATTTCTGCAGTCGCTCAGACAGATATTCAAGCTAGAGATGTATCGGTATCGGCCAACTCGTCGGTATCGGCTAAATGTAGACCGATCGTTCCGATATATTCAACTTTTTAATTGATCTAGAATGTTTTGAAAAATAAGGTAAAATACAGTACTGATGTTGAAGTTGTTTTTATTTTCTTGGACAGGTCGTGAACTATAGACCACGTACGGCTTCAACCATGCGAGTAGAAGCGGTAATAGAATTCTGGCCTGTTATTAGCTTATTTGTCAGCCACACCAGCTCAACTAATTTAGGTTTTTTTGCGGGGGGGGGGGGGGGGGGTTACGGAAGTCACAATCTTCACTAAACATTTTTAAATACAATTGTACTACCTTTCACTTGACACAAATAGCAACGTATCACACTATTGCCGTCGAAACTATTCCACAAGCGCGATCTCGCCTAGTCACATTCAACGGTTTCACAAGCGCGCTCTCGCCTCGCCACATTCAACGCAAACATACTTTTAATCACATACCTTATCGTTGGTTATCGCTAATTACGAATTTTAGTTATGTAGTGCATCTTTAACAAGCCATGGCACCAGGTTCATAAGCATATAACAGACAAAATGAATTATTGGAAATGTATGGTTTATTAACAAAGGATTGCCAAATGTGGCAGCATCGAAGAAAAAGTCTCATAAAATAATATTCAATCTTCGATAAAAAAAAATATTACAGATTAATTTTAATCTTTGATAAAAAATATTACAGAATAATGTTCAATCTTCGAGATTTTTGGGTAGCAAACTCGTCCAAGACTCGTTTGGAATCGTCTGTTTGCGAAAAGCAGTTACATGCGTTGTCTTTCAGTTCTTTTTAATAAACCGGTAACAATATGTTAATGAATCACCGCTGAAAGTGAAGAAGCGCTATGCGCAGAATGCAGCTATCACGGGCGCGGGATTTCAAATTCGCGACGATTTCACTTTCAGTAATATAGGTCTAGACTCGACGCATTGCAATAAAAATTAGAATTTATTAACAGTTAATTGCAACAAGCAAGAGTTTTACATTGAAAGACGTTCTCAATCAGTAAGATACATGAGCTTCGTTTTATGAAGTTATAAATACGGGAACATCAAATATATATATTTATTTTGGAAATGGATTGATATTTCGTGACGCACTCAAAAATAGTTTATGAACCATTGGCATTTGGCAAATATCATTAATTTACGCTATTTCTTCATGTTTCATGATTGCTAATATTTCATTCCATTCCTTTTTTACATTTTCGTTATTTCAATTAAAATCATGTGTGGCATTTTATTTAACCGTTGATAATGGGGTAATAATCGGCGATTACTAAAAGGTTGAAATGGGACATGCAAAAACAAAATAAACGAATTGACGCCTGTCAGAGGGGGCGGGGTCTGGCGACAAAGAGCCACATGTGTCTCGCGCATGTAACTCAATGTATCAATTTGATAGGATGAGTAGACTAAACATTCATTATTTATTGTATCATCCAGTCATAAGGCATGTGTGATATAAGGGAAACTGTGATTTTCTTGCTTCTAAGAAAATATACTTAATAAGCAGTACAGCATTTATACCTATGAAATGTGGTGTTAACTAAATTCCGACACAATTATCTCTCTAAACAGGTATTAAATATTGTGATTCCATTAATTTTAATTTTGTTATAGATTTATTGCCGTGATCTCCCAAACTATCTAGTAAAATACGGTAATATTTGTTATATAATATAAAATCAGAAACATCCTCGACGTGGGTATTTCTAGCCTACGCAGATTGAAATCCTCCCTTGTCGGCTGTAATTGATTGTCGCGACGCACGATTACTATAAAACAAAATATATCTGAAATGTTTTCAATTAAAACGTGAACGGCGGCGCTGCGATGTGTGGGCGATATCGATATTTTTATATACACGAGAAATGATAATTGATATATATATCATAAGGGAAATGGATTAGGGTACTCGCTACGCTATCATTTAATTCCTGAGTCTACACAGGACGAAATAGAAAATAATATTACTGGAATAGTGGTATTTGATTAAAGCCTGTTCACTACTATATAAGGTAAGAATGTAAATAATTGACATATTTACCCCGGGCGAGAGGAAAGCACGGCTTAATCATATGACGAGCCACGGCCTCTCGTCTAGTTTACCAGTCAATGTCGGGTATGGGATTACTTAACCGATTATCCGTTTCGAATGCACGTACTTGGATGGTGGAGAAAGCCGTAACCGACCAGCAGTTACTTGAACCACAATGAATAAATATTTATCTTTCCTATGAAATCAATGTTAAGGTGACGAACGCAGAATTTTGTGGCAATATGATGTCTAACTTTGCATTTCACGCAACAGAGAAATCCACTGCGGCATTTGATAATTTTTCATTCGTAATTACCATATATTATTAGAAATGCAAGCAACAAAATAATGGTAGCAAAAATAGTTATAGCTGAATTCAGAATAGCTTAAAATAAGTGAGTATTAGGGACATCCGCTCCCAATAAATTGAGTGTAAATATATTCAAAATTTCAGTTCAATGTTCTATTTTATATTATATACAAAGCGGGAAATCCATATTGGAACCATTTTGCAGTATGACGACATAAAATTTGCTTAAACAATGAAGTTTTAGATACTAGTAGATATATTTAATAATAACTTGAATTTGGAAACATTTTTTTATTGTAGTAAAACGTCATAATACCCGTTTCTATTCGAGGAGTTTGGGGACGGCTCAGTGGCCAGTCAGCTTGGTACGCTTGTTTGCATTCACCTGCTATACAAAACAATTTTGAACAGCTAACGAGGACACGATCCCTTTACAACAAAAAACAGTTCAAGTTGTCAATATCTGTATACTGAGTTATCTTATAAACATTCTAGCTATTTCACATCGCCTAATATATATGAAATATTAGTATATTATATGCAGATTCCGATTCAAAAAATAAACGGATACTGAAAAAATGGCCGATATCGATACATCTCTACAATGTATACATGTACCCCTGATAAAAACTGCTAATTAACCTGGTACGTAAAACACAATTAAATTATTTCAAACATATCAGTATAAATATGCGGCGAGTTACACTAATCAGTAACATTGAAGATTTATATCTTAGCCTTGTTCTAGTGTCCCGAGGGCATAGACGCTGTATTGCCATAGCAATGATTAGTCGTATAATTGCCGCGTTATGTATTAATTTTCATGTTGTAAATAAACGACGTAATTTTTTGGTGACGTAGTCAAGTGGGGGTTAGATATGCAAAAATTGTTGAGCCAGGCCAACTAGAAGTGCATCTGGTACCAAACTATACCATACCCCTGTTTTTGTTCACGGTAGGGTTCGTGGTATATTCAGACGATCTGTAAAACAGTTACAAGTGCCCTGCTTACTATACTCAGGTTGTGTACCAGGTTAGGTTCAGGTTATGCGACATCTCGGTGCGCATACTTCAGAAAGTCCGTTCATTATTTGTTCATAGGACTCAAAGGGCATCGATCGCAGGTCGAGAAGTTCATTAGGAGCACCTAATGAACTTTATTATTTCTTCTCTTGAGAGAAAATGGCCTTAGGTTGGAAAATGTGACATCCTTCTGTGCTGACAATGCAGCAGTAAACTTTGGGGGTTGCAACAAAGGAAAAAAACAACGTTTTCAATGATCTAAAAGAACAAACTTCTGCACGTCTGATCCCAAAAATGATCAAAACATCGCGAGTTCACTCACTTTAAATATACAGCATTTAGGAATGAGAGTTTACCGATCTCATCAGTTTTTCAAGGAAACTATATAAACCCTTTAGTTATTTTGAAATTGCTTACCGAGAAATATCGTGGTATTTTCGGTATCCTTTCTCGTGTTTGGTTTTGTTTTCTTACGTGGCAGATACTACTTGAAAACACACCAAACACTGTGGTTCAACGTTGTTGTGGGTTAAGAAATCGTTTCCTCACAGTTTACCTCGGTCATCTTTTTTACACTCACTGTATGATGATTTGTTATATTTGACTAACTTTATTACTTGCGTGAGCAGGCCTGGTGATATCGTCAAAGAACAACCAAGTATGTCTAAGTTGGATTCCGGACCCAGCTAAAAAAAACTGGATCGCGTGGCGCTAAGTCAGCTCTGCGGTTCATCACTGCTTTCACATGGCCAACGCTTGAAAATAGAGGAGTGATAAAGGCACAAAACGTCTCTCCAAATGAAGAGATACTTGACGCTAGCATAAAATAAGAAATTTAGATAAAACCGACCCATCACCCAGCGCGACCCATCTCATCGGCTTGGTCCTGTCTGCACAAGATCATCTATTCTCCTTGTACCGATCACAGGATTTCATTCCCATATTGGCACCGTCCTGACGTTTATAGATACAACATTGAAATTCCTTGATTTTAACAAACATGAATTCCGACATCGGGATTTGGAAAAGGGCTATTCCCAGTTGAAATAGTTGCCAATAAATACAAATATCTGCCAATGATTTAGTGAAGGATAAAATTGTTCTGCGGGCCGCACGGAAAGTGTTGGCGGGCCGCATGTGGCCCGTGGTTTTGACCACCCGGATATATCTGAATGAGCATCATTTTGGGTATCGTACTCACACTCGCTGCACAGTAATTTTACAATTTAATATTTTGGGGACATATACGATCGGGTTATTACAAGATGTATCCGAGGAACGTATTGTTTAACGTTGATACTGTATTTACAACTGAAGCTCCGCTATCATAGACCGTAGCAATCCACACATGAGGCTTTAACTAAAGTTTAACTACTGCCTCTCAATTAAGATTGTATTCGTGAGTTAAAAAGAATAGAAGTAGATAGAATTGTGGCATACAATAGCATAGTTATACTCTTGTTATTTTAGTAGGATTTTACTGTTGATTTTGAACTTAATAACATTAAACGTAGGATAGGATTTACATATTTATCCCGGGGGAGAGGAAAGCCCGATAATACGGCTTATCCATATGGCGAACCACGGCCTCTCGTCCGGTTACCATTCCAAGTCGGGTATGGGATTAGTTTTACTGTATTGTTTGTTTTCGGAAGCATGGACTTGGTGGTGGAGGAAGCCGTAACCGACCAGCGGTTACGTGAACCACCCAACGACGGCGAGGAGTCCAGCAATCCTCTCGCACATAACCATCCCTGCATGGGATTCGAACCTGCGAACCCACGCAGAGTAATTAGAGGTGCGGTGGCGAGCGTATTCCTAACGCTTAGCCCGTTGAGCCACACCGCCGCGCCACGTAGTCTAATTATTTAACTTAGGCTTAATATCCGCCATGACTTGTTTTTTCACTAAAAACAATTGAGAATGGCCCCAGGCCAATACTCAATGACCATCCATCAGTTTTAGTATAATTTATCTCTGTTTCACACTTGATAAAGACAATTTCATGCAATGGTAATTAGTATATAAGCCACTCATTATTCACTGATTGGGTATGTACCTAATCTTATTGTATCGTATCGTACTGCGATTGTAAGGTACTGTGATCGCACGTTGGACAATAAAGACATTGTCTCGTTAAAAGTGTCTGTAGGCGAAGACGAGCATTGATACTAGTTCCTCACCGTCGAAAGTCAAATGATCCCGTAACCCGCGTCTGTCATGACTTCCTTCGTCAACCATGACTATATAACACTAAACTAGCCTTTTTCAATTCAACTATAACAGAACAATATACCGTCTTTTCGGTCCCCCACTCGCGGGAAATTACAAAACGCTTCTGGGGGGCACGATGGCTTGGCGGTCAAAACGCATTAATTATAACATGGGTGTAATAGTAGATTACACATCTAAGGTTTTAAATACCATGCCTCTCATCCAGGGTGTAATAAGTTGGGTAGGCAAATGGGTGGGAGGGCAACTAGGACGCCCAATCGAAAAGATTCCGGTCAATCCAAATATTAACAGCTCGTTAGACCTCAGTAGTGGCTTGTATAAGACCTTGTTCAGAGCGAAAGCCGTTATTCATATAAGCGTACTATAAAAATGCTTGAAATCGGTACAGTGTAATATTTGAACTGAGTTAGCCGAGACGAATTAACAACGTGTGTAAGCAATGCATACTTGTCGTTCACCGAATTGATTAATCTTGCTGTTTTGCTATGACAGATGAGGTGGAAACTCCCTAACCCGAAAAACCATTTTCATGTATGATTGATTACTTATTGATTGCTGAAATTAAATTCTCAATGGAAATGTCAAAAAGATCAATAAATATGTAAATGAATTATATAGTTTTGACAGGTATATTTGACAAATGTACAATAATTAAGACGAATTTATTACTTCAACACGGTAGTTCAGTATAAATAGGCCAACACCGCTTAATCTAAAGGTAATATTAGGCTGAAAGAAGAATGACCTCATGCTGCGTGTTCTTGTTAATTGGCACCAAGTAACCATTTTCGTGGCAATTGTATTTTTATTTACCCACTAAGTTGGAAATATGGCCGGTAGATTTTAACCACTAAGTAATCCGTACACATGATCAAGGTTGAATCTCAGGGCTGAAATTAAAGTCTCGAAATAAATGTCTGAGAAACCAATATATATGCAAATTAAATGATTTGGCAGACATTCAGACAGATATATCAAAATGATAAATTGAAGATTTCATCACGACAACTCTTTATAAAATAGGCCAACAAAGTCGAAAGATCTATTCTAATGACTAAGTCGAGCCGAACGTGCCTGTCTAGATGGTTGCTATAGACCTAAAGTGATAGTATTTTTGAGAACACGACACAAACAACTGAATCGGGAATTGGCAGGCATTGCGATAAACTTCGGTTTGTTGCTCCAGGTTTGTTTTGAGGCACGAAATACGACAAGCTGTTCCGATAGCCTGTATATTCGTTGCCGATGAAAATCCGACGTCGCCAACCTGATAAAATATCAACGTAGTTGAAAAGAGGGAGGCTTAATGATATATAAAGCTACAATGCAAGAAACACGAACTTGGAACAGTGATTCTCAAACGCTGGGGCGCGTCCCCCAAGAGGGGTTTAGACAATTTTTTGAGGGGGCGTGAAGCTAATTAAAATTAATTTTGTTATGTTTGATCTTGCCCGCCTTATTTTGAATATTTACATTTCTTTACTGTATGAAGATTGCGATTCCATCCACATATTTCCAACCTTTTTGATTTTTAAATAAAATATATTTTCTTATTACTATCTATTATTTGTAGCTTATTGTAAGTACCGGTAGTTATTTCTGGTGGGGCGCGCGACTTGACAAGTAAATAGGGGCGCGGCTTAAAAAGTTATGTTGCACAACATCATTTCTATATTTGATATTTCAGAGGTAAAAACAGTGACGATCATGACGATATTTTGTTTGGGGATTTTATTTAGCTTGGTAATAGCACAATGTTTTGGAACTAACAGACACATGGTTTGCAAAGAAATCGAAGACATTTTCGATGCTGGAAATGATAGTCCGATTAGTAACAGTGTGCGAGGCATACAAGGAACACCTGGGAAAAGAGGAAAATCTGGGATCAAAGGTGAAGTGGGACCTCCGGGCGTACCTGGGAAGCCAGGAATAGTGGATTATGATAAAATAAAGAAAACCATACGTCGTGAAATTGCTTCTGGTAAGTGTGCTAAGCTAAAAAAAAATCTCGACGCGGCGTTATAGAGTACTGGCCCATGATTTTGTAACTGCAATTTGGAAATTTGTGACTCTGTAATATGGTTACAGATACATGAGAAAATTATAATGACGTCATGGAGGGTCTCCGGGGAAATTTGTTATGACATCATAATAACGATCCTAGATCTCTCAAAATGTATATGATGTCACAAATGAAATATAAACACGTGCGTCAATTGCGAAATTTTGTTTATGGACATGATACGTACATGGCATGGCGCAAGTATATTACATAGCAAATCGAATTCAAAAATAATTTGAGAATCTCAAAGCAACATGGTAATGGTACAGAAAAACGTAAAATTTTGCCGTTTCATTATGTCCATATTACAGGCAAGTATGATATATATATAGGCTTACCATACGTTCCGCTTTAGGCGGGACAGTCCCGCTTTTTAGCATTTTTTTGTCCCGCCGTCCCGACAACTCAGTCAAAAGTCCCGCTTTGGCGTTCAGCCATCCAGCATAATACACGAACTTGTTACTGTTGTTGCTTCGTAGCGCAACGCTAGCCTGTTTACTGAAGGTGGATGCGTTATTTCGTTTGTTTCCTGCTAACATTGTTAGCGAACGTAGCACATGTAAAATCAATTCTAATTGGTTCTGTTCGGACGTTCACGTGAATGTAACATTGAACAACGTCTTTTTAAAGGTGTTATCAACAAAAAAGCATGCTTGGGCGAATAAGTAAATTCTCAATGCTTGAAAACGGAAGACTATTTTATTATTCTTTATACCTTTTGATATACATAAAAAAAATCTAAATTCGGATCATTTGTGTCGTTAGCGTCTATTACTTTCTATTTTTCGAACTGAACCCGATATTTAGATAGTTACGGGATCACGGCTAAAGGGTCGTGTCTTTGGAGGCATCCCGCTTTGAAGTCAAAAAAATATGGTTACCCTATATACATATACCATATACCCATATTTAGAATTTATTCGTCTATAGGTTTTATTAGAAACGCGAACGTCGATTCAACGCGTACACGCACACCTACAATCTGTACTATAATGAAAATGTCTCAACTTGTTTTGCAGATTCTAAGATAATGAAAGACAGGATAAGTGAAATAGAAAAGAAAATAGCAAACTTGACGGCTCAAAACGAAGCGATGATGGAACGGACCGCCGAAGGTATGCAAAATGTCTCAACGTTCAATAATATTCAAATCGTAATGAAACTTGAGACTCGGGCGCACATATTAATGTAACTGCATTTATTTGGGAATTTGTTTTGTTGAATAAAAAGAAACAGACTTGTATGACGAGCACTTACTCTTTATGGATTAACTGTTTCAGTAATACCACACCCGGTGCGGACTTGTGGTTTGGTCGCTACTTATGTAACTGAGCCGTCTTACCTCTCATCCAAAATAATATGGAAAATTATGTTCTATTATCAAACGAGCAGATAAAAGATGGAATATATATATATATATAGCATTGTGATCTAATATAATATTATACTTTTTGCAGAAAGATGTCAAGGAACATTTTTTGGCATACTTTATAATTCTACATGTTTTTGGGCCGACATTTTCCTGAAAACGGACATGAGTCTAGCCAAAGCTCAACAGCGTTGCACGAATAAAGGATCGCGCTTGGCTGATATAAATAGCAAAGATCATTTTGATGCAATAATGACATATCTAAGACCAAAAATTGTAGCCGGGGAACCACATTTGCTCGTTTGGACGGGAATGAAACGAAATTTAACGGTAAGCCTACGAGGTAGGGTCAAATAAGATTCTTCAATATTTGCAAGAAAACCTTCAAATATTTAGATGAAAATTTAAGAAAACGACATAATCACTTTAAAACTATTACGGCAAAACTTAAGACATAAAAATTCTTCCTGTACGTCACCATTACTACATTTTTGTTCTTATTTTGAGAGTGGCCTGAGGGCCTGACCCCTTCGGGATCAACAGCAAGGTAGTAAAGGCAACAAGGGCGAATTAACCTTTCCCTTTCTGTTACATTTAGAGCGGGGATGCAATTCTTTCTACCGGCGCCAAAGCACCGTACGTGAAACCCCGATCCGACGCGTCCAAGTGGAGCAAAGGTGAAGCTAAGCGAACATTAGCTTATCTTCTTGTATTACCGGATCTCGAAGCCACCGATCAAGGATTTGGAGCTATCTGGGACACTTGGGAAGCCCATGGAGTGCTGTGCCAGACCACTTGACTGAAGTGAAGCGTTGGCTGGCAAGCTCATGGTCTCGATAGCCATCTACTCTCAACCCTGTGATAATGATTGACCAACATTTTTAATATAACGCAATATAACCTAAACTGTGTCATTTAGTTGAAACCATAGAGTAAAGACCGATTTTTAATACCGATACCAGGGTTATTCGGAGCCGAATATTTTACGACTTCAAATAATTTTCAGACATTATTGAGGCTCACGTTTAGATGTTGTAAGAAATGTTCCCTCCACAAAGTCTCCGAGTTTCGCGTAACGCCGCGTCTAATCGGGAACCCGCCGTCATGATTCGCGGATTAAAAACAGTGTTCCTATAAAAAATAATATCATATACCGGAATTTAAGATGAAATATCTTATTCATAAAAAATTTGGAAATAAATAAAAGTAATAGCCTTCTAGCGAAAAATGCAATTTTCAACCACTGAGAATTTCAAAGCGATTGGTCCATTAGTGGTTGAAATACGCGATTTTTCCATCAAGGTAACAAGAAGAAAAAGAAAAATTATAACAACAACATAATAGTGAAACGATATATAGGTCTACTACGTATCCAATAAAACACATTAAAAAACGAAGTGATAAATCCTCAGTACACCGACTGGTGAGAGTATTATATTTAAACACTTCGGCCACAAGAGTGAGTGTGTCGTCTACTTTTAATTATAGGTGTTCTTGCTCATAAGGAGCGTAATTTATCACGTGTCACGGAGGATTCCATGTGTTAAGATTTGTACCATACCGAAACCAGCGAAAACGCAGATACTGCTACACCGATACTTCAAATTGTCAATATCACTGAAAACATGTATATACGATCAACTTCTTGGCTATACGGAACGGAATAGTTATCAGAAAACAATATTTACTGTGGACATTAGGTGCTGGGAACTCAAATTTTTAAATCAGCCTTCCGCTCTGGATAATTACGAATTTTTTATTTTAAAACGTGGCGCTCACATTTTTGCATTGATGGCGGGGGCTTCCTACATAAGACCCGAACATGATTACAAGTATCTATATATCAGTACACAAGAAATCAAAATTTATGATTCAGACGAATAAATGACTTGTTAATTTCCTCACTATTAAGGATTCATTACAATACCCAATTAATATGCGTAGTTCAGACGTTTTGTTGTGCACGGGCGCCGTGCACGAGTTAGTGATTGAAGATATTCACAGCGCGTTGGCGACTAAACATGTTATAATGAATAAATATTTACCTTTCCTATGAAATCAATGTTAAGGTGACGAACACAGGATTTGTAACAATATGATATCTATCTTTGTATTTTATGCTACAATAATATCCACTGCAGCATTTGATAACTTTTCCTTCGTAATTACCACCTATTATTAGAAACGTAAGAAACAAAATTTTGTTAGCGAAAATAGCCAAATAAGTCTAGAAAGCAGAATTATAAATAACTTAAAATAGGGAGGTATTAGAGGCATCCGTTCTTAATAAATTCAGTGTATAAATTCAAAAGTTTCGTTCAATGTCCTATTTTGTGTTCTATACAAAGCGGGAAATTCATATTGGGGCCATTTTGCATTATGACGCCATAAAATTTGCTTAAACTATGAATAAATATATTTTATAATAACACGAATATAGAATCATTGATTGATTAGTCGCCTGATTGTCGCGTAATGTTTTTATTTTCATGTTAAAGTCAAATTAGAAATATTTTCAAGTCAATAATCAAAGTCAAGTTTAATTAATTACAAATGACTTACTATAGTATACTAAATAGGAAATATTAAGATGGTTTTATTTCGTCAACGGTGAACTCTACAAATCATTTCAGAGTTATTTTATTTGTCACTTCAAAAAACAAACAATCAATAACAATATATCTGTAATAAATAAATATTGAAATGACAGGTGCTGTGAGGGACGGAATGATTTCCTACATACGGTTGCAAAGCTTAGTTACAAGCCATACTGGCAGAAATGCTATCAATATGAGAGGTGGCTAATCCATCTCGAAAATTACGGGCCGTCTATATGTATTTCGTGTAGCGATTTTAAGTCGGAGAAACAAAAAGAGGTTCAGAATCTCGAAGTAAAAAACGAACAAAAGAAATTGAAAAAATCGCCCTTCTTTTCACACAGCATTGAATAGAAAAACAGCAGGATATAAAAATTCGCACCTCGGGATGACTCGTCTCGAACTATATAAATAAAAAACAAAAAAGAAATATCGATGATTGATAAAGAAACGATTTTGTTCCCGTCTGGTTTTAAATCGGTATTTAGATGGTCCCCAGGTTGTTTGAACTTTCGCCCGATAAGTTATAGCTGTTATATCATACTATCTATCACGCATTTAGATTAGATAAAAGGCACTGATAATTATCTTCGCTATATGTATATATATATATATATATATATATATGCGAGTATCCTTATCATATCATGCGACATCGGCATATTACACCGTTTCGATATATAGCTTGTGCTGTATTCCCAACGCGTTTGAGCCAGGTCTATTGAACAGGGAAAAATTTATCACGCATTTAGATCAGATATCAAGCATTGATAATTGTCCTGGCTATATGTATGGATGGATATATGCGAGTATCCTTACCATATCATGCCACATCGGCGTATTACGCCGTTTTGATTGATAGTTTGTGCTGTATTTTTAACGCGTTTGAGCCAGGTCTGTGGAATAGGGAAAAATTAAAACTACTACAGCCCGTATTGGAAAATAGCACTCCCGAAGTATGTAAACCAAGATGGCGGACACCGGAACGTAGTATGTGTACCAAACTAGGGTTAGGCTATAATTCTTTCCTTATTTTAGTTCTATTACGAGTTTGGGAACTAGCCAAGTGACTCCCGTAGTATTTGTACCTGAAATTATGGCCTAACGCTAACCTGGTATACATACTACGTTCCGGTGTCCGCCATCTCGGCTCACATACTTCGGGAGTATCGAAACCATTGTGTTGAGACAAATCAGTAGAAAGACTTCAGTAGAAAACTTTTTCGAACGCAAGCGTTCTTCAAAATGCTGAAACGTTCAGTTAGCTCAATGAGGATAGGTTAAAAGCTTGACGCTTTTCCTGTTCCTATAAAAATTTAAGACCTGTTTTATCCCCGTTGAATGTCTCCAGATTTTTAATTCCTACTCCTCAGAGTTTGAAAACACGACTCTTACTCCATACCCATGTTCAAGTGCGAATTACATTTTCTTTAAAATTAAATCATTATTATTCCCCATGCAACAATTAAAGTAAAATATATGTAGTTATGTTCAAGCAATTAATACACAAAAAAGGTGCTCCCGAAGTATGTACATCAAGATTGCGCACAACTGGAACATAGTATGTGTTCCAGGTTAGGTTTATCAGGTTGTGCGCTATCTTGGTGCACATACTTCTGGAGCGTCCAAAAAACACCCTGTGAAATAACCTTAATAATGTTCAGGTGTCCGCCATCTTGGTTCACATACTACGGAAGCGCCTAATAATGTTTCTAGAATACTGTATCTGTATATCAAAAATTTATAAATTTTGCTCTCGATGTGTTTTATTGTAAATTATTTTTTCAAACCATACTTTAGGATTCTAACTGTAGTATATGTGCCTTATTCGAAAATTGTGAAGAATCGTACTTATGAAAGCTATCGAATCGAAATAAATTGCATCTGCAACAAAGACAATCACAAAGCTGATAACATGGAAAACGTAACGCCGAACCCTTGTGAACAATATGATAGGTCCTTTGCACAGACAGAGTCTTCAGAAAGGCAAAAGCGAAGGACTATTTGTCAACATTGTGGAAAAATATTGACGTCATCAAGTGCCTACGGTCACCACATTCAAATTCATACCATGGAAAAACTATATTCCTGTGAACAATGTGGAAAATCCTTTAATGTGAAAGGTAATTTGCAGAGACACAAAAAGAGGCATACAGCAGAAAGAACTTTTGCTTGTTCGGAATGTCAGAAGTCATTTAAATGTAACACAAGTTTGCAGTCTCATATGCGAATCCATACAGGACATAAACCATTCGCTTGTAAACATTGCGGAAAGTGTTTTTCGCGAAGCGGTACATTAAAACAATGACATTAAACAACATGATGGGCAACTCTGACGTCACTCCATAAGACTACAGGCAAAACATTGTATTTCATGATACGCTCCAATGCACATATTTCTCGTCGCCTTTCGCGTCCGTTTTCCGCTCGCTTTTGCTACTCGGCGTCTTTTTTACGTGTTAGTACCCACTGCCTTTTTGCGCCTGTAACGAACAAAAATAATCTCTATATCTAAGAAGTTTTGCTTACTTGGAAAGCTGGAATAACAGGCAAGCTGTAAAGAGCAATTCTGGACATCATAGACGTTTTTTTTATCAGAGAAGATTACAAAACGCGATAGCCGGAAAGATTTGTGTGGAACATTTTGCAGATAATGACAAAGTTCAAAGTTAGTAATTTAATGTTTGCGCTTAATCATTGAAAATTTCATTTAAGAGGGTGCATACAAAACTGTGCTGCGATACAATTCCATAACACAAAGTTTGCACCTATCGAACTTGCTTTGTAGGTGAATTATTAGACATATTACATATTCAGTTAATCGTAGGTAACATTGCTGGTACATAATGCATCGTAGATAGGTTTGTTTAAATTTAGGAATTTAGCTCATAGCCCACTAATTAATATTATCTTCTATGCAGGAGGTTGCAGGGCTGATTCAACTTGCAGCCTTACCGATCACCTGACGATGCTCATTTAGTTTGGCTCGAGCAAGTCTTCTTGAAATGCTTGTGTGGATGGAAAACTACCTATATTTTTTGCTTCCTCCGATTTTAGACAAATTTATTCTGAGGGATTTCGCATATAATTCTCACTGATTGTTGGCTGTTTATAATTCCTATTGATTGTGAATTCTGATTATAACAATGAGTTGAAAATTTTTTTACCTAATTTACTGGCACTTTTTCTTGTCAATACTCCAAGCTGAGGTAATAACATGACAATACATTTATGTCATCTGGAAGCAAAAATATGCACACTAATTAATAGTTTGGCACATTGAGATAAATACATCATGACAGAAAAATACAAGTTAAAGATATGTATGACCATCACATGGTAATTAAAATTAAAAAAAATTAATAGGGGCTGTGGAGTATGGAAAGTTCAAGACAAGAAAAGAACAAATGTTCATAGCTCATGAACTCTCAATTTTGCCTCCATTGCTTTGTGAAGGCCAATATATTTCGAGTGGCTGAATTGGTTTACCTTTATGATAGCAACGATTTTGTATTTAATATAGCGAGATTATTTCAATTTAATTGAAGTGATATAATTTCCCAAAGCAATGCTTGAATCGTCTAGAATAGATCAGTGGTGTCAAACTCATGGGTTTCGAGAGCCGCAATTGCATTTTGAAAATTGTAAAAAGAGCCGCAAACAGTTTTTGATAATGTATACTTGAAAGATATTTTTAAGATAGTTTTAGTTTGTGACATATATTGTGATGCAACTAAACAGTTGGATTAAGTTTATTATTTTCTTCAATTTCAAATGCAATTACATATTAATATTTGCATTCCACTATTATTGCAACATTTGCAAGTTACAGTATTTATTATAAAAATCGTAAAATTCTATGTACAACCATCAAAATCATTTTTGAACAAGCTTTGAATAAGGAAAGAATAATACATACACTAAAATAACTTAATCTAAATATATGAACCTAAAATTAACAAAAATACTACAGTATAAACTCAATGTTTTAATAATTACATTTGTCCTGGGCGTTTGGCATCTTTTTTGTGTCACCAGCATAACTAAAGGCCAGTCTGAAATGATTTTATAGTACCAACTCTAACTAACGAGCCACATGATCATGGGTTTATCTGGATCTTTACGAAATGTTTAATTAATTCCAGTAATGCAAAAAAGTTACTTTTATCATTTCATGTATAGATCAGTAAAAAAACAAATGACAGATTTTTCGACAAGACATTTCGCACTACATTGCGTGGCATAGGATTGCTTGAATTATTATTGATATTGATTTTTAGTAACTAAGTCGTTGTATAATTATATTAATATACAAACACATGGAAATTTTCTGTTCGAAGTTGGTCTTCGAATTTGTCATATTGACTGCTGAGCTTATTGTGTTTTTGATTGTATTGATGGAAATATGACAAATTAAACAATGTGCTTCAGAATTTTGTGAAGAGCAGAAATGTTACAACTCCCATTTTCTTCGAAAATGCCACCTTCTTCATGTACTTTGCGTTTAATTTAATTACTCAAGTGTTTTATTTCAAGTATTCTTTTGCTAGCTTGATGTGTATTCTTAATTGGGTCAAAATGTGGACAAAAAAATTAATATTCCAAAACTACTTTCAGTAAATTGTTTTCTGTGTGAATAATCAATTTCACTTTAGAAGGTTTGAAAAATCTATTACATTTAGATAAAAAAAAAAACTTCCAAAATACTATTACAATTATTGTTAAGCGTTCGAGGGCCGCACTGGAAGTTCTCTGGGGCCGCGAGTTTGAGATCCCTGGTCTAGATTGAAGTTGTTCAAAAAATATATGATAGTATTTTATCATGAATGATGATTATACCCCTTCCGGAATTTCTTCTATAGTACTACCAAAAGTTGATGAACCAAATATAACACAGGTGCAGTGAGGTACCCGTAATCCTCATTTCCAAAGCTGTTTTAAGTATGTCTGGCGTGTTTTGTGCCTTTTTACAAATAAGACCGCTTATGCAATCTTACGCTTTGGAATTTTTAGTTATTTTCCTCAAGCCCTGCAGGATGTGGGGGCCATACACAACTCTACCGGAGGGTCAAATGTCTTTGCATGCCTCCATAGGTTGTTTTTCTATTGCAATTTTCTATTTTCAATTGCATTATATTTCTTGGAATCACACTGTCACTGATATGTCGCCAGACTTCTGATATCTCCCCGTCTGCTATAGTTGTCCTGTGAATAAATAATAGGAAATTGAGATTAGACGAATAGTTGAAGTTTTGCTTTATGTCGGCTTAATTTCTTGATTGATATACTTACTATTTCTGCTATTGCCTCTTGTGCTGCAAGATCTCACAATGCTTAGACAGGTTTGTCCACAACTTTCACATCTGAAGAAAGAGAGGAGATTTATT